TAAAATTAAATTAATACATGGTAATCTGTGGGCTTTTTTACTCCGGTTTTTTTTTTAAATAATTATAATTCCTTCACTGCTGTGGAGAGATAAGAAATAAATAACTTCATTTTCCTTCAAAAATCTTTTATTTAAAATAATTAATTTTTAGTAAAAATCAGCAAGAGCTGTTTTTAAACTGTCTGTTCTTCCACTTGAGAATTCTTTCGGCATGTGCAGCTTTTAAGGTTGTCAATAGTCAATAAAAGATAACGACAGTATTTATACCACCGCGTGCGTGTCTCTCATTCTGTGTCGTGTGGAAATGTTTGCCCAAGATTTGTGATTGATAAAATAAAGTCGACGCACTCCTTGTCAACTTTTCAGAGCTGGAATTATCGCCGCGTGTAAATAATGCCAAGTCGTTATTTCTGCCTGAATAAATTAGTCGTTTGAGACCAGCTTGAGGTGTCACTCGGCGACAGACTTGACCCGGCCCCGAGCGAGGATAAATTTATAAATGAACCTTGTCGGTTAATTTTTCTCCGGCCCACGATTCAAACTTCAAACGGCGCGCATAATTAATTTATGTCAAACGCGTTAATGATGATAAATTGCTGCGTGCAATTAACACGTAGAAAGAGAAAAGTGTCTAAAGGGGAAAAGAAAACAAATCTTGGTGCGCTTTCGGTGCGCGTGCTTTTCCTTAATCCTTTGGTGCCCAGCATGGCTTCCCCCTTGCGTTGCCGGACGCGCAAAAATCGATGCGGCTGGATTATTTTTGCAAGTCCTTTCAGCGTTTTGTTCAAACCGGCTTAAGAAATCGCTGAGTTGACCCCGTTTGCTGTCAATTTTAAGCTGCCATCTTATCTCGGCAAATCAACAATGTGTCTCTTGTCAAACAAAGTTATTTTTCCCAAAAAACACTTATGTTGTCTAAATGTTTCAAAGTTGCTGGCATAATTTATAGAGCTAAATATTCAAAATTACTGATTTAATTATTAATTACGTCTGCTTTTTCTAACACATTAAATTTTAGTTTTAAAGGCTTTAGAATAAAAAAATTATGATTTAATGAACATATTGTACAACTTTTGAGCATCTTGATTAATGGAAAAATGCGAAAACTGGCAAAAACATAAAAAAAACTTTTAAATTGTATAATTTAAATATATATTTTTATATAGGGACCGTTCATGAATGATTTAAGATGAATTGAGAAAATGGGCGCCTTCAAAACTCAAAATGCATTTTAGTGACCTTGACCTTTGACCTCCGACATTTTGGTCAACAGCAAAGTTGTTCAGAACAAAAAGTTAATCACTGGGGGGAAATTTCATGACTTTAAAATTAATACGAACAAAGATATATGCATTTTTTAGTTAAAAAAAAAACGAATATTTCAAAAAGTAATTATAAATTTTGTCTCAAAATTTTGTCAAAGTAATTAATAATCAAACCTAACATCATATCTAAAAATCAGAGTGGTGCTGGAAACAAACAGAAAAAAAACTGTCCAATTCGTCTTAAATCATTCATGAACAGTTCCTATATTTCATTGCAAACAAAACATTTAGATTTGTATAGAAGATTAATTTTTTATGGTGAATTGAACTGAAGTGAAACGCAAGATAATTGTTTTAATTCAAGATTTCTTTGTATCCCATTTGGTTAAATAATTCGCATTAAATAAAAAATTCATTAATATATTTCACTATTTAAAAGTGTTTCAGTGTTTCCCTCTTTAAAAAAAATGAATCCAAAAACAAACTTTACAAAACAAAACCATTCACAAGATTTTCATTAAAAATACTCATGAAAAATAACAATAATTGAGTATGTGAGTGAGACCAACTTATAGAAAGTTATTTAATAGAGCTTGTTAGCCACTCCTTCAACTGTTTGTGACTTTTAACGGATTTGTTGTGAAATTGAAAAAACAGCTCATCAAAATATCACCTTATTTTATGAATAAAAAATTATTGTTTAATCTAATTTGAAAAAATAATATATATTTTTTTTCCTCTTACATAATTTCGCATGACATTTGACAAATTATGTGTTGAGTCTTTCGAATTTGGCAAAGCAGTGACCACATATTGTAAGTTTATTTTAATATACTCAACCCGTCGTCCCGCGGCGCTGGAAGACCGCCGAGCTGCGAAGGAAACCCGACGCCGGCTACGTTTATTGCCGAACACGCTGTTATTGAATCGGGCGCGAATGAAATTCTCGGAAAGAGCGACCAATTGAGAGGGGAAAATAATATAATTTCATGTGTGCAAAAAATCGCAGTGCGTGCAAACAACCTGTTGCTACCAAAATATATATAATACCCAAGCCATGATAGCTCGGCTCTGATTTCACTCGGCGTACATAATAATAATAATAATGATAAAAAACTGGCCAGTCCGTCCGGTGGTAAAATAAATTCATATTGTGCGTCTGATTCACAACGGCTAAAAATGTCTTCATCCGGGTGTGTTCGCGAAATAGGCCGGATTATTATGAAAGATTGCTGCTGATGAGGGCACGGCCTCCTCCTCAACCTATTGCACTTGATTAATCAATCCAATGAGACGCAGCTGTTTTAAGCAAAGATTCAAACAGTCCATTAATGAAAGAAGAGAATAAATAACAAAAATTAGTCAAGATATCACAAATCAAACAAAAATAATTGTTATCAAATTACGTTTTTAAATAAAATTTCATATTAAAATAAAATTGAAACTAATTCTTTACAATAAGTCGTTAAATTTTAATTGTTTTATTTTTAATATTAATTACATTTTGATTGTTTTATTTTTTTTTTTTTAAATGAAACCCCACAAAAAACTGATATAAAAGTCGAAGAAATTTTTTTGTTAAAATTTATTTAATCTTCTGATAGAAAAAGAAAATAATGACTTCTTTCACAAAAGATTAATGTAGTAAAGTGACGGGTTTTTTACTTTCTATAAATGAATTGTGGCTTATTTAATATATTTGATTTTGAAAACTTTGTCTTTTCCATTCATTTTATTATTGATGATCTATAGAACAGGGATTAATCTTCTAAATTTAACTCGATGTTTAATTTTTTTCAAATTTATGACACCTAATTTATTAATTATTATTACTACATAAATCCTAATCAGTTTTGAAAAGAATTAAGATTTTTTAGTGAAAGTTTAAATCCAGACGTTTTAATACGTTTCCAAGCATTGCTTTGAATATAAATTGTTAATTTAATTTAGTGCTAAAAACAGGAAACTGGCAATTCAACTTGAACTTGACGCGCTCGAATGAGTTTAACCTCTGGGGTGTTACAATACTTTTTATTATTATCTACACTTGCACTGATCACCTCTGGGCACAAGTGGCTCCCCTCTCATGGAGGCGCATATCCTTTGCCGCGGCTAAAATCAAGCCGCGGATTCTCAAACACCTTTTAATTTTTTTTTTTTATTTTCGCGAGAGGGAAAACCTGACTTGCGAGAACAATGAGAGCGAAATTCGAGAGCGGCGCCGAATCGATGTAGAATAAATTCGAGAGAGCGATACAATCGGCGAATTGTGCTGAATGACAATTGTTTAAATTTTGATTAATGGAGCGATGGTGCGTAGATTGTGACGTCACGTGCGATGGAATTAGACAAATTGTTGTCCCATTTGCTACTCGTCTTGATTAACCTCAATCATCGCTCGGAGCAGCAGCAGCAGCGCAGCGCTCAATGAAAAAGATCTCGCCCTTCCGAACTAATTGACAGTCCCTCGCGCACCAACAGCTCGGCCGACCCTAATCCCGCCGGCTCTTGCTGCATTGCTGGACGGTGATTTTTCATGAATGAAAACTCATTTTGTTAAAAACGGAATTAAAAAAAACCATGCTTAATTTTGCTATAAATTATTTCTTTAAAATAAGTAACAACTGAAAAAAAAATTTTTTTAATAAAAACCAAATTATTTTTACTTTAAAAATATTGATATAATTTTACGTATATTTTAATCTTTTAATTTTATTGACTTCATAGCACATTTTTTATAAATTAGTTTCTTTATAAACAATGTTTTTATAAATTATTAATATTTTCTATGATCAGTAAACATCCAGTTACTTAAAAAAGTTTAAATGTTTCATGCTTTTCATCACATAAAACCGTTTTTCAAAAATTTAAATTAATCTGCTTTAAAAAAATGTTTTCACATCAACCAAGGAAAAGGATGACTTCTTGCTTCTTGTGGAGGAATTAAAGTAAAAAATCTGAGCGCTGCAGCAAGAGGGTCTCCCCCTCTACGGGAGCGTCTCTATTATTTAACAACTATAAAATTCCTCGCGCGATATCTCTTCTTCTCTTCTCATCTCTCGGCCGGCTCGTTTTTTATCACAACAAATGCGCCGGAGAAGAAGGGACGACATTTGTTAATGATTTACTCGGCGCGGCGTAACGCGGTTGGCGTTCTTCGGAGCGGCTCGAGGCCTTGACTCCTCTTACCTTTTTACCTCCGGCCCGAACGACTCCCGCTATCCTCAGCTTTCAGACTTTCGGAATTTGAATATATAAATTTGGTCCCTTTTGAAAATGAGAAACTTTTTTGGTTTGAAGAAGTCAATTTTCATGGAAATTTCCTCGGTCGGCGTCTCTCAGGGGTCACCTGCCTGCACCTGAGTGGCTCCTTTTCGAGCGAGCCGGGCGTGGGCGCAGCGTTGCCAGGCGCGACCAGCTCTCGCTGGTAGGCCTTGAAGACGCAACTAGAGATTCCTACCCTGACAGCGAGGAACAAAAGGTGCTGCCGCGCCAGGTCGCCTGACGTCATCACAGCCGCCGCCACAGCTCCGCTAGGGTGCTTCAATTCTAATTTGTAAAGATTAAAAATGCATTTCAGAGCTAAGGGCAAATTTCAATGGATTTTTTTAAAAATTAAATCACTTTTTATAATAAAATTCATTTACAGTGTTACTTTTTTAGCTAAAATTTATTCAAAATAATGAGATCTATTTACTTTTTTCAGGGATTGAGAAGTGAAGAAAAAGCCTCATGTTATATATTAAAAGTTTCGTTTTTATTTTCTTAATCTGTGTGTCTGTGTGTCTTTAAAACATTTTACAAAATATAATTTAGTAAGACATTCCTCTCATTGTTTAATATCAATTCATCAAAAACAGGAATGATCATAGGTTTGAGCCTTGCAAGTCAAGAGAAAAATTGGTCCCACGGTTTTCTGTCACTTGTGAGCTGCTTGTTCGAAATCCCACTAAGGTTATAAACCGTCTCTAAAACGTTTGTTAATATTTTCGCATGGTTGGCGTTTAATTGACAACGATACTGTACTTATTATGCAAAGGGTGCGAGTTCCGATTTTTCAGGAATGAGGAATTCGCGGGCGACCCTTTTTTTGGAGCGATTAATATAAGGCACTGAATTTAATGAATTTCAATACGTGAATAATTCGATGATGAACACTTTAGTCGGGAATGAATGAATAAAAAATGATCGGCGCGGCGAACAGGGTTTGTCTTACTAATCCAAAAGTCTACAAATTACCAAATCGGGGAAAATTTGGAGAAAAAAACCATCTCTGCAACGAGAAATAATAATGGCAATCAAAGTCAGCAATAAATACATTTGGATGCAAAACTCGTCTATACAAATTTGGACACGAGAAAGGGGCACGATTTTCTTTTTAATTTCTTTCAATTTTTTTGAAATTTTCATCGCACTCCTCTCTTAATACACTTCTTCATCTTTCTCTCACAACTAACAAAAAAAGAAACAATTTAAAAATACATTTATTAATTAATTATTAGCGATGAGATAACTATTAATTAGCTGAATTCTCTCTAATTGTAAACGATTCTCTCAATTATACGCTTTTCTTACGCCCTAGAAAATGCGAGGGATTGTCCGTACGGTCCGCCGGGCCGGGTCTGAAAATTTTGATTCAATTTGGAAGAGACGCCAGCGCCTCGGCAAACCGAACAGGGCCCTCAAATTTTCACCAGAAATGTCTTATTGTTTAGTGCAATTTGACTGTACACACCAAATAAATGGCAATGCCAAGAAGATCAAGAGCTAATGATCGATTGATTCTGCGCCTTAAAATTAACTTTGTGCATTTGGTCATTTCGATTTCGGACCATAGTTCCCAAATATTAAAAATTTCATTCGTTCGATTTCCGACGGGGAGAATTTCATGTAAATAATTGACCCACAAAGTGGTGGAAGCCTCATCGTTGACACCCTAGCTCAATCGGGCCGATTTTTGGAGTGAGGCGAACTGCAGCAGTAAACGTACAGTCTTTTGACCGATCACAGAGTTCACATAATAACATTCAGAGACCCTCGGCCGCCGCCCTTGAAGAGGGTTGGTGGGTACTGAGAGGGGTCGACGCGAGGGTCTCGCTCCTCCGAATCCGCACTCACACCATGTTGTCCTTGCCGTTGAGCTTCTTGGACAGGTCGGACATGAACTCCTTGAAGATGAGCGGGTCGATGTTCTTGCCCAGTTGGTACAGGACGAACCAGTCGCCGACCTTGCACTTCTCGGCCACGGTGCGCACGCTCTCGAGCGACGACAGACGCGACTGGGTGCGCAGGAGACTCAGGCGCAGGGTCGGCAGCAGGATGGTGGCCAAGCGGTACAGCAGCGCGAAGCCGGTCACGATCGCCACCAAGACAAACCAGAACCAGAGGAAGACGTAGATCTTCTCGTTGACGATGTTCAGGGGCAGCACGCAGAGTCCGTCGAACTTCTGGATCGACCCTGAGGGACCGAACTTGTGGAATTCGCACTTGGTCACCTTGGGGAAGACGGTGCTCATGGGGTCGTTGCGCTGTTCAGGCTCCAGTTCGGACATGGCGATCACCCGCGGCCCGTAAGTGGTGAACTCGCCGCCGAGGAACGAGTCCATCAGCCAGATCTGCAGCACCACGTTGATGAAGTTGCAGACCTCGCAGAAGAAGAAGCGGTACGCGTAGTAGTTCTGCGTGTGCAGATTGTTGGCGAAGTACTCGACCAGCAGTTTCTTCCGGTCGGATTTGCAGTCCTCGCTGATCACCGGGCAGTTCATGTCCAGCGCCAGCATCTTGACGCGGCCGCCCTCCCACGTCTTCCACATGTAGCGCGGCACGTAGAACAGGATGGCCTGGAAGAAGAGGACGAAGCACACCCACTGGTAGTACTTGTGGTGCTTCCGCGTGTCCTTCCCCACCTCCTCGTGACCCACGCCTGGATGTGCGTAGTCCTTGCCCGTCTGCAACAGAAACACGACCCGGTCCAAAATTCAGTCAAAATAATTGAAATGTTAGGATAAAATTTTATAAATATATAAAATCAGCGTTGATATTTGATTGTCTTGAAATCCAAAATCAAATATTTTATCTGACATTAAATTTGAAAATCAGGAATTTTAGGCTTTTGATACCACGATTTTTTTTGTAATTTTTAATGATATCTTAAAATATCATGAGAGATTAAATAATAATAATAAATTCCATTCGAAAATTTAAATAAAAGATTAACTATTTAAATGAACTTGTTTTCTTTAAATACAATTTTCCTCATGAATATCTTTAAACTTTGATACAATATAGCGGACAAAATTATATTAAGTGCAGTGTGCAACCGCGAGCACAAATTATTTGACCAAAGAACCAAAGAATGAGCACAAGTGCTAACAATAAGTTCGATAATGAGCGCGCGAGCAAAAACCGTCAGACGCTGCCAGTTGTAATGATAATTCAACTAAAAAAAGTTATATTTAAATAAAGTTGATTTTAAAAGTATTAATATTATTTTTTTTATTTTTGTAACCAAATTTTTAATTAAATAATATTTAGTTTTATCAAATGTTTAAACATATTTCTTTATTATTTTTTATTTATTAAATTAAATTTGAGATTTTATTCAAGAATATAAATAAAGTATTTAAATTTTGTTGAATTATTTTGATTTATTATTTAAATAAATTTTACTCTGTCTAACAATGAATTGATTAAAGAATAGCAAAATGTAAAATATACAGTTTTTATGGTGATGGCTTTTTTTTAAAATTACTAACTCTAATTTATTATGTTATACCAAAAATATATATAATAAAATATTCTAATAAAAAGAGAGCAATTAAACGGCTGAAGTTAATAAAACAGCCATTCGAAATGTTAAGGAAAATGTAAACACTTCGCACATTGCGACAGTCTGCGCCAAAAGTGTTTATTATTCCTGAGCAGCTAAAAAAGCACACGGAGCGAGTATCTGGCAGCAGCGGCGAACAAGATCCAACAAGTGGTCTGCGTTTAATGACCGCAATTAAATGAGAGGCTCTTGACTCGGCCGCTCAAAAATTAAAAAGCCACCTCAGCATAATTGTCTTTTACTCGCAATTAAAATCTCATCAAAACGAATGAATGAAAAGAGAGGGAAATTAATAAAAAGAAAATTGACACTCACCGTTCCTTCGAAACGGTTAGGGATGCTGTAGGTGGAATGGATCCAGCAGTAGGTGTCCATCACGTTGAGGGGAATCTCGTCCACGATGCAGTCAATGGGGTCACCGATGTATTGCCGAGAGGTGACCAGCAGCGAAAAGGCGATCAAAATGATGACCGTCGCTTTGTAGTGCAGTCGGAAAATATTGTTGTCGATGCAGACAGAGTCGAGCTTGAGCAGCCCCTTCACGGAGCCGAACACGTCAAACATGGCTACCTTTTTTTAGTTTGCACCTGAAACACAGGACGAGAGATTTCTTTTAGCCGAGAACGCGAAAAATATTCAAATAAAAGCCGAGGGTTGTTTTTTTGTCCGAGCGTGAGAAGCCCCGAATTGAAAGCGTGGAAAATCAGCCCCATTCACACACAACTCCTCGGCGAGGGGTGAAAGAACAAAAATGAGGAATTTTTATTGCTCGCGGGCCCAAGTAAGAAGGACAAACGCCGGAAGAGCGAATTGTTTTCAGTTCCCACGCAAAGAAGTTGCTTGAACCCGCCGGGATTCCGGATCATCAGCGCTTTGTTTAATTCGGGCGGAAACGACCGAGGGGAGGAAAAAATTTTAAGCGCAAGTGTACGACCCTCTTGCGTCAGACTTAAAAAAATTATTTAAAAAATTAAAGAAATAAATCCGGGCATCAAAATCTCCCCAGCAACCGCGAATGAGGCGCTGCGGTCGGTAGCATCCCTTGGGCTGCAGCCGGGTTACGCACCAAAGTCTTGCCTGAGGCGCTCGAGTGGACACACTCGACTGACCCTTTCCATTTCGGCCCGAGATTTATTAGCATCGAATTCAGGAAATTGAGGTTTGGGATTTACTCATCTCATTACCATTTCCATACTCATGGTCAGAAGTCATGCGCACTCATAATTAGAGGGGTAAATAGTACCCCAGTTTGAGGCGCATGTTTTTTAATTCAAGCTTATTATTTTGAATCTGAAATTACACAAGAGATAACTCTATAAAACCCAACTAAAGGAAGTAGTTTGTCACCGCGTTTCACTGGAAGCACTGATAAAAAATAAAAAGTCCAACAATATGAGATTATCTTTATTTTTTTAAATTATTCCATTGAATATTAATTTTGTATCTAAATAATTTCAACTCATAGATATGCTCCAGAATTTAATCAACAATACTTTATTTATTTTCCCTCTGAATGAACTATTTATTGTTTCTAAATGGCTGGGCTCGAATTTACTGTTTAATTTCTGGGAAAGCAATCGCGCTCAAAGTGCTCGCTCGAGGGATATAATTTTATATACTTACGAGGAGAAAAGTGTGTGCGCTGCTGACGCGTCGAATGCTGCGAGTTACGGGCGCTTGTGCCTGACACAATGGCGCGGCGCGACGCTGCTCTCTACGTTTCTCTCACGGCCAAAGGGACACTGGAGGACACGACAGACGACACTGGTCGACACCCCTAAAGCATGGTAGTCGCGCGAAAGGGTGCGCGAAACGCGAAAGGTCGGTGTGTGCGGTTGGCGTCGGCGGCCGGATGGTCTCAATGTTAGCGTCTGTGCTTCGTACGCTCGCTCGCAACTGGAGGCTTCGGCGGGGAGCCAACGCGCCCGCCGTCCCCCCACTCGCTCGCCACACCAATCGAGACCCACCCGAGGTCGTCGCGACCTCTGCACACGTCCTCTCCAAGCTGCACCGACACCGGATTTTGGAAAATAGTCGGAAAAATTTATTCCGTCACTTTTCGATTTTTGTATTTGTTGAATTTCTCGTGATTTTAAGCTTCAAAATTTCAGTTTGAAACTTACCTTGCCCAGTAATTTCCTCATCTGCACGCGATGTAATTATTTTCTTTTCGGAGCAAAACACGAAGAGCTTGATTGTAAATTGAAAAAGCAGCGCCAGGAATTTGGCCTTTGAGCTCCACGCTTCCTGTCCATTATGCCTGTAAAATAGGGAAAAAAACTTAACTTTAAGCAATATTTATTTACTTATATTTAAAAAAAAAACAATTTAAGTAATAATTGTAAAATATTAATTACTTTCATTTATTTACACTTTTTATTTAATTTTTTTGATAAATATATTTTTATTTTATTTTTGCTATATTTATAAATTAGGATTATCAAGTCTAAGTTTAATAAAATGACGTATGTAAAATTAGTCAAATTTAATATTAGAATTTTTTCTTCCTTCAATTCAATTTCTATACACCAGAAAACAGAACATGTTAATCTATCCATGAAGTTTCCTTTTCTTAATTTTAACTCCTTAAGAAGTAAGTTTATTAAAATTCAATCAATTTCATTTGGAATTTATTCGTCTATATATCTAAAGGAAGTAACGCGCACGTCAATAACAGTCTGCGTGCCCCTAGCAGTAATGTGTCGTGTCCATTATAGATCATGAATGAGTCACGCAGCTGTCAATCTGCCCCCTATGTGTGCGATTGGATTTTCGGGAACAGTCACTTCACAGTTTTGTATTGATTTGAGCAAAGGAAATCATATAAAATCTTGACTTTACACAAAAAATAAGGAAACACCAGGAAAAATAAAATGACTCCTCCTGAATAGCATCGAGATGTGCCATCTATGAATCAAGGTCTCCTGTGATTAATCAGCCTTGCGAATGTTTTGATTGTTAGTCATCAAAAACATGAATGAATGGAGATGCGTGATCATTTAAAAAAAATTCCGTCATCAATTTTATTTTTCTATGATTAAAATTAATTCATATCGATTTGAGTGACGCAGTGACGCTTATTATTTAGGTTGAATTAAAGATAGCTTGTTTCATGTTTCTTTAAATTGCCAGAACATGTTGAAATAATCAAATAGAAGATAAAGATTAAGAGTCCAACACGTGCCTTTGGGAAATAATTATCAACGAATTGCTTTAATTATGGCAATTCGCGATTTCTCCGAACGCAGATTATTCGCTTGCACGCAAAACCTGTCAGACAAACATTGATGAATTATCGAAATTATCCTACTTTCCCAGCGAAAACTAAATTGCGGGCCTTCTTAATTAAAACGGAGCGCAAAAGCCAAACGGTCTGGCGCAAACGGCAGCAATTCGGTAGCGCGCCTGCAGCAGCTACCGACCCGCCCAGCGTGAGAGACGAGCGGCCAGTCTACCTAAAGTGCCCCCACAGAACCGGAAACAAGTGCTGTGAAACAAAAATTTCAACTGAAAGGTAAAATTAGTTTAAAATTTTAGTCAATAATAATTTAAAAAAATTATTAAAAATTTAAAAATTAATAAAAAAAATTGTGAATTTAACGCTACTAAAAATGATTCTTTTCTCCAGAACATTGGCATTTATGATTCATTTGAATGTTCATATATTGAGAGGGGTTCCGTCTCTATAAAAATATTTTCAATTCAATATTCAATATCAATAGGAAACGTGCCATTTGCCAAAACTGGCCAAGTAAAAGTTTTTTTTTAAATTAATTCCATGTTTAAGTTATTAGCAATTTTAATTCACAAATAAATTATTTCATAATGAAAAATTCACCTTTTGTATAAAAAAAACTTGGCCGAAACCCTGAAATTATTGTAACAGAGACACTGGATTGCAATTTTCACTATATTTCTTTAAATTTGACTGGAACGTTCGAAAATTTAATATCCAGGCTTTTGTGTCTGATGCAGTTGCAAAAATTATATTTATTGGTTTTATAAATTTGCTTCTCAATATTGCTAAAATAAAATAGCTTTCATATTCCTTTTTACACTTGAAAACCAACTGTTAATAAAAAAAAGCTTTCTTTCCTCTGTTAATAAGGAAAAATTCAAACTTCTAAGGTTTTTTTTGTAAGAAGCTTTTAGTCACCTTTACTTTTTGGAAGGTATGTGTGGACCACTGACTCCGCATCCGGGTGAGATTCAGTAGCCAGTGCTCTCCTAATATATATAGAGTGGTCACCGGAATGAGTCACCGCGGCGTGGGCTCCTCTGAAGGGTCCCACCCACCCGTCTAGTCAGGCGACCCCGCACCGTGGGAACCACCCGAGGACCCGCACTTTCGACTTTACTGCTTCATAACTTTTATTATATCAACAGGAATTGATCTGAACAGTTTTGCCTCCGCTCTTTTTTATTCCACCGGAGTGATTTTACATATGAGCACATTTTTATGTGCGAAGCGAATTTTCGGCGGCGTCTCTCTCGCTCGCAATTGTTATGCGGCGCGAGAGCCACTCCTTACCGTGATTGCTTCGCTTCTTGCACGGGGGGCACGATCTGAGAATGGAATGTGGCTCCATTACCTGCTCCCTAGCTTACCTGCAGACCCAACTTACTGCTCCTCCAAGTGACGTCACGATCGCCAAAAGATCGCATCAACCACCGAATGAGCGTCTCCTTTCTGTGTTGAACAAATCTGCAAAAAATCGGCTTACACACGTGCCTTTCAATTAGTGTTTGCACCTTTTCTGAGCTTAAATGATTTTTAAAAAAATGATTATAAATTATTAAGAGTACCTTAAAATTAATAAATTCAAAATTATATTATTTTAATTTATTTTTATATTATTTTTAATATATTTATTTAATTATTCTAATTTAATCTACATTATTTCAATTAAAATTGATGTTCAGAAGGGGAATTTAGTAAACTGGGTATGCAATCAAAGATAATTTACAAATTATTTATTGCTTTATTTCATTTCTAATTATTCCCTAGATTTGAATTCCACTCTGAAAATAGAATTTTGGGGTCAGAGTTGTATTAAAACACAAAATATTTCCAACTTACAAGCAGAGAATTTACTTTTTCCCTAGAAAAAAAAATTATTTATAGGTAGTTGGTAAGTTTTGAAACTTTTTTGTGGACTTTTTAAATCGATACTTCTCTAATTTTTACTAAATCTCGTTTTCTTCAATGTGGGATTATTTTAGTCAAGTGGAGAGATGAAACGTAGAAAGAAATTGGCAAAATTTGAATTATATTTAGCAATCTATGCAAATTCTCAACAAGCGTGCCCAGCAGGTTGCATGCATTTTTTACTCTACTCTGAACTCTGAACACATCTGTGTGAGAAAAAAAACGACGAAAGTGGAAATAGATCTTGTAAATCTGTATCTGGAAAAATCTTAATCTTGAATTTTTTTAAATTAATATTTACCAACGTTATTTTATAATATTATTTTACACCTTTTCAAATCAATTTCACCTTCCCAGTCTCACGCGATCACGATCTCGCAGCAAAAAGTTGTGAAAAGGCAAAGGTGCGAGAGTGAATCATCAACGCGGCGTTCGCGATTAAAACTCGTTTTACATTTTTCTCGCCGCAAGAATGTTTGTTTCCGAGCCAATCGAGCAGAAATTGAGTCGTTTGGCGACAAACAAGCGTTTTATTTCCATCTAAACTCTCGCCCTCGGACGGAAAAGTTAAATTGAAATTCATCGTTTCCTTCCTTCGGCTCGGTTTTGTTTTGGTCCGAGAGGTGAGTATAGATCTCTAAAAAGGATGGAGGTGTCTGGCTCGCGGCGAAATGTGATCATTAAGGCGTGGGAAATGGGCACTCGCACTGTTCCCAATAGCGCACGGCTGCCTCAATCAAAGGAGAAAAATAAATTCGAAACAGTCACGTGCAGAGGATGTTAGACGAGAAAACGAATGCGTTTTGTTGAAACGCGCGCCCGGGATTGATTGGGATGAGCAAGGGCTCACCTGTCAGCCAGATGTATATAAATGGTCCTGTTCGTTGGACAGACACCTTTTATAAAAATTTATCAAATCGTGATCCTTTGTATAATATAGGCATTTAGAAGAGTTTGATGACTAGCTCTTTTTTAAAAGAAGAAATTTCTTGGTTATTTTGGTTAATTTAATATTTTTACTAATTTGTACATAAAAATTAATTTTCTCATGTTATGAATTGAAACAATCTAGCTTAAGAAGTTTATAAAGAAATAAATGTATATAATTGCAAGTTTTATATATTTAAAGTTTTTTTTCTTCTAAATTTATAGATAACGCAATTCGAAAATCAAGTAAAATTTAGCAGGTTTTTAAACATTGCCCAATAAATTTAAATCCCAACAGTGGAGTTTTTCTGTATCAGAAGCCGAAAACAAAAAATATTTATATCAACAGGATGTTGGTGCTGCCGGGCGGTACTGCGCGCCAGGTGTTTTCCGAGACAGGTGAACGAAAGAGTTGAATATCGGTGGCAGATGCTCCTATTCCTGCGCTTCTCGTGTGCCACAATCAGGCAGATGGTCCGCCAAAGGGTTAGTTTAATGATTCTGGAGCTTTTGGTGCATTTCACTTGGACGCCGCAATCAGTTCTTTGATGCGCTGGGTCAGCACGTGGTTGTCGCTGCGGAGATTTTCCACAATATCAAAGTGGTCCAGTCCCTTCAGCTGCTGCAGCTCAACGCTGGAGAGGCGGCCTTCTAGGACCTAAGAGTTGAAAAAAATATATAAAAGTTTAATAATTAAAAATAATAGATATCATTTTTTATATTTAATTAAAAATAAGTCATTTTAATGAGTCTGCCTTGTCAACTCTAAAAATAAGTTTAAAATGTCAGAATAAGAACAATTCTAAATGTGCCTCAATATTATTCTATTTCAATAGAATTTGAAAAAAAAATACTAACTTAAAATTACTGACGGTTGAAATGAAAATGAAAAATAAATAATAAAAGCATGACGAATTATTTTGAAGAGCAACCGTTTTTGATTATACCTTTACCAGGTCCATATCTTATGCCCGTGCAATTTTTTGATTAAATTTTGATATCAAATTAAATTTGCCTATATACGTTTGAGAGAAAAAATTTTACCGTGATTTTAACTTTAAATTTAGACAAAAAGTTGACAAAAAAGAGGCTTTTCACCGGTAAAACTTTGGCCATGGTTGTAATAAGTTCGGAATAAAGGACAGGAAAATTTTTGACAACAAATGAATAAATGCTTTGAATTTTTATTTCAGCAGGATGCAATTGAAGGCTTGACTTTGAAATTCTTAAGTAATGGAGTTTTTATTTTTATTTTTAGAGACAATGGGGCAATCAAAATGTTCTTACCTCGGCGAGACGTTTGCTCTGCTCAATAAAGGCCGGCGAGTCGTGTTCGCCGACGGCCACAAGCACGTGGAGACGTCGCGCCCACGCTGGCAGACGCACGTTCGGAAGCTGCACCAACGGACTCAACTGACTAGCCCTTTGCCTGTGTGACAAATTTGTCGAAATTCATCATAAATTCAAAAATAAAAACAACTCACTCGTCGAGCCTCAGTGGCTCGTTGACGGTGGTTTTGATCAGAGGCGTCAGGTCAAAAATTCCGCTAATGAGCACCAAACCACGGACGATCTGCAGTCCAGCACTTTGCGGCCCCAAAAGGGCCGACAGGGCCAAGTGGGCTCCGGCCGAATGTCCTCCAACCCAAACAGTCCTTTGAGCATAAATTAGTTAATCCTTAGAATTTTCCTTAGAAGTGACACAAAGTTAGAAAAAAATTCTTCACTACAAAGTTATTTGATTGAATTTTTAACATGAATTTTAAATACATAGATGCTCTCGTGCAAAAAAGGCGAATGAAGGCATTTATAATTTCTTTTATAAAACAACTTCAGAAAATGGGAACTCTTTTATCCCAGTGAAGTGATAGTAAAATTATAATTCTAAAATTACATTTTAAATATTTCAATTTGCCACGATAAATGATAAACATTTTTACTAGCATATAAATATAATAGTTATTCATACTGGCAGCCAGTAGAAGCCGCGTGATCTACAATCACCTGCAACCCGCACCTGATTTCATCTACGATTTCTTCTAGTGTCACTATTGGCGAATCATTATCATTAGTTTAATCAATAGCAATTGTTCAGAAATGCAGATTCAGAAGTCTGCTGATAAAGTGTAAAAGAAAATTAATTCTATATTTTAATAGAAGTCGAGTACTTGGAAATTTTAATTTTAATTCTAAATTTTTTACATGTAGCATGTAGCAGACAGACTGAATAATATATAAAATTATTACATAATTATAAAGACAATTACTAGATTTTACGTTTTAATTAAAAACATTGTAATAAAATAATTAAATTTATTTATAAATAAATGAATATAAGATAAATAATGATTAAATAAAATAAATATTATAAAATAAAATAAATTTTATCTTTTATATTAAAAATTTAAAACAGTTTAAAATTTATTAAAATAAAATCTTGTTAAATTTAACAATTAATTTTTTAATGCTCAACATATCAATAATTTTCTTTTTTATATCCAAACTTATTATAATACCATGCGGGGCCAAAGTGTACCCCATGATGGCGACCCTGATTCCAGCCCTGGCCAAGGGTCGGACGCAGTAAGCGGAGATGTCCCTGCTCAGGTCTTGCCAGTACCCGCCGTGTATGTAGACGAACAAAGGCGCGTCTGCAAATAAAAAAAATTGTGTAATTCTTGTTCTGTTTTCCTTGCACCCATAACTCTCTCTTATTTGCCTCTCGGTGCGACAAGCGCTTCATGTTCGTTTTGTATGAATCGGAGACAACATGGAAAGGCCATTAAAATAAAGATACACACACAGCACTCACCCTGGGACAGCGAGTCTCCGCCAAACAGGTCGTACTGCTGCGCCTCCCGCGGTCCATATCGCAGCCCAATTTCGTTTGGCACCGTCGATTTTGAGATCTCGCTCTCTGCGTTCACATAATTTATTCATTTCAAATAATTTTTAAACTGCTACATGAATTTCCATTTTCTTTTTGTAATGAAATAATAAACAAAAATTCATATTAACTCATATAAAATCCAACTCTATAATGGATTAACTCGACAATATTTACATCAGAATTAAAAAAATTCCTAAATTTCAACCTTTTTAAAGTATGAATTAAAATTAAATTCCCTCGCTTTATTTGAAGTTATTGAAATTCTTATTTTATTTAGAACCACGCGTTTAGCACCATTTAAAATTAAAATTAGTAAATTGGAAAAAAAATCAATTATAATTTGCATCTGCTTCTTTAGGCACCAGTCTTATCTTCCGTGCGTTGATAAGAGCAAAAATTTAATATAAATCAAGTAATTCCTTTCTGAAATAGATTTTTTGGCCAGTGGCAACTTGCCTTGCACTTAAATTAATAATGAACGGTTGTTTTTTCGGTCTCACGTGACTTGAATATCCTGTCAAATGAGCCGAGCCGGTTCGATCATTTTTACCTGAAGAGACAACTTTGATGTGGTGCTCGATGACCTCTTTAGGGCCGAACCTTTGGGACCATCTGCTCGGCGAGTACTGCTTTTCCAACTCCTGCGATTTTCAACTTTTTTTTTAAACCGAAAAACAGCTCTTTTTGTCACTCACCTCGTCCACCATGATGCGTTAGAATCGCATACTGGTTTGGTTCGACTATCGAAGGTGACTGACGACGGACGCCGGCACCGTAACTTGATAGTGCGCGGGTCAACTGATAGGGGCCGTCCGTCCACCAACCATGTGTCTGTTTTCTTCCTTTCGAGCGATGACAGAATTTTATTAGCTCGAGAGCTGAATTTTTTCGTTTCAAGATGCGTATATATAGGAGCTGACGACATGCGCCGCTGTGTTTTACAGAGGCCTAATTTTTTACCGGGCGGGGGGTTAACTGATCTGCCCTTGACATCGACGCTCGCTTCAATCCCAGAACTCATCATTTTTTAGCGCACCAAACTTGTATGAAGTTTGCGTTTCTTTTTTTTTTAAGATAAAATTTAAAAACATTTACACATTCAAAATAGAGAATATTTACTTTGAGCAATGCAAGCTAAAAGCAAAAATGAAAAAAAATTTTTTTTTTTTAATTATAAATCTAATTAACCTGTATAATCTGGTCTTGATTTATATGTAAAATTTATTTTACAAAATCATTGAATCTTTTTTTGTCTCTAAATTTTAATTCTTATAGAGTTAATTTTGCTAATAGAGATTTTTTTATTTTTACATATCACATATCATCTAAATATTATATTTTATCAACTATATTTTACTATTAAATGACAAATTCGTTAAAAGCGATCATAATGTTGACCCTGCCTGCGGAGGCACTAAAAACCACGTTTTTTAATATTCTTTTTTATTTTTAAATTTAACAAAGAAAAACGTCACTCCAGTTTTGACATATTTTATGTAAAATTTCATGAGGAATCGAATGGCAATCTCAAAATTTTTTTAAAACGTGCGGCCCATTTTCAAATTTGAATTTGAAAATTTGAGGTCATGAAAAATGACCTTGAACTTTGACCTACAACTTTTTACTCAACAGCAAACTTGTAAAAATCGTCAAGACAAATTCAACCATACCCGGATTTTTGTTCTATGATCAATAGAACGCGAGAAAATTAGGTTTTTTAATTTTATCAAAATGTCCCATAAAACCCGCAATTTTGGAAATTTTTTCAAAAAAATTTAGGGGTGTTGCTTTTAAGTCATGGTTGTTATGCTGTGAAAATCTCAATCGGCTAACTTCAAATTTGGGCATGGGGAGTGAGAACAGAAAGAATCGCACTAATCAGTAAAAAATATTTAGCAACATTACATCTAGAAGTCTATATTTCTATTTCTCCAGTTTTATTTTTGACTCATTGAGAGTTTTGTCCAGGAGGCTCCAAAGACAGCAGGGCCTTGGAAACTCATTGTCCACCAAATTGACCAGGAAATAGGAATTCTCGATTTCGCTCAGCACACGTCGAGACTGCGACTCGGGGTTGTAAAGTCGGCCCCACTGCTCTCTCCACAGAGCAAATGCTTCGTCCTAATCAATTAATTTTTAAATAATAATTTTTCAATTAAATTAAATGCAAACCTTCCACACGTTGAAACTGACAGGGTCCACGACGGTTGGTTGAATGATTTCCCTACCCGGGAAGACGCCCCAGGTGACCGCGATGGGCACGTTTTTAAACGTATTTGTGTAAGATTTTTCTCCCTGTAGAGTTAAATTAGTTTTATGAAAATCCCAAGCTGAATTAATGTCGCAAATACTTACGGTTTTATCAACAATGTGGTAATGCACCGAAGGGAAGTTCTTGACCTCCTCCAAAAGCGCTTTGATCACCTCTGGACGTGCAAAAAACTCCAAATAAGCCTTTTGGTAGACGTAGCCATCAGGCGAACCCCAACCAACCACAGGGTCGCTACTCGGAGTGCCATTCACGTTCGGCTAAAACTCGGAATTTGTAAAAATTTCATTAAATAAAAAAAAAATCAATACCTGGGAGTTAATGGTCAAAATTCCGCGGCTGTTCAGATCGATAAGTTGTTTTACCAACGGAATAGTTTCTTCGTTTAACTCACTGTCATTCCAAGGAAGGTGTGAGACCTAATAACAATATTTTTGTATGTATTAAAATGAAGTTGTAATTAATTAAAATTATCAATGTTTACTCTCATCTTTAAATGCTGCTAAGATATAAAAAACAACTTTGTATTATGAAGCAGTGGCAAGTATAATAATAAATTAAATTATTAGTAAAAAAATAAATATTAAAAATTTACATAAAATATAATAAATTGAATTATAACTTAAAACTATTATATATTTATTTAATAATATTATATTATATTAATAAAAACAAATAATAAATTTAAAATTATTTATAATTTGTTATAACTAATTAAATTATATTTTAAATTTATTTTATATCTTTATTATTAACATAAACAAGTTCTTCTTATTTTTATAATTTGGTTACTTAAATTATAATATCAATTAAGTAAATATTGTGTATATTAAATTATAAAAAAATTATAAAAAAAATTATTTAAAATACTGCCACATTATATCTATTATTAATTTTGATTAATATATTAAACTCACATTGACACCCTGTTTGTTAGGGGTCTGTGCGACGTAACTGTGGAAAACGTGCCATACGTCTTTTTCACTTTCCAGCCTATTAAGCCACATGGCCCTGAGCTGCTCAGGAGGAATTTCGCTCTTGAGGTAGAAAAGGTAGTAGTCGGAAAGGTCTCCGAAGGCGGGCGAGTCGTGCTTGCCCCACCGACCGTTTGGAAAATCGTCCCAGTGCTGGGTGCGGTGCACATAGGCCCTTGGTCGGGACGCCCAGAAAATCGGCCGAACCTGCTCGTGGCACCGCCGGTGATTGTCGCCCAAGCGCCATGGTAGTGGACGCGACGGTGAACTCTGCCAAACACCTACTCGCTTGCAAATCTCTGCTGGACCATTCTCCCTAAAATTAAAAATATTTTAAAGAAGTTGATTTCCTTTGAGAGAAGCAATTATTATTTTCTACCAAGATTGAATCAACGACTCATATTCCAGGATTTAATTAACAAATTTAATGCTGAACTTATCACGCACATTAATCGCATGGAAAAAATCCATTAATCAGATCCATAAATTGTTTTTTTCCAATTTTTGCTATTATTTTTACTTTCTGGAGTAGAATCTGGCCGATCTTATTTTTTTTTTTAATCTGATGCGCAAAAATATTCACATTTTAAGTTAGCTTATGGGAATTTCTGGTACTAACCAGGTAAAAACTAAAAATTTGATATTATCCTCCATAAGTTCTTATTTTGAAATTAATTCCGTAAAATGTTTTTTTTTTCTAAAAATTTTAATTTGAAAAAATGCATGCGCTTATTTTTTCATTAATGCAGATTCAGGAAATAAAAAAATTTTAATTTTAAGACAATATTTTTTATACCTATTGAGTGTAAAAAAGTGAAATCCAGGAGCAGATTTGGCGTCCAAAACCGACTTCACTATTTCAACTGCCAAGTGAATTCCTAAATTCTGGACAGCTTCGTCGTTGTCTTTGATAGGCTCGATGGCCTTTGTGATTGATTCCGGTACCTCAAGCTGCGACATTTTCACGATTTGCCTCAACGAAGAAAAGCTCTGTAATAAATAATTTTAATTGGCTTATTTAATAATTTAGTACAAAAAATTTACCTGGATGGGCAAAATTCCAGGCACGATCGGAACGGTGATGCCAATTTTTCTGCAGTCCCGCACAAAAGTAATGAACTGGTGCGCCTCGAAAAACAGTTGCGTTATAACAAAGTCAGCGCCGGCCTCAACCTTTTGTAGATTTGTTCAGCCAATTAACATCCAAGAAGAACCGCCAAAAAATTTATGAAACCTTCTCTTTGAGGTACTGCAGGTCATGCTCATAAGAGATGGCTTCAGGGTGTCCAGCAGGGTAGCCACCGACTGCGATGGTGAAATAAGAGCCAAAGTTGGAGCGAATTAGCCGAACAAGATCGACTGCGTGAATAAATCCATCAACGGGCGGTTTGTAGTCAGGAGTGATATCTAAGAAGCATATTTTTTTTTTTCAGAATTGTTCAGGTAAATCACACAGAAGCAAAATGCACAAATAAATAAAGCACAATACTTGATTAAAAACAAAAATATAGTTATAAAAATATTTTGCTACAATTGATTTTCTAATTGAAAGCTTTATGTATGATAAATATTATTGTTGTTTTATTTAAAGCTTTATATTTTAAGAAAAGATTGCATGAAAATTAACCAAAATTTATCCTACTCAGGTAAAATTTTCGTTGCGCAATATAAAACAAAGCCAAAAATCTAAATTAAAGAAACTTTTCCAAATATAACTGGCATAATATTTACTAAATTACTCCAGCTGTCAAATCAAATATTGTGCAAAATAATTTTAAAAAAATCTTATGTTATTTACTAAAATCATAACAAATTTTTGAGTCATCTGACTGTTTTTTTTTTTTTTAATTATTTTAAAAAGATATAATTATACCTCCTCTAAGTGCCAAAATTGACCTCACGCCCATGTGCTTGGCCCTCCTGAGGTGTCTCAGAGCTTCTTGCTTGGTGAGGTTGGTAGCTGATTTAAATATTAAATCAAAAATTCATTTCATAAGTTTACTATATTTTCCACCTGCAATGTGCAGCATAGTTTCTAAACCACAATAGTTAAAAGCAGAGCCCGCAATCGTCATCGATGAGGTTTCCGAATAACCTCCAGGGTCGCAGGCAGGGTGCCAGGTAATGGCGCAGAAAAGCGCCCCTCCCGCTTTCACCCTGTCAAATCTTCAGAAAAGTTTTAAATTTAAACAAAAAAATTCATGATAAAAGAAAAGGTTTACCTTGAGAGGAGGTTGGCGGCGCCGGCTTTGGTTCGCGGCGGAAAAAACTCCATCGAGAAGAAAAGGTCGCCGGACCGGACCCTGCGGAGGACGCTGTCTGCAAGGGGAGGGTGGCAGCCGAGGCAGCGGTGCACCTGCGGCCGCTCTTCGTATTGATCCACATCGGCGGCCACGTTCTGAACAATGTCCAAAGAGAGGAGCGTTTGCTTCACCATGATGGACGACTGCACCAAGAATGGCAAGAAAAAAGCAGAGCCGGAGCTTTAAGCTGGCTTCGATTGAAGGCGGATTTCTTTTATTAGAAAAAGGGAATGTATACGCGGGGATCGAACGATGGATGTTGAAGAGAGGCGTAAAAAATGTAATCTCAACGATTCTCATACATTGTCAGATCAAAGTCGGATCTTTATTTATAATTTCTGTGCTTTAAGACTTTCTAAGTTATCTTTTTGAGATAACATTACTTAAAAAGAATTTCAATTACCCAACAATTTTATTAAAAACTGTTAAAAAAAACGACACATATTTTTCTTTTATATAAAAGTGCAATGATTACTTTCAAAATCAGTGTTCGTTTATATTTGAGAACAAAACAAAAAAATTATTTTCTTATTTACATTTAAGTTTAAATCATTCTAAAAATGGAATAAATCTCTTAAATTAATAACAATAAGATTAAATCTGGTGATTTTTTTTTTAATAAAATAAGTTCACTGGGCTTTGAATAATTTTTAGACTGAATTTAGTGAAGTCAAAATGTGATTTCCACAATCAGGTATTTCGTATCTCTTGATCTTTTGCCTAGAGAGTGGCAACTTTTAATAGTTTTTGTTAAATTAAGCAAGTATTTTTCTGTAAATTATTGCTCATAAAATAATACAATAAAAGAGAAAGATTAAAAATAATGTGAGTATTTAAATTTCTTTAAATATACAAAAAAAATGTCCCAAAATTTAAGCAGACATAATTTAGCAAAAAAAATTGGAAAAATTGATAGTAATGTTAAATATATATATATTTATTTTAAATTTAAATTTTTATATTTATTTCTTGTAGCCCTTATAGGAACTGTAATCCTAAGAATTATAATACAATCAAAAACTATTACCAGTACAATAACCTAAATATCATGTCAGATAATGAACCTCAAATTCGCATCTCTCTTCTTTTGTCATGCGGGCCAAACTTTGTTACATAACAATAAAAGAGTCCGGCGCGCGTGGATTGCGCGTGGTCGAATGTTTTATTTATTTTTGTACTAATAATGCTTACTTATCGACAAAGCCTTTTGCCCTCGGTGGTCCGATGCCAATCCGGCTCCAAGCGTAAAGGTCGCGACCTCTGAAGCCTCTTTCGATCTTTTCGTGTGTAGTTCGCGCACGTGCCTTTCGCGCCGTCACGACTTGAACTGGAAGTCATCGAAAAATCATCACCGAGTCATTTTCTATTTCTCTCTCCGGCAAACGCCCTTGAAATGAACTTTGGCTGCCGCGGCGGTCAACCTTGGTCCGCGAAATCTAAAGTAAATTCGCCCAAAACTCCGCGTGTCACGCGACCCGACCGTCCGAGCCCGGTCCGCAGCCTTTAGGTGAGTGTCCCGTTCGCACCCTTAGGTGTCCGAAGAGCCTGCTTTTGTGTGGCCGCGCCGGACGAATTCGCCGACACGAGAGCGAAATTTCTTTCGGCTGCTGTTTCTATTTTGGCACTGAACTCCTTTTGCAACCAACTGGCGCACGCTTTTAACTCTCACTTCTTCCCACTTTGCATTATTTGCATACGAGCTTTTTTAGCCCCTTTTTCTTTCACCATAGTGACGTTTTTTAATTCGTAATTTGTTTTACTCTTACCCCTGTGATTTTAATTAAGAAATTATTTTTCTTTTAAATTTTAAATAATTTTTTTTTAAATTTGATTGCTGTAAATTTACTTGCAATTTTCAACGAATTTTTTTTAATTTGGAAAAAATAAGTAAAGAACAATTAATTAAAATTAAATTTTAAAATAAAAAATCCATAAAATAACGCACAAATTTTTTAAACAACGAATACAAAAAATTTTATATATTTCATAAATAGATTTCCAAGGTCAACAAGTGTGTATTTCTGGGCATGGTGACTTTTTCATGGTAATTTTATAAAGTTTAATTTTGTAATGAATTTATACATACTTAGAAATTCATGAAATAAATAAATAAATAAACATTTTTGCGTCTTCAATTTTCTGAAAAATAATTATATAAAAATTTTAATAATATAAATTTATTTTATTTATAAATTGCATTTATACGTGTTTTTTTATTTTTAAAGTTTTTCAATTTGTATCACTTGGTTTCTGTACAAGGTAATTTTATTATTTAAATTCTAAATATTTTGTCTATTAATATTTTTATTGAATATATTTTGGATCATTTAGAATTTAAAATTATCCTGCTTTTCGGTTTCAGTTTATATTCAATAAAATTGTGGTTTTGAAGGATTTTTTTAATTAATAATAAGATAAATTATGTGCAATAATGGCAATTATGCATATTGAACTTAATTTGTTTGCCGGAGTTTTGAAAATGAAGTTTAATTTTGATTATTAAAATAATTTTTTTATTATAAAAGTAGTTTATAAGTTAATTTTAATCATTTTAATTTAATTTCCTTTTTTATTTTTTTCAAAAAAATTATAATTATTGAATATTATTTCATCATTTACTTTAATTATATTGATATTCCAATTTTTAAATTGGTTTTTATAATTTTACATTAACATCATAAAATAAATTGCTATTTATTATTTATTTATTTTTTTAAATAAATTTTTCCCATTTTTGCAGGAATCAAGTGATAATAGGAATAATAAGTTGTGTATTGGAAGCACGGAATTTATTAATTAGAACAGCCTCTAATTGAGCTGTAAAGTTGCTTATTAACTCTTGACATATCTTTTTGTCAGCTTTTCTCTTTAAGCTGCTTGCAGTTGCAGGGCGCTGGTTCAGCGCACCCACCGCAAGAAGTGCACTACTTATAATAATAATTTAATAAAAGGAGATTAAACTCGACACCGTTTGAGAGAGACTGGAGAAAAATTAAGCTCCTCTATTATATTCTCCATCTCGCCGTGCACGCGTCGGAGAAGTGAGGCGAAAACCGACGTCGCCGCGCCACTCTTGCATCTGAACTTATAATTCCCTAATTTAACCCTTTTTACGTCAGATTTTTTGGAGATTTTCAAGCCGAGGTGTGTTTTGCTTTGTCCGTGTTGCAGAGTGAAAAGATTGAACTAACAAGTGAAGAGGAAAATCTTTTGTGCCACCATGTCTAGGGACAGGATGTCTCGGCGCTTCTACCGCGTCGAGTCCAGCCAGGACTTGCTCGCCTACATGGACAAGGGCGAGGCGGCCAATTTGGAGAACCGATGGTGCTTCGAGACTGCATGGGAAGCCGCCAACAAAGGTAGACAGAAAATAAAAGTTTTAAATTATAAAAATAAATTATTTTGAAGTTTAAACTTTAAAAAAGTAAAAACATGACTTTGTTGTTCAAATTTTTTAAACTTCAGCTTATATAAGAGATTTTTAATTTTATTTATTTTAAAAGTTAGTTCTCTTCATCATCAGAATTGAATTTGTGTCAAATTTTTATCCTTGATATAGAAGCTTTGCAGAGAAGGATTATTGCTTATCTCATTTCTGAAACTATGGGGTCAGTTGTTACTATGTTATCTCAAAACACAGGTCAAGGTTGTGGCTTTGGAGAGCAAATAAATTTCAGGAAAATTATGCAAGCGAAAATTCATTCATTCATTATAATATAGCGGAAGTTTGCGGTTTTATTTTATTTTATATTTTAATAATATGTTAAAACCAGTTAAAACTAAATTTAATTTACTAAAATTGTTATTCATAGTTAACAAATTACCTTAAAAAATTAGAGTACCTTGAATTTTAATATAAACAAACTTTTATTTAACCACGAATTTTTCTGCTTGTAATAGAATTAATCCTCTAGAATTTTAAAAAGGAATTTAAAAATAGTTCTAAATAAATAGATTTCAAACATTATTATTGTTATTAATTTGTTCTTATTGTTTGAATTGAATCAAATTTACTAATTATATTCAATTATAAAACTTGTTAACTACACAAATTTTATTTATATATATGAATTTAAATTTGCAATTCTAGCTGGAATAATAAAAATTCCAATTTTTTTCAGTTGGTGGAATTTACACTGTAATTCGGTCAAAGGCGTTTGTTTCCACGGAGGAAATGGGTGAGCACTATTGTCTCCTGGGACCATACAAGGAACACTGTGCCAGGACAGAGATTGAGGAGATGGAGTTCCCCAACAACAGCCCCTTGAACGTTGCCGTCCGCAAACTCAGAGACCAGGGTTACAAAGTAAGTTTTTTTGCTTTATCATTATTTGATATTCAAATTTAATTAATTTTTTACCTTATAGGTTCACACTGGCACGTGGTTGGTAGATGGAAACCCTCAGATAATTTTGTTTGACATTGGTTCTGGTGCGTGGAAACTGGACCACTTCAAGCACGAGTTGTGGGAGACTTGCCACTTAGGCATTCCACACCTGGACATTGAAGCCAATGACGCTGTCATCCTTGGCTACATGGTTGCCGAATTTATCGCAGAGGTTTGAAAATTTTGCCCACTCCTGTTTTACTTGAGATATTAATTTTTGATTTGAAACTTTCAGTTCAGGAAGGCAGCAGAAGAGTTGTCGGACATAAAACCACGTGTCGTTGCGCATTTCCACGAATGGCAGGCGGGCGTCGGGTTGATTGCGTTGAGGACGAGACATGTTGAGGTTGCGACCGTCTTCACCACCCACGCCACCCTGCTCGGCAGGTACCTCTGTGCTGGAAGCACCGACTTCTACAACAACCTTGGAACTGTAAGCATTTTCTTTAGAAAAAACTTTCCTAGGGATTTAATCCCTGAAAAATATAAATTTGTATTTAAAATTTTACTTTTCTATAGAATGAATCAGAAAAGAAAATTTAAAATTATTATAGAGGGATATTTAATAATTTAAAAATAGGTATAATCATGTCTTAAATTTTGCTTCTGTTTGATGTCCAGGTTTTTCCCATTACATAGCTATGCATCACAAAATTTACATTTCAATTTATCACAAGCACCAAAGTTGAATTTTTATCATTAAAAACCAAAAATAAAAAATTTTCTCAAATATAACCTCATCAGAAATTCTTTCAAAATTGCATTATGAATAATATTAATTTATTCAATTTAATTTTTAATTTCAGTTCAATGTGGATGAGGAGGCGGGGAAGCGTCAGATCTACCATCGATACTGCATGGAGCGAGCGGCGACGCACCTGAGCCACGTGTTCACCACTGTGTCTGAAGTGACAGGACTAGAGGCTGAACATCTTCTCAAGCGCAAGCCCGACTTCATCACGCCAAACGGGCTGAACGTGAAGAAATTCTCCGCATTGCACGAGTTCCAGAATCTGCACGCTATGGCCAAGGAAAAGATCAACGACTTCACAAGGGGCCACTTTTACGGCCACTACGACTTTGACTTGGACAAGACCCTGTACTTCTTCATTGCCGGCCGCTACGAGTTTGGCAACAAGGGCGCCGACGTCTTCATTGAGTCGTTGGCGCGGCTCAACCACTACCTGAAGGCGGCCAACTCTGATACAACAGTCGTCGCCTTCCTCATTTTCCCAGCCAAGACCAACAATTTCAACGTTGAGAGTCTACGAGGAGCGGCCGTGACCAAGAGTTTGCGCGAGACCATCAACAGCATCCAGCAGAAGATGAGCAAACGCCTGTACGAGATCTGTCTGCAGGGCAAGCTGCCCTCGACCAACGACCTTTTGCTCAAGGAGGACACGGTCAAGCTCAAGCGCTGCATCTACGCCCTGCAGAGGGACGGACTGCCACCTGTCACCACACACAATATTGTTGATGACTGGAATGACCCTGTGCTCAACGGTGTCAGGAGGTGCCAGCTTTTCAACACCGTTCATGACAGAGTCAAGGTAATCTACATTCTTTGAGTTGGTAGTAAATTTAAATTATTAATCTTATTCAATTTAAAATCGTTACTGATAAAAAAAAAGTATTAAAATCAGTCAAAAATTGCTAGGTTGTTTTTCACCCGGAGTTTCTCTCTTCGACAAACCCCCTCTTTGGACTAGATTACGAGGAATTCGTGAGGGGCTGCCACTTGGGTGTTTTCCCTTCTTACTACGAGCCTTGGGGCTACACCCCGGCAGAGTGCACAGTTATGGGCATCCCTTCTATTACGACCAACTTGTCAGGTAATTAAAAGTTTTCAAAGCAATGAAAGAAGCAATTTTTTATACGTAAATGGAAAAGAATAATTTAAGAAAATAAATTATTTAGGATTCGGCTGCTTCATGCAAGAACACGTGGCAGATCCAATGAGCTACGGCATTTACGTGGTCGACCGGCGCTACATCTCACTCGAGAGCACCATCAGGCAGCTGGCGCAGTACATGTTTGACTTCTCCAGGCTCAACCGCAGGCAGCGCATCATCCAGCGAAACCGAACTGAGCGTTTAAGTGATCTTCTCGACTGGCGAAATCTTGGAATTGTGAGAAAATCAAACTCAATGTTTTCCGTTATTTGATTTTGTGTTAATTCCAGTACTACCGACAAGCAAGAATGCGGGCACTAAAGAATGTTTACCCTGAGATTGAAGAGGAAGGCGAGGGTGAAGGTGGAAGGTTCAACTATCCGAGACCCATTTCGGAGCCTCCGAGTCCCAGTTCTTCACGAATGACCACACCTGCACCATCAGAACATGGTTCGGAAGAGGAGGATGAAGTTGATGAGGAAAAGGAGGTAATTTTTGTAAAGAACACTTTTTGCCAAATCTGAAATGTTTTATTGAAAAAATATTATACTAACTAGACTGTGAAACTGTCTTGATCCAGTTCATCAGTTATAAATTTTTATCTATTATATAATTTTTTCCAAGTTGAGTTGCGATGAATACTTTAATAGGATTGTTGTAATTTTTCAGCTTGAAGAACTTGCTCATGGAGGCAACTAAAGCTGAGGTTGAGGGACAAGAAGCCGGAAACTGATCGCACTTATCACTAAAATGTGCACCTGTTGAGAGAGTAGATATTTTTGCGTTTCAAACGTCTTCCGCATTGCGTTGTGTACAGGCTTTTTGGCCTTTTAGCTGCTCATTTTTTTCTAGTTGTGTAATTCAACAGTGCCATTATTTAGCCTTTCAGTTCATTTGTTATTAATTGTTCTTGTATTTTAAGTATTTTGCTCGCAAACCACTTTTTGCGCCCTCCACCTTAAGTATATTTTTATAAAATATATAGATCATTTTAATCTGTTATCTGAGGATTACTATTATTGTTGAGTTTGAAAAAGAGCGTACTATGAATGTATTCTATTAAACCATACACACTCTATGCATTGACGTGGCTGTGCAATATAGCCGCTCACACATTGTCATGTTGATCAACTTGAGAAATTTTAATTAATCTTAGAAAAATCAAGCTCTACTGCAAGTTACAATAAGGAGATGTATATGCCATGGGCAATCATGATATATGCTTTTGGGGGACTCGACTAGAAGAACTTTGCTTGAAATATTGCCACTGATGTGCACAAAATTAATCTCACACAGAATAGCAAATTATTTGTGAAGTTTATGTATTGGTTCTGTCTATGTAAAATATTATTATCTCTTATGGGGTTTGGTTCATAAATTTTAAATAAAATTAGAAAACTGGTAGCAGATGCACATTTTAAGAGAGGACCGGAACGGACAGTGCCCAGTGAAAGATAAAATATATTTAGCTCTTTTGAAAGTCATGAAACTAGGTGTTTTCTGTTTTTGTTTTACTTTTAAGTAAAAAAGAGAGCTTTCTGACATAATAATACCATAATTCTTGAGGCAGGAGAAGACATTCAAAAATTTAATCTAATATAAAATATTACAAATCAAAACTTGTTAAAAAAATACTTAGAACTATATTGCAGCACTAAATTTTTAGTTGAATTATTTTTATAATTCAAGAGAGAGGGTGTGTGTAGAGCGTCTGTGCCATAAATATTGATTATTGCAATAAAATTAATAATATAGCAAAAAATCGCAAAAAATGCCTTTTTGTTTTAAATTAAAATTCCTAATTTAAGCAGTATCAAATCAAATTATAAATAAAAATAAACACTAATTTATATTATAAGTTATCGTTTCAATGATATTGAAATTTGTTGAGTAATTCGCAGGCCATGAAAATTGCATGATTCGCAAAACATGTTGCATAATTATGTGTCAAGTTCAAAATTCAAATCCAATTGAAATTTTCTGCTTGCTGATTGGTCGAGAAAGACGTAAACATGTACACTGGAGGGATAGTTCAGACAGTACTCAATTAATTTAGAAATACTTTTAAAATTTTGCTAAATATTGAGTATAGTTAACATTATTTTCTTAATAACTTATAACTTTCATGTATTAATATCTTTTTAATCACGTTTTTTAATAAAAAAAAACTAATTTTCAAAAACTTCAACTGCAAATAATGTGGAACTCTTGTCTGCACTACCCATTTCCAGCTGGTGTTTTTGAAAAGACGTGAACAACAAGGAAGGACGTGAATCGAGCAAAGAAGTCGTGGGCGCTCATTCGGATAAATCTTTCCTTATTTGGCCGGCGGAGAAATCAAACGAGTCACTCAAATGTCGGAGCAACGTCAGAACAATTCGCTCGTTCCAGTGCCTGGCGAGAACGACCCAAACAGCGACAATCCGACGTCGCGGCAACCAGAGAACATGCAGCAGTTGCTGCGACTCACCTTGGACGCGACGGGCAACAACGAGCAGGCCAATTACAACCCTCTTTCAGAAGAGGTAACACAAGAATTTTAATCTGCAACCAAATCGAGCATAATTTATTGTAATTTTGCAGAGCCGAAAGTGGCTGAACGCTGCGCTTTCGGACATGTCGACCAACGTGATTGAGGAGCTCTCGAAGGGCATCAAAGTTCTGGAAGGTGTTTCAAACATCACAGACCGTGACAGCCCAGAAGAGTTCGAGAGGGCCCTTGACATAATTACCAGCTATGTTGACAATATGGATATTTCAAATGGTATGTATGCAAGAATTTTATACATGAAATCACCGCATACTTAAATAAATTTTGAATAAATACATAAATTTAGGTTTTATTTCGTGTTTATTTTTAACCATTCATATTATCATGTAAAATTTATTTCCAGATTTTCACAAAATTGGTGGTTTCACAATTTTTGACCCACTGCTCTCTTCTCCACACCCTTGCCTGCGCAGCAAAGCGGCAAACCTGATTGCTGAAGTGACCCAAAACAATGTCTATTGCCAGTCCAGGATAACTCACCTGTTTCCAAAGTTGCTTGAAATGGTCAGGGATGACCCTGAGCCAGAGGTTAAGGTCAAGGCTCTCTATGCCCTCTCTTGTAAGTTTTTAATTTTTTTTAATCAACTGGAAATTTTTCAAATATCTTCACTTGCAGGCTCACTTCGAGACTATCCTCCGTCCTTGGAGTACATTGTGAAGCATGATGGTTTTGGTGTCCTGCTCAGCGCCATGCAGAGTAACATTGAGAAGCTGCAAATCAAAGCTGCCTTCCTTCTCAGTGCCTTGTGCTCTGAGAGCAATGCAGTTAAAGGTATGCTAAAATTTGTTTTAAAAAATTAAAAAAAGTCATAGAATTAAGTGCAGCATCAAAGACTTCAAATTTATGAATTTTGAGGTTTCTTTTCAAATTAAGTTAATCTTTCAGAACATGTGATTGAGCGCAAGATGATTGACCACTTGGCTGAGCTTTTGACAAAAAAGGACCAGCCCTACGAGCACATGCTTGCAGCTCTGCTGTCAATAGTCAGGGACCACCCGCAGGCTCAGGAAGAATGTAAACGACCTGAGTTGTACTTTTACAACACACTCATCAAGCTCAGGGAACACTCAATCATTTACGAGAACCTGGTGAGAAATGTTAAAAACATTTAAAGGTATAAATCTCTAATAATTTTAATTTTTCAGGACCAGAGGCAGCATTGCCAGGAATTGCTGACACTTCTCTACAACGAGACCTTCTACAGCTAGTTTTCCATTCAGTTTTTCAAACTCTCAAACAAAGTAATAATTCCAAGTCTGCGTTAGTTGTTGTCTTGCATAACATAAAAATGATCTATTATTATTGATGAAATGATTGTCTTCAAATTTGATCCTGGGCTTTCATGAACTTAGCATTATGGTTGAAACTGAAGTCTGTCATATTGTCTTTGCTTTAATTCAATTGTCTATTAATTTGGAAAATATATTGATTGAGCAATATATTTGAAAATTTGTGTTTCCTTATTATAAAGAACTTTCTAATTCTGACTTCCATAAAATTAAATTAGCAAAAAATAGTAAAACCAAATAAAAAACATTCTTTACAGTATTGCATTCTGTTGCATTCAATCAGGTGATATTAAATTTAATGGAGATTGAATAACTATAATCGCACTTAATTTTATTTGGAATAAATCTAGTAATAATTCTATAATTCTGATACATAATCTAAAACATTCTATTTCATGGCTGCAAACTTTTGAAGTTTCTCCAGCAGGCCCACATACTGGCTGTGCTCATATCTGGTGGCAAAGTCCGACAAATCGAGGACAAATTCATTGGAGATACCTTTCTCTTCCAACAGATTCATCAGCAGATCATACAAGTTCTAAAACAAAAATTGGAATAAATTATATATTTTTTTTTTTACTTTCAAAAATGAAGGTCTTACCCCATCCAAAATTTCGCCACTGACTGCGTACGTCTTTTCCTTCCACTCTCCTTCATACATGGTCACTTCATCAATGCTGAATACATCCTCTGCAATTTAAAAATTAATTATAAATTTATACAATAATTGGTTCCATGATTGATATTAAAAATTTACTCATTTTTAAAATAATTTGAAAAATTCAACTAATTAGAAAAAAGAAAAATATTATTACGATATTCATCTTCAGGGTTTTGCTGATCTGCAGACAGGTAAGAGCAAGAGAAGCCCAAAATGGTTTCTCCCCTGATCAGCTCAACTTCAAAACTAGGCTGTGACCGCATTTCTCCCATGTCTGCGTGTTCATCCTTGTTCTCATGGGCATGTGAAGCATCACGATCGGCATCGTGGTCGGCATCAACACTGTGGTTCACATTGAAGTAAACTTTGATGCTGAAATTAAATATAAGTTAAAAAGGGCGAAATTCATGAGGGTAAAAAGAATTACGTTTCATCTCCTGATTCTTTGAAGAATGTTACTTCTGAGCACTGGGCATCAATTTTGAATCCACCCAGTTCTTTTGGAACAGCACCATGCTTCTTTTGAGTCTTTTTCTCTGTGGCAATCTCTTCCGTCAAAAAGTCCACGAGGTCTTTTTCAGCTAAACAGAAAGGAGAAAAATTAACAATGTTCATTAAAAATGTAAGGGAAAGGAAAAAACCTTTCCTGGCAAATAAAAATAAAATCATGCAATTATAATGTAAAATGCAATTAAATTATTAAAATGCTTTTTTTTAAATGCTTCATTCAAGAGACAGTTTATAAGAAGAAATCACCCTTATATGCCTTATTTTTGGATGTAAGTAAAGCTTTTGACTCAATAGATAGGGCGTTTATTTTTAAGAAGTTAATAGAAAGCAAGAAGCTAACGTTCACGGAGTTAAATTATTTAGCTCACAACTTAGACTTAAATTTCTTGAGAATAGTAGATGGAGTAACAGTATCAAAACTTATTACACAATCAAATGGGGTAAGACAGGGGGGATGCACGTCCCCATTTCTGTTCAATTACTCTTTAGCTGATATAAATAATATTCTACGAGATTTGCCAAACGTGAAAGCCATTTATTATGCAGATGATATTGTTTTAACCTCAGAAAAATTAAGTGACTTGAAAATTGCTTTAGCCAGAATGAAAGAATTTTTGTTAAAACGCAGTTTGAAACTTAACTTGGAAAAGTGCAAATTCATGAAATTTAGAAATAAGGGTCTAGGAAAATATGCATTAAGTGACCGCCTAGATTTAGGTGGAATTGAAATAGAGAGAGTTGCTGAGTTTACATATTTAGGAGTTACTTTTCAACCATCAGGAATCTCTTTTGGAAAGCACATTGAAAAAAGAACAAGAGCTGCATTGCTGGCCACTTATAATATACGAGAACTAAAACAATTATCCATTGAAACAGCACACAAGCTATTTGATCTAAAAATTTCCCCAATTGCGTCCTACGGCATTGAAGAAATATGGCCTTTCCTAACAAAGACTGATTTTGAAAATCTTGAAAAAGTCAAAACAAGATATTTAAAAAGAGTTTTAGGACTGTCCAAGTATATTAGATCTAGATTTGTGTATGAATTAGTTGACACTGATCTCTTTGTATCGGACTTACAGGTAAAATATTCTCTAACTGAAACTGAAGCATTCCAGAAATTTTGTGTGTCTAAATATTTAAACAAACTTGAGATATGTGATGAGTTCTACGAGACAGAAACTATGAAGAATAAAAATTGGCAATGTGCAATGTTCAGTGATCGCCAAGTGTTTACGAGATTTGCCTGTCACGGGTACCACTATTTATTTTGTAAGAATAAAAATTTTCATTCTCAAGCGACAATAGATTGTGAATGCAAGCACTGCGGTAAGAAATGTTCACAATATCATATTCTTGAATGTAATGAACGAAAACTAAGCCTAAGAGAGGCTGCAAAAATCAAAATTAACTAATTTTGTACTTTGTAATAATTATCGAAACAAGCTTAATTGTAAAATTAATTTTAGGAAGACAAATTAGCTTTAGACACCCGTTGTACACCTAGTTGTGTTCAATAAATACTCTATCTTTTAAATGCTTAAATTTTTACAGGAAAGTTTCGTTTTAATTTTTTAAATATTTACCCTTGGTGTGAACAGCTTTGCTGCTGCAGCCGCAGGTACAGGTGAAGCTGGGACTTTTGAACTTGGAAATTTCTGTATTGTTCGTCGAGCACATGTGCCAGAGGGAGCGTGTGATTTGCCTAGAGGTGCCGGCGGCGTTCATCAAACTCGCATTTTGACCCGAAAGAACGACCTGCCGCAAAGGGTTCAGGGCGTTTTTCATGGAGGAGAAACGCGTCGCTGCCTTGACGATGCTGTTCATTTTGAGTTTGACTCTTTCTTCGCCAAATAAATGCCTAAAATTTGAGATTAAAAAATTTCGTGCACTCCCTGAGCGAAAATTCTCGGTTTTCAACGAAATTTTTCGCGTGTAGATACGAATAGCAATGATGAAACTGGATGAAACTTTTTGCTTGACGTTCACCTCTGCCACCTGGTGAAAATTTCACTGACTTTAGGAGTTGAGGCCACAAACAAACCTGCGTTGTCTGAAAGCCGGAAGACTTTCTTGTGTTTTCTCCAAATCTTTAAAGTTCCGTGGAACGCCTTTCGATTTCGGGAATGAATAACTGAATTCGAATTAAGTAAACGGAACTTAAACACTAATCGGGTGAGTAAAATTTCTGAAAAATCTGATTTGTTTGGCGGCACAAACGCGCCATCTTGGCATCCGGCGAATCCAACGTGCTCATTTCCAGAAGTTTTGATCAGAAATTTTAATTTGCTGAAATATTACTTGAGATTTGAGAATTCTGTTCCCTTTTTAGGATGGCTGGGCTACCCCCGTACCTGCTGGGGCCCAACCCGTGGGCAATGATGGCCCAGCAGCAAGTGCAGATGGCTGCGGCGGCACAGGCGGCTCATGCTCAAGCAGCTCAGCAGGCCCAGATTCAGGCCCAAGCGGCCCATGCAGCCGCCCAGGCCCAAATGCAGGCTCAAGCCACAGGCCAAATTCAGCCCCCAAAAACGGATTTCATCTCTGAGGAAAAGCTTCAGGAAAAAGGTACAATTATGATTACAGAAGCATTTTTAAGCAATTTGATAAAATGGAAACACTGATTTCCTTATGTAATTTTATATACTTAAAAATTATAACATAATTATTAAGTCAACCACTTAAAAACTAAATTTTTTTACAAGAAAAGTCTTTTTCTAGTCTTTTGTTTGACAGATATGAGATAAAAATTCATTGTAATTAAATAATTGGCTCCTTGATTATTTCAAGTTCAAATCTTTTCCAGCTCAAAAGTGGCAGCAGCTTCAGTCGAAAAGATTTGCCGAGAAAAGGAAGTTTGGTTTTGTGGATGCTCAGAAAGAGGACATGCCTCCGGAGCACCTGCGAAAAATCATTCGCGACCATGGCGACATGAGCAGTCGCAAGTACAGACATGACAAACGAGTCTATCTGGGGTGAGTTGATTTCCAAGTGCCTTGTCAAATGAAGTGAACGGAGTTTCATGAGTGGGATGCAATTCTGATTTCAGAGCCCTCAAGTACATGCCGCACGCTGTGATGAAGCTCTTGGAGAACATGCCGATGCCGTGGGAGCAGATCAGAGACGTTAAATCGCTCTATCACATTACTGGCGCCATCACTTTCGTCAATGAAATCCCCTGGAATATCGAGCCAGTCTACATTGCACAATGGGGGTGAGAATCTAAACGTTTCATTTTTTTGTAGTTTATCATCTAAAACTACTACCTTGGATTTAAAATTTATTTTATGTATTTAACTAATTTGATAATTTGTCTTTATTCAGAACTATGTGGATCATGATGAGGAGAGAAAAAAGAGACAGGCGTCATTTCAAGCGAATGAGGTTCCCTCCATTTGACGATGAAGAACCTCCACTGGATTATGCTGACAACGTCCTTGACGTTGAACCCCTCGAGGCCATCCAGATCGAAATGGACTCTGAGGATGACGGTGCCGTGGCAGAGTGGTTCTATGACCACAAAGCTCTTGTTGGAACAAAGTACTAACAACTTTAAGTTCCATTGTTCCCAAAATTAACTAATTTCCTGATAGGTTTGTGAACGGCTCAACTTATCGCAAGTGGAATTTGTCGTTGCCTCAAATGGCATGTCTCTACCGACTCGCAAACCAGCTCTTGACAGACCTGGTGGATAACAACTACTTCTACCTGTTTGACTTGAAGTCATTCTTTACAGCCAAGGCGCTCAACATGGCCATCCCTGGAGGACCTAAATTTGAGCCTCTCATCAAGGACGCAAGTACACAGTAAGTTTTGGGTATTTTTAATTTTGTGATCCTTGTTTGCTACAAATTGTTTTGAATTTGTTTTCAGGGATGAGGACTGGAATGAGTTCAATGACATTAACAAAATCATCATCCGTCAGCCAGTTCGAACGGAGTACAGGATTGCTTTCCCTTTCTTGTACAACAACATGCCCCACTTTGTACACTTGCCTTGGTACCACACCCCTAATGTGGTCTACATCAAAACCGAGGATCCTGATTTGCCAGCCTTCTACTTTGATCCACTCATCAATCCGATCTCTCACAGAAATGCTGTTAAGGTAAAGATTTTTGCTTATATGGCTTTGAAATAAGTCCAGCAGAAAATTTTGCAATGATGAGACGCGCAGGGGTCCTGAAATCAGCCAGGCTTGTGGGCTGACAGACTGCATAAAAGCCGCTCCAGTACCTTCAGTTAGGACGGGGCCGTTTTTATGCGGACTGGATAAAGCGCATACTGAGCATCAAATAATTACCAATTTTAAAATATTAAAATCCCATCTTTTATTATTCAATTTCTAATTCAGTCCCAATTGAAATTCTCAGGTTGTGGAGCCAATTCCAGAAGACGATGAGGAGTTTGAGCTCCCAGAGTACATCCAGCCTTTCCTGCAAGACACTCCTCTCTTCACAGATAACACTGCCAATGGAATTTCCCTTCTTTGGGCACCTCGGCCATTCAACATGAGGTCAGGTCGCACTAGAAGAGCCATCGACATCCCAATTGTGAAAACCTGGTACAGAGAGCACTGCCCTCCTGGCCAACCAGTAAAGGTCCGAGTCAGCTACCAGAAATTATTGAAGTACTACGTGTTGAACGCTCTCAAGCACAGACCACCCAAGCCACAAAAGAAAAGGTGAAATCTCATTTTTAATCTTGTTGTCTCTTATCTTATGTTAAATTCTTCCAGATACTTGTTCCGCTCGTTCAAGTCCACTAAGTTCTTCCAGACAACAACTTTGGACTGGGTTGAGGCTGGTTTGCAGGTTTGCAAGCAAGGTTACAACATGCTCAACCTGCTCATCCATCGCAAAAATCTTAACTACCTTCACTTGGATTACAACTTCAACTTGAAACCTGTTAAGACTTTGACCACCAAGGAACGAAAGAAGTCTCGTTTCGGAAATGGTAAAATTCATGCTATTATTCTTTAATATTTAATTTAAAAATATATTAAAATGAACTTCAGATATACTTATGTCAATGAAATCTTAGAAAAGCTTCTGCATATTTCCAGCATTCCATTTGTGTCGAGAAATTCTGCGACTGACCAAGCTGATTGTGGACTCGCATGTCCAGTACCGTTTGAACAACGTTGACGCCTTCCAGCTGGCCGATGGCCTGCAGTACATCTTTTCTCATGTTGGCCAACTGACAGGCATGTACCGGTACAAGTACAAACTGATGAGGCAGATCCGCATGTGCAAGGACTTGAAGCATCTCATCTACTACAGATTCAACACTGTAAACGAAACCAGATTTTTAGCACTTTCAATTTTTACAAAGATTTCTTCTCCAGGGTCCTGTGGGCAAAGGCCCTGGCTGCGGCATTTGGGCACCTGGTTGGCGAGTGTGGCTCTTCTTCATGAGAGGAATCACTCCGCTACTGGAACGGTGGTTAGGCAACTTGTTGTCCAGGCAGTTCGAAGGTCGTCACTCTAAGGGTGTTGCCAAGACTGTCACCAAGCAGAGAGTGGAGAGTCACTTTGACCTGGAGTTGAGAGCATCTGTAAGATCTTTCTTTGTTATTAAAACGTTCAAGTTTCTAAATTCACAAATGTTTGCAGGTCATGCACGATATTGTCGACATGATGCCAGAAGGAATCAAGCAGAACAAGGCTCGTACCATCCTGCAGCATCTCTCTGAAGCGTGGCGTTGCTGGAAGGCTAACATTCCCTGGAAGGTTCCTGGCCTTCCCACCCCAATTGAAAACATGATCCTCCGGTATGTCAAGATGAAGGCTGACTGGTGGACAAACACAGCCCACTACAACCGCGAGAGAATCCGGCGAGGCGCCACAGTAGACAAAACCGTCTGCAAGAAGAACCTTGGCAGGTTGACGCGTCTGTACTTGAAGGCTGAGCAGGAAAGGCAGCACAACTACCTGAAGGACGGCCCGTACATCTCGCCCGAAGAGGCCGTGGCCATTTACACAACCACTGTGCACTGGCTTGAGTCTAGGCGATTTGCTCCCATTCCCTTCCCTCCTCTCTCCTATAAGCACGACACCAAGCTGCTGATCTTGGCATTGGAAAGACTCAAGGAAGCCTACAGTGTCAAGTCTAGGCTCAATCAGAGTCAGCGTGAGGAACTAGGGTTGATTGAGCAAGCCTATGACAATCCCCACGAGGCCCTGTCCAGAATCAAGCGTCACTTGCTGACGCAGCGAGCCTTCAAAGAGACTGGCATTGAGTTCATGGACCTCTACAGCCACCTTATTCCAGTCTACGATGTTGAGCCGTTGGAAAAAATCACCGACGCTTACTTGGATCAGTACCTCTGGTACGAAGCAGACAAAAGGCGTCTCTTCCCTCCGTGGATCAAACCTTCAGACACAGAACCACCGCCACTGTTGGTCTACAAATGGTGTCAGGGAGTGAACAACCTTCAGGATGTGTGGGACGTCAACGAAGGCGAGTGCAACGTCCTGCTGGAGTCTAAGTTTGAAAAGATGTACGAGAAGATTGATTTGACCCTGCTCAACCGACTGCTGCGTCTCATCGTTGATCACAACATTGCCGATTACATGACTGCCAAGAACAACGTGGTCATAAACTACAAGGACATGAACCACACCAACAGCTACGGCATCATCAGAGGCCTGCAGTTTGCCTCTTTCGTTGTCCAGTACTACGGACTGGTGTTGGATCTGCTGGTTTTGGGTCTGCAGAGGGCATCAGAGATGGCTGGACCGCCGCAAATGCCCAATGACTTCCTCACCTTCCAGGACGTGGTTTCGGAATGTGCTCATCCGATTAGGTTGTACTGCAGATATGTCGACAGAATCCACATTTTCCTCAGGTAAAATATAAAAATATGAAGAACTTGAAACTTTTATAAAGAATTTCTTAGTGGTTATGAACAGTAATATATTTTTTTTTTATTAATTGTGTTTCTTTTTCCAGGTTTTCAGCAGAGGAGGCGAGAGATTTGATTCAGAGGTACCTCACTGAGCATCCTGATCCAAACAATGAGAACATCGTTGGCTACAACAACAAGAAGTGTTGGCCTAGAGATGCAAGGATGAGGCTAATGAAGCACGACGTCAACCTGTAAGATTTTTGCAACCACTTGAATCTTGTAATTAATTTCTATTTAATTATGATTATAGGGGTCGTGCTGTATTCTGGGATATCAAAAACAGACTTCCTAGATCAACTACCACTGTGCAGTGGGAGAACAGCTTTGTCAGTGTCTACTCGAAGGACAATCCCAATCTTCTCTTCAACATGGGTGGATTTGAGTGTCGTATTCTGCCAAAAGTAAGTTGAGATTTCAATTTTATTGACCAAAGAGCTACCGGAAATAATTGTTTCACAGACTTCCTTAAATTACACTTTTGTTAAGAACAAACTGTTTTGATTTCAGTGCCGCACAACTCACGAGGAGTTCACACACAGGGATGGCGTGTGGAATTTGCAGAACGAAGTGACCAAAGAGCGAACTGCTCAATGTTTCTTGCGCGTTGACGACGAGAGTCTCCAGCGATTCCACAACAGAGTTAGGCAAATCTTGATGGCCTCTGGTTCAACCACGTTCACCAAAATTGTCAACAAGTGGAACACCGCCTTGATCGGGCTGATGACCTACTTCCGAGAAGCCGTTGTCAACACCCAGGAGCTGCTGGACCTGCTGGTCAAGTGCGAGAACAAAATCCAGACCCGTATCAAGATTGGTCTCAACTCAAAAATGCCTTCCCGTTTCCCTCCTGTGGTGTTCTACACCCCTAAGGAGTTGGGAGGTCTGGGCATGTTGTCCATGGGCCACGTGCTCATCCCGCAGTCTGACCTTCGTTGGTCCAAGCAGACCGACGTCGGCATCACTCACTTCAGGTCTGGTATGAGTCACGACGAGGACCAGCTGATCCCCAACTTGTACCGCTACATCCAACCCTGGGAGTCTGAATTCATCGATTCCCAGCGAGTGTGGGCCGAGTATGCCCTGAAGAGGCAAGAGGCCAATGCCCAGAATAGGCGGTTGACTCTGGAGGATTTGGAAGACAGCTGGGACAGGGGCATTCCCAGAATCAACACCCTTTTCCAGAAGGACAGACACACCCTTGCCTACGACAAAGGTTGGAGAATCAGGACCGAGTTCAAGCAGTACCAGGTCTTGAAGCAGAATCCCTTCTGGTGGACGCATCAGCGCCACGACGGAAAGTTGTGGAACCTGAACAACTACCGCACAGACATGATCCAGGCCCTGGGAGGTGTCGAGGGCATCCTTGAGCACACCTTATTCAAGGGTACCTACTTCCCTACCTGGGAGGGTCTTTTCTGGGAAAAGGCGTCCGGTTTTGAAGAGTCCATGAAGTACAAGAAGCTGACCAACGCCCAGCGTTCTGGTTTGAACCAGATTCCGAACCGTCGCTTCACTCTTTGGTGGTCTCCTACCATCAACAGGGCCAACGTTTACGTCGGTTTCCAGGTGCAGCTTGACTTGACGGGAATTTTCATGCACGGCAAAATCCCAACCCTCAAGATCTCTCTTATCCAGATCTTCAGAGCTCACTTGTGGCAGAAAATCCACGAGTCGGTTGTCATGGACTTGTGTCAGGTAAATTGAGATTAACTTTGATTATAATTTAGATTACTTTTATTCATGGTATTAATTTTTTATCTTTATCATTTTAAATATTACATCAAGCAATAATTTCTGCATTATTAATTCAGGTGTTCGATCAAGAGTTGGATGCTCTGGAAATCGAGACAGTCCAGAAAGAAACGATTCATCCTCGTAAGTCCTACAAGATGAACTCGTCTTGTGCCGACATTCTGCTTTTTGCTGCCTACAAGTGGAATGTGTCCAGGCCCTCATTGTTGGCTGACTCAAAGTAAGTTTTTTATTTTTTTATTTTTCAGGGCTAGTCTATATAATTTTTGTTTCAAAGTTAATATAATGAAATTTTTTCTGTTACTAGGGACACAATGGACAACACGACCACCCAGAAATACTGGATTGATGTGCAACTGCGTTGGGGCGATTACGATTCGCACGACATTGAGCGTTACGCGCGTGCCAAGTTCCTCGACTACACCACTGACAACATGTCCATCTACCCGTCGCCCACTGGCGTCCTGATTGCCATTGACTTGGCGTACAATCTGCACAGTGCGTACGGCAGTTGGTTCCCAGGATGCAAGCCGCTCATCCAGCAGGCCATGGCCAAAATCATGAAGGCCAACCCCGCCCTGTATGTGTTGCGAGAGCGCATCCGAAAGGCCCTCCAGCTCTACTCGTCCGAGCCGACTGAGCCTTATTTGTCTTCGCAAAACTACGGAGAACTCTTCTCGAACCAAATCATCTGGTTTGTGGACGACACCAATGTGTACCGCGTCACAATCCACAAGACCTTCGAGGGTAACCTGACCACCAAGCCCATCAACGGCGCCATCTTCATTTTCAACCCCCGCACTGGCCAGCTCTTCCTCAAGATCATCCACACGTCTGTGTGGGCCGGACAGAAGCGTCTTGGCCAGCTGGCCAAGTGGAAGACTGCCGAGGAAGTGGCGGCCCTGATTCGCTCACTGCCTGTTGAAGAACAGCCCAAGCAGATCATCGTCACACGCAAGGGCATGTTGGACCCTCTCGAAGTGCATTTGCTTGATTTCCCCAACATCGTCATCAAGGGCTCTGAGCTGCAACTGCCCTTCCAAGCGTGTCTGAAGGTTGAAAAGTTTGGAGACCTCATTCTGAAGGCCACGGAGCCTCAGATGGTTCTCTTCAACCTGTACGATGACTGGCTGAAGACTATTTCCTCGTACACGGTAAATAATTTAAAATTTCACTCATAAACAATGTAATTTCAAAAACTGTAAATTACGCTATTCTTATTTTTGTTTTAGGCGTTCTCGAGACTGATCCTCATCCTTCGTGCTCTTCATGTCAACACTGAGAGAACCAAAGTCGTCCTCAAGCCTGACAAGACCACCATCACTGAGCCTCACCACATTTGGCCCACTTTGACTGATGACGAATGGATCAAGGTGGAGGTTCAGTTGAAGGATCTCATTCTGGCTGACTATGGCAAGAAGAACAAGTAAGTTGATTCCTCCTTTAATATAGATTTATTTACATCCGTTCACATCCGTTGATCAATTTATTAAAATAATTATTTAAATTTAAACTATAATTTTTTTTAACAAAGCATTGCTTCTTTTTCAGTGTCAATGTGGCATCTCTGACACAGTCTGAAATCCGAGACATCATTCTTGGTATGGAGATCAGCGCTCCTTCCGCCCAGAGACAGCAGATTGCCGAAATCGAGAAGCAGACCAAGGAGCAGTCACAGTTGACTGCCACCACAACCAGAACTGTGAACAAGCACGGCGACGAGATCGTGACGACCACCACATCCAATTACGAAACGCAGACCTTCAGCTCCAAGACGGAGTGGCGAGTCAGGGCTATTTCGGCCACCAACCTGCACTTGCGAACAAACCACATCTACGTGTCCTCCGATGACATCAAGGAAACCGGTTACACTTACATTCTGCCCAAGAATGTGCTCAAGAAGTTTGTCACCATCTCCGATTTGAGAGCTCAGGTATATTAATCTTATTTTTTTATAAATGATCAAAATTATATTACAGTTTTTCTTTTTTTTTTTAGGATTTAAAATTACCTCAAATTTTCTTTCATTTGGCAAAAGTAATAATTTTTCAATTGTTGTTTTCAGATTGCTGGTTACTTGTATGGTATCAGTCCACCTGACAACCCCCAGGTAAAGGAAATCCGGTGCATTGTGATGCCTCCGCAATGGGGCACCCATCAGACCATCCACTTGCCACACCAGCTGCCTGGCCACCAATACCTGAAGGAGATGGAGCCCCTCGGCTGGATGCACACGCAGCCCAACGAGTTGCCGCAGCTGTCCCCACAGGACATCACAACGCACGCCAAGGTCATGTCTGAGAACTCGAACTGGGACGGCGAGAAGACGGTCATCATCACTTGCAGCTTCACCCCTGGCTCGTGTTCGCTCACGGCTTACAAACTGACGCCCAGTGGATACGAGTGGGGTCGGCAAAACACCGACAAGGGCAACAACCCCAAGGGCTACCTGCCCAGCCACTACGAGAAGGTGCAAATGCTGCTCTCAGACAGGTCTGGCATATTTTCATTAATTTTGAAAAATAATTTGGATTGAAATTTTTATTTCATGACTAATTTTGTGAATTTGAATCATGTTTGCAGATTCCTGGGCTTCTTCATGGTGCCGACGCAAGGTTCGTGGAATTACAACTTCATGGGTGTGCGCCACGACCCCAACATGAAGTACGAGCTGCAGTTGTCCAACCCCAAAGAGTTCTACCACGAGGTGCACAGGCCAGCGCACTTCCTCAACTTCTCCTCTCTGGAGGAGGGTGACGGCGTCGGCGCCGACCGAGAAGACGTGTACGCGTAAAAATGTGAATTTTAGCAAGTCCGTTTTGATTTTCTAATTCAATTTGTGTATATATTTTTAACTTTAAATCATGATGAGTAATTAATAAAAACATTTCCTGACAACCCCAGACCATTTTATTAAAAATATATTATCCATATCAATATACAAACATATTAGCAATATTTCATTTAGAATGATGAATGAATTAAATTTAACTCCGGGTAAATCCATTAATCATTGCGAGTCGTATAAAAATACTAAACTTGTCTTATTGCGTCTACTCGCGTTTGACGATGAAACATAAAAACGACGATCGTAAAATGCGCTGATTGTATATGTGTTCAACCGAGGCAGATTGGTTTGTTGGGCTGGTCTGTGAGTCGGGGGCGTAATTCTTTGAAGTCGCGTGCCTTCATCATAGGCGTTATTTTAAGGATTTTATTTCGCCTCCTCGCCATCTGGTTTTGAGCATATTTCGGAAAGGTGCGAGCGGCGCAATATTTCAGAATAAATTCAAAATTATGATCAAAAATTTGAAAGGTCTGAGACAATGACTCGGCAAATTAAAAGTCAAATAATTTTTTTAATTAAACTTTACTTGGAAAGTTGCTGCATTGACAGATTTTTCTATCAAAAGAGATAGAAAATTAATTTTTTCCAACATTAAAAAAAGAATAGAATGGAATTTCTGAGGAACAAAGTATTATATTTATTTAATGATAAATATTCCATTATATTTTGGTGTCAAAGCATTTAATAAATATTGTTTTTTTTTTCTTTTTAAAACGCATTTCAAAAATTCACTCTCTGTTTCTCTTTTGTCCTCAGCCCAATTCATTACGATCCATTAAGGAGCATATCGTGCGCGCTTCGCACGCACTTTGTGTCGAATGTGTGTGTATATCGGTGTGTGCGGTGCGTCCCGTGTGTTTATTGTTTCAGAACGAGACTGATACACTGCTGGGAGGAAGTCCTAACTGCGCCCGCCGCGATGTAATAATTTATCTCGGTGATGCTGAACAAGCAAACAGCGAGTGTGAAAAGGGCCCAAAAGATCGAGAGCGAAAGACGGCCCGCGCTTCGTCTTCTTAATGAACATCGCGCGTTCTCATCGCGTCCATGAGGAGAAAAAGAGCAGTTTGAAACAAGAAGAAGAGAGTTGGCGTCCAAAATACACACACTAGACACACTCACCTGCCGGCAGAAAAATAAGCAATCTTTGTCATGAACGTTTAAATCTTAAACTTGCTCCATCGTAGAGAGAAACATGAAAATCTGGAACGAAGCAATAAGTAAAAGCAAGTAAAAGTTAAATTAATTTGATCATTTTAAGTTGAAATTGATACAGGGAGTAAATATTTTGTTTAAATCAACATTTTTGGATAAATTTATCCTCTTAATAACAATTTATAGATTTTTTTTTCTCATTTTTCATCATATTGAAAAATAATCTAAATAATTATTTATTATTATAATTTAATTTTAAATTTAAAATAGTTTTTAATAATTATAGAGTTTAAATTTTTTATTCCGAAATAGATAATTCTTTTAAATAATAAGATAAGAATTCAATTGCAAAAATAATTATCAAAAAATCAACATATAGAAATATTCATTCATCAGTAGATTAAAATTATACAAAGATGCATTATCATGCATATTTTGCTTTTTATATTTCTTAAAATTATCAACCCTCAAGAAAACTTCAGCTTGGGAAAATCTTTCAGCACAGCGCTTAGCTATAAAAAATAAAAATTGTCTCCGCCACTTTTTTACTCCTTTATATATTTATTTTACAACCCTCCGAATTTGATGCCTGAGACAAACACGCATTTTTCTCCGCCGCGTACATACGTCAAGTTGCCAATTGAATTATGGGCCACTTGCTCAGTTCTTGCTTGGTTGGAGGAAAAAAGAAGTGTCGCACATGTGAGAAAAATAAAGCCACCCCTATTGGGGGCGTCAATCGTCGGCGACAATAATTTTACGGGCACTCGGGGTAAAATCGTGTTTTGCTTAAGTGCCCAGCTGCGAGTGTGAAATCCACGCTGAAATCAGACACCAGGGTGGTTGTTTTTTTTTCGGTCGGGGGCATGTCGGTGGCGCCAGGACTCACTTTTTGATCCGAAAGTGAAATTTATGGGACATATTAGCGTGGGATAATGGGTCAAGTGGAGAGCATCTGCATGCATACGTGCAGCTACCCCGACCACCCCTTTTTCGCTTCTGGGGGGTGGTGCATTAATATTAAAATTCGGGAGTCTGGCGCGACCACCCCTACGTATAAAGAGTCAAGTGCGGCGGCGGCGGCGCTTTGATTAACTCGATTAAGCGGTCCATGAGCTACAAATACTTGGTGGTGCAGGGTCTATAAAAAAATACCATAGACTGACGTTTATGTGCTTTTAGACAAATATATTCGCCTTGATATTCATAGTATAATATATGATTTATATAAAAAAAAAAATACAAATATAGAGCGAATAATAAGAAAAAATAAAACTAAAAATTTGGAAATTATACAAAATATTATTCCTTTTTTTATAAATGAGTAAAAGGAATTGCAATCTTGTAATTTTTTCCGGCAACACCATTTATAACAACTATTATGTTCGTTTCATTATTAAAGTAAAATTTAATTAGAATTATTTTTTCACGTCAAATACAAATAAAAATTTTTATTACTATTTTACTATTTAAAAGTTCAAATATAATTTTTTTGAAGAAGTTGACACTCGAGGAGATGATCATGGAAATGAAGCGATCGGGCTTTTCCAAATATAATTTTATTTAATAAAATTATGATAATTAACATTATCCAACCGGCATTTGGCCACCCAGCAATTTTTAAATTAATTAATTATTCTGTTATTAAAATATCTGGATATGTCATTTATTTATCTTATCCATTAACTTTAATAATAATGTTACAATAATTTTATTATAAAAAATATTTTATTGTCCAATATTCAAGTTATTAAAGTAAAATTTGAATAAGAATTCCATTTTCACTTAAAAAAATTTTGTAAGTTTCTTTTGAACATACTGGTCACACATTTGATAAATTTCTTGTGACAAAAAAAATGTATAGACCGTGGTGATGCTGCGGTGCCTCCATTGAATATTTTATGCAACACGACGCAGGCGGCAGAAAGCAGATTCTCTAATTGCTGGCCAAGATAAGAGATTAAGTGCTTCTCACAATAAACCGCATCTATAGCGTGTGACGCATAATGAATAAACGGCGCATCCATTTGGGCCTCGCCGTAAATCAAAACGTCGTCTGGCGGATGATTCAATCCGCTTCCTCTCTCCGCGAAGGAAAATTATTTTCGCTTCCATAGTAAAATCACGATTAAGTTTAAATTCAATTTTTATTTTTATGAAACTTTACACCAAAAATTTCAATACACGAAATTATTGTTGTACACTTTTATATTTTAGTATTTCTTTGGCATTTCTTTGTAATATTTCGTTCGTTTTCGTGCTTGTGAAAATTTAAACCTATCGACTGACGTACGCTATTCACATTTTTACACAAACGCCGCAGAGACGAGGAATTTTAAGTACAGCAGGAAGCGCGTCCATCGAGAATTGCACTCCACCGAGAACGCGGAAATCCACTGGACGCTTCTCAAAAATTACTGCTTGAGCTCGTTGTGCACCCACACGTGTTGCGGCCAGCCTGTCCTGCCCTTGTTTTTCCTGCCTACCTCCACCATTTCGATGTTTTCCAGCTGAAACAAATACAATAGAACAAATTTAATCATATTTACCTTCTATTTAAGCATTAATTTTGTTAAATCATAACTTTTTAGTGGATTTTTTTTTATAATTCCTTTATTTCCTTTCAATTCTACTTTTCTAAGGTCATTGAATTGGAAATCCGTGTAAAAAAAAATTCATGAGAATGCTTGGTGGGAAACGCTCGAATAAGAAAATTAAAATATAATGAATATAATGATGAAAGGGCGATCGATAAAACCAATTACTTATAATATTTGCAGAAGCTTTGACCCTGCCATGAACTAATCCCTAAAGTTGACTGATTTGGGCAAAATGCTGCTGCCTTCAATCGGGCATTTTCCGATTCGGGCATTTTCCACAAAAAGACATTCGAGCAACTTCTTTTCGGGCCAAATAAGGAATGAGGCGCCTCTTAATTTAGAGAATTTCAGCAAATTTCAATTATTGATATAAAATAATATCGTCAGAAATGCTTTTTTTTAAAACTGATCTTATATATTTAATCATTTTTATTTTAATTGCAGAGAAAAATATATAATTATCTAGAAAAAAATATAATCATCTCAAGTTTAGTGTGAAAATAATCTTCACGATTTGTAAACAAAAAGAATTTCCAGGACTTGATAAAAAAAAATTAACTTCCTCCTTGCTGTTTCCAAGCCAGAAACCTTGAGACGTGAGATATAAATTATAAAAAATAACCCTTGGCAAGAAAAAAAAACAAACTTTTGCAAAACTGCGCGTTGGAAAGTAAATTTAAACACACAAGAAAGTGTGCGCGCACAGAATGTAATAAAAGCTGCAGTTTATAAAAAGCAGGCGTTGGGTTGTTTTTATTGGTGCACGGGCGGCGCGATTATTCGCTGGGAGATATCAACTGTGGGCTCTGGCTTGTGTCAGTGGAGGAACGAACGACGCCGCCACCGTAGCAGAGAAAGATGCACATGGCCCTCGCCTTAATTCAATTACGAGATAATCGGGCCGAGTGCTCGCGCGCGCACGCTCAAATCGATTCGCCGCAATTAGATTATGGCCGAATAATCGTCGCCACCGCGATGAAATGAAAGAAACAATTGACGCAAATCGAATCAACACCCTCCACTGTTGGCAAAACACGGAAAAGATGTTATCAATTATATCTGCCCGTCTCTCTCCCCAGGGCGTAGTTTTACTTAAATAAGTGCCCATCATTGTTGGAGTCTCGGAAAAAGTGGAAATAAGATTATTGAAATTTAAAGTGTGAATGATAATTTGTTTGAAGAAGTTGACACTAGAGGAAATGAAGATTCGGGCTTTTCCTCGTTGCAAAAAATTGTTTTTATTCAAAAACAAACGGCTCTACCAGTTTCGGTCACGGTCTGCGACCCTATTTCATGAGCAAGAAAAATACAAAAAATCAGCGAAATTGAAAAAACCACATTTTAACATAAAAATAAAAATCTTAAAACTAACAAATTCAAGTACCAACCTATTTCATGAGCAAACGCGCTGCTCGCTGACTAATACAAGAATGAGCTAGCTAAAGAGCCGTTTGTTTTTGAATAAAAACAATTTTTTGCAACGAGGAAAAGCCCGAATCTTTATTTTCGTGAATGATAATTCTCAGGTATGCTTGCGGTGACGAGCAGGTTGCATAATTAGCTTTAAATCACAGGCGCACGCTGCAGGTGCGCGATTTGAGTAGATTTATTTGGTGGTGATTTTATTCATAATTTGGAACAAAATTCATTCTGACAATCTTTGCGAATAGAGTAGATTTGATTTAAAATTTGTATGAAAAACAAATTTTTTTAAATAAATTACAAAAGACGTATTATTTACGCATTTTATTTTAAGTTTTTTTATTGTTAATATTGTTGGTGTTTGAAAAAGCTAAAAATCCAAATTTTTTATAAATGATAATATGTAATAAAATATTGCTTGTCAACTTAAAATAAGAGTGACTGCTTCAATTTGAGATGATTATTAATTATTAAAGACTTTGAAAAATTACACTGCAAAGAACGCTTACGATTGAAATTAGCTTTATCTAGGATATTTTCAACTAGCAGCACAGGATTGGTGGTATTACAACCTAAAATTGGCCCCAATTATTCGCAAAAAAAATAGCATCTTTATCCAGTTATGAGAGCTTCTATGGAAGCTGTTTTTGTTCCATTCGCTTTTAAATATTTCTTAATTTTACTTCCTCCATTAATTTGTAAATTTTATCACGCTTCTAAAACCGCAATAACCACACAAAATCTTAATCAACAACATTTTTTTTTTTACTAATTTATAAACTCAAAAATTAGCTTGTTGTAAAAATAAGAATAAATGATCCATAAATTGGAATATATCTTCAAGCACAAAATAAATTAAGATTAAAATTTAAAATTTTCCCATCACAAAATCAAGAGAAATTTAAAAATAAAAACAGTTGTTTCTGGGCCAGATTAGGCTTTTCGATCACGATTACTACTTTTGTCCAATAGTAACAAAATTCTTTTGATAATGCTTGTTTATGAAAATTAATAATTTCTGAAACTTGTATCATTCCTATTATTTTAAATCAAAGGATTGTATTAATTATTTTTTACTCATAAAGCTTTTTCAATAAAATGTACGCGGTTTTTGCATCTCTTTGTATTGTTTAAACTCACCTGTGGACATCTGCCGGTGTTGTATTCGTCGCAGGCGGCGGACTGTTGGTGTTGGCCGAGGTGTTGCCTGGCCTGGCGGCGGCCGGCGACGTGCAGGTCGGCCCTGAAGGCGCTGCGGGCCGTGTCGATGGAGATTTTGTCGCCGTTGAGCATTTCCATCAGGTGGTTGATGTAGGCGATTGCGTGCTTCAGGGTCTTGATCTTGGAGAGCTTCGTGTCGCCCGGGATGCCCGGGATGTGCTCGCGCAGGGAGGAGAAAGCTGTGTTGATGCTCTGCGTGCGGCGCCGCTCCTTCTTGTTGGCCGTCGAGCGCCGCTTCACCGTCCGCACCGGCGCCAGCCCCGGCACCGCCGTCGACGTCGTCATCGGCGCCATCGACAGGTGGTGGTACTCGGCGGCGCCGCCGATCAGCGGCGGCTGGTACTCGTCGCACGGCGACACCGAACGACCCGAGCTCGTCGGCGAGCAATCGGCCCACGCGCCCCCGGCGCTTCCACCCCCGTAGTAATCGTGTTGCGGTGAAGGGTAGTACCTGGTAACAAATAGACAAAAATTAATTTTATTTTCATTCCAAATGTTTCCTAATTTCATTGAAATAAGAAACAGAGTAAATTCAAAGTTAAACATTTAAGAGTAAAAAAAAACGGAAATAATTCTTGACGATTTACAGATTTTTTTCATCAATTTCTCCGATTTCCCCAAATATTGTTTTAAATTACAACAAGAGCTTAATTTGCATAATTTTAATCACTTGCAACAGATGTTTGGTGTAAAAATTGTGTCAATTTGGGGTTAATTTTAAAAATGCTGTGTTGCAAATAACCGATAAAAATCTAGCGAAATGTTTTACTCTTGAATCGGAACTGTTCCTGTATATTTATTGTTTTATAAATGAGAAAAAAAAACAACCTACAACTTTTAAATCCTCAGATGAATGATTTTCATTGCAAATTTTTATTAAGATCGGAAATTTAGGACAAAATTTTAACCGGTTAGACTTTTTGTACTATATTGTATATTCGTCAAAAATTCTTAAATTTCTAAGGAATTTTCTGAAAAATTGCGGAAATTAGGCAAAAATTGATTATTACACAATCCATTGTGAAATTTAAAATTCACAAAAAGTGAATAATGGCCTTTTTTCCCTCGTTTTATCCTTCATTTCTTAATTTACTTTTAAATATTTTTCCCATCAAGGAAAACCCTCCGATTGCCCTTATCTAATTAAATGCGGAAAACGAAATTATAAAGTTTTAGTTAGAAAATGTTTAAATACATAGTGTGAAAATATAATGAACACAGAAGAACACATTTGCTCACAGTACTATAGCAAAAAAAAAGGATATACTGAATGAATTAGACTAGACGTGCATTACGAATTGTATTTCAATGAATTTTTTGGTCTCTTGTTCTGCACTCCAGATGGAGATTAGGTGATTTTAAGCAATTGAACAAAATAATTAAGATTTCATCATAACTAAAACTAACATGGAGCAAAAAATAAAATGCACAAATTAAGAAAACTTTTAAAGTTATTGGAATAAAAAAAATCTTCAAGATTGATTGATACTAATTTTACCAGAAAAGCGCTAATTTATTTATTTCAAAGATTGTGAAAAACATACCTGCTGTAGTAAAGGGTGCCGTTGTCAACTGGCGCCGAGTACGCGTTGCAGCTCATGTCCACTATGTCCAGACTCATGGTCGATTCCTCCGTGTCCGTGTGACTGAATGACTTTGTTTGAACTGCCAGAACGTCAGAAGTCAGAAAACTAACCGAGTCGATTTTCTTCTGAAGTCTGAAGTCGACGCTGAAGTCTCTCGAGCGGGCGGGGAGTTCGGAGTTCCGCCTTCTGTCGGGGCCGCCAATGGGGACGCGGTGCTCCTCTCCAAGGGTCACCGAGGGGTCACGTTAAGTGCCAGCGGAAGCAGGTAGGAGGGGTGAAAGTGATGGATTCGGGGTGTGAAATTGATTGATCAAGGGAAACGATTAATAGCGTTTCGGTTGTCCCTTATTTATTTGTGAATGAGACTCGCGTTTACAGAAATGCAGGTGTGATAGTTTTTTCTGCCGATTTTAGAAAATTTTTGGCTTAATTAGTGGTTAATTAAAATTATTATTCCCTCGCTTTCATTGTGTAATAAGTGATTATGTGGTAGTGAAATAACAATAATTCTGAATCATTCTGAATATTAAAAAAATTTCTAAAAACATCATCTCTTCATTAATTTCTTAGTTTTGCAGTTTTCATCAAGCGCATTGCGTGATTTAATTAATTAATTTGAATTTAACACAAAAAATATTACTATACTATTTTATGTTTTTATTGAAAGGTCAAAATATCCAAACTTCAAAAATTTAAACTTTAAACCTTCTAATAAAAATAAAAAATCAAGAATTAATTTTCATTTCATAAAATAAAATTTATGTTTAAAAATTAAAACACCAAAATCCGGGCAATAATAGAAATGACTTGTACATTTCTCAATCTCAATAACTTACGATTCGATTAACATATTTTTCAACATTATGACAATTCCCCTCTCCAAAAAGTTCAATATTATTTAATTTAATGAGAATTAACAAAAACTTATAAATTAGAAATATTTGCCATACACATATTAGAAAAAATAAGTCTAGTCATTGAAAATGAACCCCCAAAGAAATTAGGCAAAAAGAGAAACGAAAAAAAATACTCTTTTAAAAAAGCCGCCGGTTAAATTGAGGAACAACAAAAACCAGGAAGAAAAATACCAAGATCAAATTCAACGGGATCTCCGACAAAATCTTTGTATTCGTTGCGTCTCTTCCTGTCGGTGGAACAGCATCTGCAATCATTTGCTTAAATTTACACTTTGAAGTAAAGAGAGCTGCGGTGTTCGCTTTTGAAGAGGAGACGCCTCAGGTCGGAGGTCAACGGCGGCGGCGGCAGAGTCAGAGACAGCCGCCTGCAACCCTCAGGGAAAAGAGCAGACGGGGCAAAAAATAAAAGGGAGAGAGCAAAAGGGGGTGCAGTGCGGCGGCAGCCACGCTCATTTTCTGGGTCACGACGGATGACGCGGGTGATTAGCCAAATTGGGCTATTTTTCAAGGAGCTAATTATTAGAAATTCAAAACACCTGCCTGTTGCACTAAAGAGCAGGGAGACCGACAATTGTTATTTATTTATCTCTCCATTTTGTTTGATTAAATAATTATTATTCTATTAGTAATTTAGCAGTTTTTATCAGAAACATTTTCTTAAACAATGATAACAGTAATTTGAATCTCAAATAAAAGCAATTTTTAAATTCTTTTTCAAATATTTGAAGTTCCAAACAGGATATATAAAACTAAAAATTTTGTGCTCTGTCAATTTTTTTTACAATAATAAAGAAAGAAATTAAAAATTTTACTTCATAGTTTTAATTAGTTATTTCTAAATTGTTCTTCTCTTCTTCAACTTCCTCACCTAATTACAATCTTTATCTTGGTTTTAAAAATAAGCACATTCTTTTTAATAAAAAATAACGCAGACAACCTTCACGCTTTTATATAATAATATGATCACATTTTAATAAATAATTCAAGCAATTTCAAATTACTATATTATATTTAATTATATATGATAGCGTTGTAAACACTTGATAATTAAAGAATAAAAAAAAATGTGAGTAAAAATTATAAAATGAATGTAACTTTTTATTAAAGAAATAAAATAAAATTTTGAGCTCTTTATCCAAGTAAGCCAAGCCTTAAAGATTACAAGCGTATGAATAATAAATCAATAAACGGGAATACTAGGCCAAAGTTTTTAATTTCAAAATATGAAATTCGTTCTCTGAAAACCTTTAATTAAAACATAAGAAATGAGGTGCTTACTTCAAACTTCCGCATTTTGTATTAATGTAACCGTTTTAGTGCGCGGCTCCAAAAATCTCTGAAAGTATTGAGTGTCTCTGTCTCAATTGAATTCTCCAATTTCTGTCACACGTCGTGCACAACAAATAATGTACCCGACCGGCGCTTCGAGTCGAGATTCTGTCAAGATTTATTGCGTGCGCCCTGCGCCTCTTCTTTCTTACAAAGCGTCGCACGTCGCGGCGACGATTTTCCTTTTCTCACCGGCGCCGTTTCTATTGCAAACACATGTATGGTGTTTCTTTCCGTCTCACTTTCTCGTCGGCCGCCGCTCCCGATTTCCAGAGGGTGGATTTCTTTTTCATCTCTCGGTTTTGCGCAGAGATGGAGAGGAAACTGCCCGGTGGTCATTTGAAACCAGAGAGCCTGCGAAAAGGATTACCAGAGAGAAAGATAATTTAGTCGTTAGCCTCGCGAAATCTGACGCCGTTTTTTTTAATCCCAACCAGCTAGCAGAAGTTTATCTAAGGGATGATTGATTGAAGTGAGTTGCGCCGAGTTTTGACAGCTGTGGGAGCGAGAAATTTTTACCCAGGCATTTATTTTGTTTGCCGTTTGTCATAAAAAGTTAAAAATAGTCAGAGTAATAGCATTTTATTGGGTTTTTTTTCTTAATTTTTACATTCATATTTATCTAGCTGAGTTTTGTATGATTTTTAACTTCTGTGAGTAATTGCCTGTTGTTCAATTATCTTAAGTTAGTTTATGCACAAATGGGCACTTCATCTTATTAACAGGACATATTTTTAAAATATTACTTTGATGGTTATCTAAATTCGTCAAATTAAGGAGTTTAAATTATTAGAAATTTGAATTTTTCAACATAAAAAAACGATCTATTTCTAAAATTACAACAGAAATGGAATTAAAAGTTCAAATTTAAAAAATACATTAGGGCCTGATCACAAAAAATTTATATTAATTTAAGAATAAATAACATTCACTTTGAACCGAAAACTTTGGTGAGCCAGGTACGAGGCAGTGTAATTGATTAATTGCAGAAGTAATACTATTGTATTCAGTGAATGGAAAACCCTTGACACATTTCAAAGACTACTTAGAAAAAAGCCTTGATGCCAACTCAATTGAAAGAAATAAATTATTCACAACATGTGTTAAGTGTGTAAAAAAAGTAAGGTGAATATTTTTCAGCGCATAATGCAGTGAAATAAAATAATAATGAAAAAAATTGAGAACAGTTATGCCTTGACAGAGGAATGGTGCAGAGAATGTTGGCAATTTCAACGCGAGCGAAGAATTTGAGGCTGGTGCGGAATGTTGGCAATTTCAACGAGAGCGAAGAATTTGCGGCTCGTTCAGAATTTTGGCTATTTCAACGCCGCTAAAATGCGACGCCGGCCGACGCCAACTTGACTCCGCGCGCTTTAAAAATTCTTTATTTTTCACTGGTAGGTGAGGAGCGGGCCCGGGGGAATTTCCCCCCATCCCCCCTTGAAAATCCGCCTCTGTTTAAATTTAAGAAATAAAATATAATTTATTTATTAGTCTTGGACACTATTATGTCCCTTGGGTCTAGCTCCTCTGTGAGAAGAGGTTCTTCCGTTTGGGTGACACCTTTAAACCTAATAAATAAATAATTTAAGCCATGTATTCTGAATTTCAATCTTGATTTATTTATAAGGACAGCTACTGCTTGGAATAATAATCAATGACCAAAATAACACCAATATACAATCAACCATACTTGGGCAGAGCACGAGTGCAGGGACTTGCAAACTCCGAGCGAGAGTGCAACCGTCAGTGAGTACATGCACTCATTCCGCTCAAAAATGCGCTCAGCGAGCGATCATAACTTGCAACTTAAGCACAAAATAACAAAATTCCTCACAAAAATTTTAAGTTTAATACATATAAGCAAATTTATCACAGAAAATTTATTAAAAAGAATTTATTATTTATTGATACCGTTGTTAAATTAATTTCTGCAATTTTTTTAAAAAAATGCCCGGAAAATTCTAGAAATGCTGGGAAAACAGGTGCAGAGCGTTAGAACAGAGTGCGAGTGCAAACATCAAAATCTCGAGCTCGAATGCGAGCGCACTGTTGCCACTGACAGCGCGAGAGCAAAATTCTCGCACCCAACTATGCAATCAACAATAGATTGGATAAATGAAGAACAAAATTACATTGTGTAGCTGTTTGCAGGAAAACGAGAAGAGAATCAACGGGTGTAGTTTACAGACGTGGCTTCAGAAACAAAAAAATTTGGGGGGTAAATGTGTGCCGTCTGGCGAAAGACGCCGCGGAGACAAAAATTTGTAAAAACTTTAAAAGTAAGCACTGCCCTTTGCGGCCAAGAAAAAAACCTACTGAATCTGCACGAAATGGCCGTCGCTCCAGTTGCATTGGTTGCAACGGTTGTCTGGAAGCTCGCAGCAGCTATCACACAGAAAAGTGTCGTGACCGCAATTCGCTTGCCCAAATCCCTCTTAGTCGGGCATCTGTAGCACATTTTCTTTGAGCCAAAGACTGCAAATAAAATTAATTAAAATAAATTTAATAAAATTAGCATTTTTAAAAGTGAATTAAACTTACGAAAGCTATTGAGCTCGTCGCTTAATTCTGATAAATGCAGTAGGAGTAACTGCTGATCCTTGTAACTGTTGACCTTTTTTGTCTTGTACAGGTTCAAAATAAGCACAATAAAGCCAAAGGCGTCCAACTGTCCAGCAGCCGATCTCACTTCTTTGTTAAATAAGGCCCCATAGAGTAATTCCGTCTTTTCAAGAACCTTTGGTGAGATCGGGGTGAGGGGTAAGCTAAAAGATTAGCAATTCATTAACATAAATTGGCATGATAAAGTATATCTATGTTATTTACATTACAGTCAAAAAGAGTTTTTGCCACATGTGCCACATGGTCGAAACTCTCTCCGAGAGGGTCAACAACTCCTTTATTGCCATCTGATGGCTGAATGCTGATTTAGAGGCTGTTTCGCCCTGAAAATAAAGCATAAACCTCATTTCAACAACTTAGAACAAAAATATAAATGAACTATATATTGAAGCATAAAGTTTCAATCCTCCACTCCCAACTGCATTTCAACAATTTAAAGGGAAGCTTCCCCACACTTTACAGGTTCCCGATCTTGGCTTGTCGCAAAATTTTTCTTTAAAACAGAAACTGAAATTTATGTGAATGCAAAATATTTTTGGAGTTAAAAAATGTATAAAATAAAAATTAACAAAAAATCGATCGGCTCAAGACGCAGTTCGGCTGGCGCGGCGCGACCGGCTTGAAAATTTTAAAAAAGGGCCATAAATACCGGGCCAGTGGCAGAGTGGTTAGTGTGCTTGCATTCTGATCACTCTGAGCTCGGCTGGCGTGTGTTCGAGTCTTGCAATTTGTTTGCATTGATAGCAAATAGTTGTGTGTGAGCCAGACACTCGCCAGTCGAAATCCAGTGGAATTCGGGAGATGCAGATTGCTCTGCATCGACTCGCTGCCGGCTGGTTTTCACCTTTCCAGCCGGGCATATTGGTATGTGGCGAATGCACAGCGTTTCAATTGCGAGTCCTCGGTGGCGAGGCAAACACGCTCTGACTCTCTTGCAAATGGGTGCATCTCGATCGGGGGGCAACTCGCGATTCGCGGTGACACTCCATAAGCTCAAAACTCTAATTTATACTGATTTATACTCATTTATACTGAACAATTAAATACATCTAGCATCTTTTTTCTGCAGAGCTAAATATGCCTTGGGAATGGGTTGCGTTAATTTATATGTTTGCAATTAATGTGATTACAAATTTTAAAATCGAGTGTTTAATTCCTTTTGAACCGTTAGAAACGTGTGATTAACGATAATTCCTGTGATTGAAAGAAGAAAAGCTATTTTTAAAATCGTCACAAAATAATTTCATAAATCATAAAATTAAAATTTCACTTTGTTTATAATAAAATAAATTATTTTCAAAATACTTAAATGTATATTATAAGAAATTGTACACTTTCATATAAAAACAGTAAAAGTATTAAAAAAAACCGTACCGTCATTTCAGTGCTTCTCAAACGTCAAACATTAAATTGCAGAGTGAAATATCTCCCTAATTCTTAATATTTTGCACTTATTCTTTATTGTTGCGCTCTTTTTCCCAGTAGTGTCAGAGAGAAATCAATTTGGGTAAATGGATTTTTTTTTCAATTTACCCTTCAATATTTGCAAAGGAAAAACTTGTTGCAAACTCGGTCAACTGATTTTCGTGTAATTTTATCACTTACATGAAAGGATACGCCGTTTTTCCTGTCCATCCACACAGGGCTACCGGGCAAATTAATATTGATTTTCCAAATAGGCAGAACCTGCAATAGGGGTTGTCGTGGCAAGAAGATTTAAATGTTGCCTTCCGGTCACAACCGATCTCTGTGCACTTCTGGTCTGTGGAATTGTCATCAAAAACTAAAAAAAAAAATTAATAAACAAATTAATTGAGGCATTTAAATTTCATGGATAATATATCAAATGTTGCATTTTTTTTGCGATCAAATAAATATTTGAAAAAAAAACATATCCGAACGTTTTTTTTTTATCAATTCTGGTTTCAGAACGATGAGTCCTAAGAAAATGAACTTTGTAAATGACAAGCCTTGGCTTAGGATTTTTATTTTTATCAAATTTCTTAAAATTGACAGTTTTTCTTCCAGATTTAGCATTAAAATTGCTTACCGCAATCGCAAAAAGATCGCAAATGACCGCAAGCAATCGACCACCTTTTGCGATTGCGATTTTGTCCATCCTTGTATATTTCTGTGTGTGTTTGACAAAAAAAAATATGCATTTGCAATGATCGAGTTTACAAGTGTAAAAAAATATACCTATGCTTGTGATGGATTTCGCGACGACCGCCAGCTGAACCAACACAAGCCTTACGTTGGCTACAGACGTCTCGTTAAAAAGCTCCAAGACAATGAGAATCATGGATAGGACATTAGTAGCTATTTTTTCGGCCTTGGTATCGGCGGAGTTCAGAGCCGAAATCAGCTCGTTTGCCTTTTCCGTGGTTTCAGCAGTCAGTGTAATTGAGGAAGCTGCAAGTTAAAAAACATTTAAAATCAAATAAATATTAGTCATTATAATTATTATTCAGTGAATCGTCTTAAGGAGAGGCTTTTGCTAAAAAAACGGCCCATTTACTTTTGATGGTGATTTCTTCCGATTTCTTCATTTTTTTCTCATTAAAGCATTAGTATAAGTAAGTTCCAATAAGGAGAAAACAAATTAATAAGGAAATATAGTAGTCACAGTAAGAGAAATGAATATTTTAAATTTAACCGCCATTTTTTTGTCCGAATTTTCCAAAAGAATTTCTTTTTCACAAAATCGGACGGACTAAAATTAATTAAACTTTCATCGAATCACACGTTACGTTCATATTATTACCCCCTAAAAAAAAAAATGAATTTTGTTTTGTTTACCCGAGTGTTGATCAAAGTTTGGGCGATTTGAATTTCTTTCTTATTCGTAGCCATCGTTGGGGACAGTTCAGAACCTGAAACGATATAAGGTACTTTTTTGATACCATATTAAGGAGAAAGATTAATAAGGGAGAGAGATGAGATGATCACATAGCTAGGGATGGGCGCCCTTTTCAACTTCGAATCGGGCACACGAATCATACCCCAGAACCGCTGTTGATTGACAAAAGCAAATTCCTCACTTCTCTAAAGCGAAGAGCCCAGACAGAATACCTGCCATTGCCAGGGGAACTATTCAACCGCGAAAATTTCTTGAGCTCACTTCAAAATACACCTATGATCCACACCGTCATGTGGTTGCAGCCGCACTCACAACAAATGCTCCAACGCGCAGAAGGCAAGCGCCTCCAGCGACTTCCTCAGTTTTTGCGCTTCCTAACACTGACGTCTAAATTATAATGTAAAAAACATTTGACAATAAGTTTACAATATAAAAACTGATATATTTCATCATGAAAGTGGTTTTTAAATTTTCGGACAAAAAATATTCGGACAAAATAATTTCGGTCATTCCAGTAATTTTGTCGAACATTTAATTTTCGGACATTACATATTCGGACATTCCATTTTTGGTTTTTCGGACAATCCATATTCGGACAAAACGTGGCGACCCTATAGTTACAATTTTTAGAATTTTGTTATATAATTTTAAATGATAAATTTATTTAAAATATTTCAGTCGCCAAGTAATGCTCCTTAATGGAACGTAAAAAATTTAAGTCAGAATATAAGAAATTAAAAGTTTGTCTCAAACCTCATATCTTGGAAAATAAGACTGGAATACCATCAGATATTATTAAAGCAAATTTTTTTATTTCTGAATTTTCCAGTTCACTTCAAAATAATAAAATTTCATGTAATATTTCACTCGCGAATTAAATCAATATTTTGCATTATTTGCTATGAAACTTAAATTTTTTATTTGCATGTAAAAGAACACACGAAGGTTACCATTCAGAGTTTTTTTAAATTTTTAATATATACTGATCATTATATTAAATATAGAATTATACAATATTATTCTCCCCTTACGTGTATATTTAATTTTTCACGCAAAATAAAAATAAAGTCTCAATCCAAATTATTTTGTTCGATTTGATAATAAAACATTTATAAAGCCCCTATCCAGTAGTATGAGGGGGGACGTTTTAAGCGACTGAAATTTTAAAATTTTATGCAAGAAAAAATAATCGAGAAGTAAGTGAAACCGATATCTTTGCATTTTAAGAGCATATATTGAAGAAAATAGAAGCTTGAAACTCCGTTAGCGCAACTCAATGGAAACAAAAAAGGAAAAACAATTGAATCACTCTATTGTGTTCATTAAACGCGGGCCAAAAATCATCTCTATTTTATTTAAAAAAAAAATCAAAATCTGAAGATTGAAACGGTGTGAAGGTGAAGAGGTTATGGGGGTAATTAATTTTTATCGTTTGATTGGATGATGCTGCTATGATTGTGAGGAGAAATTTTAAAATTTATTATTTATGCAACCCACACAATCTTCAAAAGCTTATTGAAGCGATTATTTAATTTTTACCGATCGACTTTTTTTAGTAAATATTAATTCGGCAGGTAAAAAGGGAAAAGCATTCAATCAGTGCCTGTATGAACGAGCGAGGGAAGAAGATGCGACTGCATATTTTGTCTCTCCCGAGAGCACGCACTCTGGCAGGTGCTTTTATTATTTTTTTTTGTTTAATTTTCATAAAAGCGATTTGGCATTTTAGTTAGTTAAATAAAAGTGCCCTTATACATAACGCGTACTTACCTCAATAAGAACTTTGCAGAAACACACTTAAAGGCCTGGATATTTTAATAAAATTTATTTTAAATATTTTTTATTTTTGCTATTAACTATTAATTAAACATTAATTCTCTTATTGCATTTGCACTCTTTATACATATCTGTTTATTTTAATTTTTTAACGATTAATATTTTAATAAACTTAAAGGTTTTTTATATTTTGTATGATTTGAATAAATTTAATTTTAAAACTTTGTGCAAAGATATGTATAATTTTAACTTTGCAAAAATAGAGCGTTACAAAAAACGAGAGATTTTTCAACATTAAAACATATCGGCTTGCAGACTTTTTTTTAAATACTACTTTTATGATAGCTTAAACTCTATTGAAAATGAACTAATTTCCAAATTTAAAAACAAAAATAAAAGGAAGTTGTTGGTACGAAAAAAAATGAACACAAATTAGCACAAAATAACTCAAACCCTGTCCGCGCGACTCCCTCATTCATGCTTCGCTTGCCAGTAAAAATATCCTCCAAATATACAATTAAAAGCAACTAAAAATACCACATGATTTTTTTTTACAATCAATCCGGCAAAAGCTGTACTTATTGCACGAATTAATAATTCAACTAAACAATTAAATTCAGTCGCAAAGAATAACCACTCGATCGGGTTGGAGCGATAATAATTTTTCTGCCATTTTTGAATGAAAATCAACATTAATATCGACAAATTATTTACATTAGTTAAAATGAATTTTCCAATTTTCCATTTTTTTCAATTCCTTCCATCTCCTTGTGCGCGCCATGAAGGGCGCATGCATTTTCGGAGAAAGGCACTGGAATTTGACCTTCAAGCCACTTTTGTCGCGCAGGATTTTCTGCATTTTCGCGTTCAATTTTCTTACAAGATCAAGCAGCTATAAACAATGTTTTGCGAGCCCAAAGTTCTGCTTTCGGCTGACAATGACAGAAAAAGGCACTCAAAGTGATTTTTTTCTGCATTTCCTCCTGCGCTGCTTTTCAACAAATAAAGATAAATTTTAAAACATGACCATAATACTTTTTAACTCTTTCGCACAACCTTTTTATACACAATTTTCATCAACATTAATTTATTCTGCACATCCTTGAAAACTTATTTATATTCACGCATGTCGGGGTAAACCTTAATAATGACGCACACCAAACAAAAATTTGATTTTTTTTTTTTTTTATTAGAAATTTATTAAAAAATAAAGATACCTTTTAAGATGCTGTCGGGATCATCTTCCTGTTCCTCTCGTGTTGGCAGCAAAGTCCATTTTGATGTTTTCAGGTGACCAGCTCGGACGATACAGACAGGACTTCCGATCTCGGCGCTTGTCCCGGGCCGACTTCCAGTCGGTTGCTCGCTGCTGCGGCTGCTCGCTCATCCTTGCTTTGTCCTTCTCTAGTGCAATTTTACTCCACTTGTACATATTTGTGATTTTTGTGCCTCCTCACACAAAAGCAGCATTCCAATGACTCATTTGTGACATCCTTTGAATCGCTGACATTTTAAAAAGTGGCTTGTTGTTGGAATTTTTGAAATTTCTTTGCGAATTGGTATCGTCGTTAAATTTCAAATATGGCAAAGTGTCATTCGTAATTCTACAATAAGATGCTGCAAATTAAATGTTGAATAATTTTAATTTATAAAAAAGTTTAGTTCATTTTCGCAGTGTTACAAATGATACATTAAATAATTAAAAAAACGTATACAATTATTTTAAAATATTATTAAACAATAAAAAATTATTTTAACTTTATTAAATATCGTATTATCATGAGGATACAAAATTTCTAATTTTTCTTCTTCAGAATTTACAATTATAGAGTGTGTCTCTCTCTTAAATTGGTTGCATTTCAAAGGTGGACCGAGATTCTTTTGAAAGAGAAAAAGCAACAGAATAATACAGCTTTATTCTTTAAAAATATTTCGTATTATGTCTATGCAATTACTTTGGTGCTGATGAGCGCTCCAAATTGCTAACATTTCACACATACACACACAAATATTATCGGTTTAAAAATAGAAACCAAAAATTCGCAGAAATTTAATGATTAAAAGAAATGAGACCGACAACTTTTCAGTTAATAAAAAAAAATGACACGACGGCGTATTAAAATTGAGAGTTAAAATATAAATAAAATAATAAAAGTTTTAGCATAACATATAGAATACCTGATCACAAAAAATTTATATTAATTTAAGAATAAAATTAGTAATAAATAACATTCACTTTGAACCGAAAACTTTGGTGAGCCAGGAATTTAGCATTTTATGATGCAATATTGCAAGATATTTTGTTCAAATCATAATTCATTTTGATGTACTTTAGAAATTTCATAACATTAATGTTCATGTTGAAACGGTTTAATAAATAAGACGAAATGAGATAATTATTATTAGTTCCTGAATTGAATATGAAAAATTAATATTAGAGATGCGTGAGAAGAATAAATTTCAATTAAAGTCTCTGCAAAAATTATTTGAAAAAAAGTTTAGATTATCAGTTAAATTAACCAGAATAAATAAAATCAAGTTATTCAAAGCGTGCGCTTGATTGAATTTAACAATTTCAAAATTGAGTCAATCAGAAAAAAAAATGAAAAATCTATAATCTAGAAAATCTGCGATTCTTTATTTTCCTCTTGCGTTTTTTTTAATTGTTTATCTTCAGTTGGTATCATGTTTTTGCGTTAGAATATTTTTTCTCCCCCTCAATACCTATTTTTTACTTAATTTTTGTGGCTCATCTGCTTATCATAAGACTCGTTCGCGAGTTCATCGTCTCTCTGTGTTTATGTGTCACTCGAATGGAGTGTCGTCGTGTCACACACTCTCGTGTCGTTCCTTGCTTGGTGCGCGACACGAGGGTTTATTATGATTGCTCGCTGCGTGCACAGGGCGCGGATATCAAAACTCTCGGTTTAGTGGCGCTTCCTGTCCTCGGTTTGTTTTGAGAAGCGACCAGCACGTGTCACCGCCGCGTCAAATTTCCAAATCGCTGCGGACGTCAGGGCCAATCAGCCCCGCCGAGGAAGCACCTGTCCACCCTCGAGGGGGTTGTATTCTGGGGTTGAACGGCAAATGTCGCTCAAATTTTATTAAAGACCATTTGCTGTAACCTTGCTTACATAAAAAAATTATTTCAAAGTCTTCAAATTTTCCTTCCCAACTTTTTTTAAATGATTTAATTTAGGATTTTGAAGTTAAATTTTCTAAAAATAATATATTGATAATAATTTTTACATCAACATTAAGCTAAACTCTACTTTAAATGAAAAAAAAAATTGTTTAAAAAATTATTATAAATGAATTTTGAGAACATTTCTTTTATTCAGAGTTATTCTCATTCTCGTAGGTCAAAGTTTGACTTTGGAGAAATTTCTCGTAATTAAGGCGTCTTCTTCATTTCATTAACTACGCCATGCATATCCATTGCGACGACGTTCAAAGCCGGCGTGTTTGACGTCTGAAGCGGTGCAACATCATTCGAGTTGCCGAGCAGATAATCTCAAGAATGCTGCCAGGGCGAGACATAAAGAGGCGCACATGGCCCTCTGCGGTACTTTTAGTTAGTTTATACGCACGCTTTTATTATTACGGCGGCGACGCACGCTCTCGCGCGGGAGCTTCTCAATCGATAATTATTCAAGTGCGTCTCACCAATTTAAAGCAAAACTTTCTTAAAATAAAATGTTTAAAATTATTGTTTTAAACAAATTTAAATTCAACAAATTGCCTCCAGTAGCGATTAATGTTTAAAATTTAATTTCGATTTTTACATTCATTAAGAAAAGCAAAATTTTAGTTTGCCACAACTAATTTTAAAATTTAACTTTTTTTGCACTACTTCTTTTTAAATTTAATTTTATTCCAAATTATAAAAAAAAATTGATCTTCTTTTTCTGCTTTAAAGGGTTTTTTATTCAAAAATACACAGTCAATTTCACTGTACATATTAAGATATAGGATTTATTACTTAAATGATTGATGTATTCACAATAGTTCATATTAAACGACTTTCCAATAACAATATTCATCATCGTAATGCAGTAAAACACACGTCCAGTGGAATTTAAAAAAAGAAACATATTTTTGATCATTATAAACGTAAAAATATTAGAGTCGTCAATTTAGAATTGCCTGACCAAGAGAGAGATCCGGTAGACCGAATAAACAAAAAAATTACGAACGATTGAAAAAAAAAATTGAGTCAAATGATAACAATTATTTTAATTATATAATAAAGTTGCTGCTGCTTAGCTGTGTCCACTACGCAAAACTTGCAATTAGTATACATACTAGGGCACCTAAACTCTGCCGGTGTGTTTGTGTGTGAGAGAGAGAAAGACAGTAAGCCTATGATCATCATTATATATCTCATCATAATATATTCCCTAGAAATATATATATTATAGTCATAACAAAATAAAGGACAATCTTATTGTATGCATGTAAGTTTTTGCACAAACACTATTTGTAGACAATACATTAGAAGAGAGAGAATATAAAAGGTGGAGGAGGAGGAAAAGGATGAGAAGTGACAAACCCCACGGAAGATGGATAGAAGCACACTCTATGTTTTAAACTTGCAATTAGACACAAAAAGTTTCTAATGTATATATTACTCGTCAAAAAAGAGCGGTTGATTTAAATCTTTACACCAAAATTACTTCTTGTTCACGATGTGTGCCGTTCTTTTTATCACAAGGTGGCATAATTGAATTACTGCAAAAAACAACAAAGGCACTTGAGCTAGCTAGTTGCGGGAAATTGAGCCGATTGAGATGACTGAGTGAGACTGGACACAAGCTGGATTCAGTCGATGTAAGTAGCACAAACCAGTTACTTAGTAAGACTTACTAATTTATATCAAATCAATATATATTAAGAAGTTTTATTCATAATAATAGTTCTACACTGCTCCCGAAAGTGAAATCACTCCAGATCCAAAGGGCAGCCTGAACGTTTTACGCAGAAATAGGTGGGTTTGAAGGGGAGAGTTAAAAAAAATGCAGCTCTTTTAGAATTTTTCGCCGGAGAAAATGCAGAAAGCAGATTTACAACCTCTTTCGTGAATTCAGTCGCCCACGTCCGGAGCAAACAGTTCGGGAGCAAAGTCATCTACTTGTTATGGCATTGGCTTGATCAATACAATTTACAACAAAATCAATGACTGATTTGAGCAATAACACCTCAACGGAAAAAAAAACATGATTCGTGATCATCGTCAAGAAATTGCACAGGATGTCACCAGAGTTACTTTGATTCAACCAAACGCGAGAACCCTACAAATTAGGAAACACAAAACCCTATCATTATCTACATAAAAAGTAACAAACGAAAATAAAAATCGATCGATCGATGAAGTTGTAGTATGTCCGCAGAATTATGTACATCAAACACTCAAAATCCGGGTGCCCCTTCCCACCTTGTTATTCTTTCCTTTTTTTTTTTTAAATATAAATTTGTCGTTCCCGGTGCGAGCGAATTTAGCTAAATTCCTTAGAAGCTGTCTAAAAAATAAACGAATCTGCTGGTGCTTAAGAAGGGAGTCTGTATCACATTGCCTCTACTTGCCGCCAGTGGCCGAAGCTGCCGACGTCGCCGAAGGCTTTTTCTTTGCCCGCGTGTCACCCAGCGAGTTGCTTCGGCTCATGCCAGCTTCCTGCTCGGCCACATTGGCGCTCCCCGAGAGTCGCCGCACGCGGTTGAACCGGTTGGGACCCAAAACAGCCTTGCGCATGTCACTCTGGCTTTCGGAAACAGAGCGCATCCGACTGAAGCCCGGACGGCCGTACTGATTCCGCAAGTGACGCACTCGCATCTCATAGTCCTCCTCAGGCTGAAAACAAATTTTAAGATTTTTAATAATTTTTTTTAACTGAAGTGTTCAAGTATTGTTATTAAAATCAGAAAAGAGAATGAGAAGTTTTGAAAGTATTTCAAATTCATACCTGCACGACTCTGAAGTCCTCTATGCTTTTGAATTTCGACAAATACTCTTTGAGTTTGTCGTCCACTTGTAATGAGTTGCTCTTTTTGTAATATTTTAAGAAAGCCCAGAATTTCTCCAAACCATATAATTGGCCTATAACAAAATAATCATTAATCCAAAATTAAAAAAAACTTCCAAATAAAAATTCACCATTTTCATAATCACGAATCGTTTCCTCTTGGAAGTTCTTGTATAGCTCCGGCCTGAATTTGAATTCTAGACCGTAGCTGAAGAATCTGAATAGACACTCAAGACCGTATCTGCAACACAATCACAAAATTTAAATTAAAACCACAATTGAAAAAAACAAAAAAATATTTATTAATTAGTTTCTGCGTGATTGTAGTGAGGATTACTATCAAACTCCAACCATAAGGCGTGGTGTTAGCGAATTCCCCACGTTGCTCTAGCACAGGTGTAACTCTACTGCGCTCTCGAATGAGGCAGCAGATGACTTCCTATGCATGTGAATGTACAAATCCAGAATTTTCTACCAACCTGAATCCAAAAGAAGCGTCCTCAACAGCCAGAGTCTTGAACTCGTTATACATTTTTTTGTTGAAGTTCTCCCTTAGGAAGAAAGACCAAAACCGGAAGAGTGTGTTCATCTCCTGTGATTGGCCGCTGCCGAGGCGTTTTCTCTCTAAAAAATGTCAAGATTAACTTAGTTTTAAATTCTTTTGATGGACCAAACATACCTTTGAGACATCTCGAATGATATTTGTGATAGACTTGCTGAGTGAATCCATTTTCTTTGAGGAGCATGTGTGATGGGTGCTGGAAAGCGGGCAATGACTGAGGCGTACTTCCTAAGCTGGTTGAAAGGTAGCTCTCGCTTGGACTTGTACCAGTACTACTGCAATTTTGATTAAGACTTGTTAGTTAAAATTTGAGTTATGAAAATGCTGAATCAATTTTAACAACAAAGTGTAAGAACCCAGTTAAGAAAATCTGTAAAAGTACAGACCTTCGATCAAAAGTCCTATTTTTCTAGCACAGTTTCTACGCCGAATGCTGCTCACTTACAGCATTGGTTCTAGCTTGTGCAGAAATTCTAAACACGATGTATTTTGCTACTAACCTGACTGAGGTGGTCCTCGGCCTGTGTTCCCGGACGTCCATGACCCAGCCGACATGATGCTCAACTGGAGGATTACTGCTGTGTTTTGTTTTCCTCTTGCGAGGTGTGCAAGGGTCGGGCAAAGATTCCTCCTTGACAACGGGGTAGAAGTGCGGTTGGCGTCGCTGATGTTCTTTTCTTTGTCTCTGTGTCCTTGATCGGACTTGTTCTGTGCTTGCTGCCTCCTGCAAAAAAGTAAATAAACTTGGATTAAGAAAAAACAAAATTTGATTAGAAATAAAAACAAACCTGAGTAATTTCATCGACTAAACTGGAAGACGGGGGCTTAGGAGGTTTATCTGGGTTTGAAATGGTTGGCCGTGGAGGTGTGAATTTGTCAAAAGTCTCTTGGGTGATCACATTAACAGTTTTGTAGCTACCAGGCTGGATCTGCAATGAAAATGTTAGTAAATAAATTAAGAATTGATGGGCCATCTTACAGTAACAGTTTCCAGGTCGTCGTCCCACAAGTCGTCTTCGTAATAGTTGAGGCCATCGTTGATGACTTGGGCTAGTTCTTGGCTCAATTTCACTCTGGTGCAATGATCGCCTGTCCGGTCGTACCCATCATGTTTGGGAATTCTGGACGGCAGAGATGTTTGGGGGATGTTGGGAGAGGTGTTTTGGTCAATGACCTGTGTCACAATGAGCAACTTGTTGATTTCTTGGTCACTCAGTTCGTAATCGTCGGAGTCGTCTTCGGCTCTGTTTCAAGATCAATAAAACGCATGAGATTGAGTTGGGTAAGGCTGAATGCAAACTTACAAGTCCGTGAATTTATTGACCCGGCCTGCGGGAACATTCATGTCCTCGTCAAACTGAAAATCTATGTCCTCTCGGCTTTCTGATTTCCTGTTCTCTCGCTCATCAAATTTGTCCTTGGGCGGATGCTTTGCTTTCCGCTTGACCTGCAACAATAATTTGAAAATCATAAACTGCCTGGCAACACTAGAATTTTCCTGAAAAGCATCTTTGTGCTCAGAGATTGGGTTTTTTTCCACACAAGTATGTATAAATTATCTAGCGAATTCGGATGGGAAAATTATAAATTCATCATTGAGAAATTTACAAAAGAATAAATAAAGATTTTTAAATTTGTTTTTACCTCTTGCCAGGATTCTGGCACAGCTTTAGGTGTATTTTGGGCAATGATTGTAGGAGTTGAGAGCGGAGGAAGACTGGCTGGAGGTGGCGGCAAGTTGCTTTTTCGAGCTGGAACTTTTATTGCTTCAGGCACTATTTGCTCTCCATATTCCTCTAATTCGTCTTCAATAAGGTCATCAGGCTCAGGCGAGTGATGGTTTCCATTTTCCAAAATGGCGCTGCTCGGAATGAACTCGGGCACATCTGGGTTCAGATTTTCTATGCTGCTTTCCACTCCGAGAGTTGGAATTTGGTTGTTGATGATGATTGGCAATGCAGGTGCCAAACCACCCGGGTCATTTATGGGCCATTTGTCAGGGTCAATTTTAGTCCGAACCTTTAAAAATCAGTAAATTATAAAAAAATTCCTTCTATCTAATAAAAATCAAATACCTTGACATCATCACAGATGTCCAACAAAGTTGAGTCTTTTATGGCCTCAATCACTTTGGCAAAGTCATGAGTGAGAGCCTGAACACGGTGGAAGGAGGCTATAAGGGTCACCGGCAGATAACCTTCAGAGTCCATTTTGCGCCTTAAGAAAAAGTCGCGGACCAGATTTTCTTCACTGAAGTAGTACTCGCTGCAAGTAAAAATTTTTATGTGAACAATTTATAAAAAATATGAGATTATATTTTAAGTTTTATGGTAATATCAGAACTTCGTTAACATCAAGTATGACATTATGACGGGGAAAGAAGTGGAATCTCATCACGAAAAAAATTGAACTTTGGTTGTTTAATAGATAGAAGTCTTACATTTGCTTCTTAATGTATTCTTTAAGCATGGCCTCGTCTAGCTGCAGTCCATTGTTGTAGAAGAAAGGGTTCACATACGGCATCATGAAGCCCATGCCTTCAGCAGGCTGGCCATTGAACTTGTTGCCTTGGGGGAACTCGACCGTAGACCAGTCCACAGGATATTCTTCTGTGTATTCAATTTTGCCGTTTGTCCTCGGCATGCCTCTGTTCATACCACCACCACGACCTCTTCCACGGCCCCTTCCATTATTGGTCCTCCTGGGACCACCCTTGCCACGTCCTTGATCATTATGCCAATCTCCGTGATCTGTTAAGGCAAACAAATTTTTTTTAAGTTAATCCAACACGAATAAGCTCAAAATGCCAGAAAATGAAAAAAAAAGTAATAGTGGTTTAAGGAGAAAATTTTGAAATTACCATAATCTGAATTCCTATGGTTGTGATCGTGTGATTTTTCACGTTTGTTCCTCGACTTGGACTGCTCGATTTCCAAAGGAACCCACTTGGGTCTGGGACCACCTTTTTTCCTTCTTGAAGACTCGTTTTCTGATGAGCCAGAGGAGTTGGTGGCCGTCTCGTGCCTGAAGTCGTCTGATGGACTGTCTTCTCTGTCCATGTGACCGTTTTGTTCAGCCAGGCTTGGATCAGTCAGTTCGACACTGTGCGCCGGTGAACCTTGCTTTTTCTGAAAATAAGTGTAATTTTGTTGAATTATAATAAAAGCAAACTCATAAGTTCAATGCTAATTTTCTTTTAACTTTGCTGAAGATTTTTTTTTTTTAAGAAAAAATGTATTTTATTAAAAAAAAATAATAATAATAACCACATATAAAAAGATTTCATAACTGGTTTTGCGATAATATCAAATTTTGTGCTCACATCAGCCGGCGTGGCCGCACCTAGGGTGGGCCAGTTTTCCATGTCCCGGTGAAAGTCCTGGGCCTTCTTGGCGCTCAAAGCGGCCGCCACCGGTTTCACCGCCGGCGACGGCTCATGCGTTGCTGCTGCAGACACGCCATTCTCTGCGGACAACAATAGAAAAGAAGAGTGAGTGAGCACAGCGGACGGACGAGTGGTGGTTCGCGCTGCGGCGGCCACTTTGTAACAAACATAACCCGGCTAAAAATACACACGCGCCGCCCTGCTTCGGCTGCTCCACAGCACGGAGGCACCGAGACAACGCCCCCCACCGACTTGTTATTTGCATCGCCAAAATTTAATCAGCTCGAGGCCTTTGGATGATTTTGCATTATTTTGCCACCTACACGTTCCATTACCCTCGGCAAAGGCGTGGAAATTTGCGTGTTCTAAGATCTAATCAAAATGTTTGAAGCGTAAACATCATAAGACCGTGACCGAAGCAGTTTTTTTTAATAAATAAGAAAAATTTAATTTTGTGACTGGAAAAGTACGGATGATGAAGTTAATTGGTTTGAAAGCGATTTTTTTTAATTTTTTTTTTTTAATTTCAGGTTTTATGAAATTTACCAAAATTATCAAATAGAAGTAAATTTGTCGAGAAAGAGTTTTATTTTAACCTTTGCACTCTTTTGCCAAATATTCGGATTTGGCTCGGTTAGCTCGTTGACCTGACAAGGACGCTGGTCTATTATTGAATCGTTTAATTCAGAGGCAAATAAGACAGGAATGCAAACGATTTGGTCTGCAGGCGCTGCCTTCAGAAAGATAAGGAGACGAGAGAGACATTAGTGGACAATTACACAAATTCCAAACAATTTAATTTTAATAGTCAAGTGAAGACATGGCGACAGAGAGAAAGAAAATCAGGGTGAAAAGCAATTAAGATAGTGTGACGACGCTAGGAAAATAATGTAGGCGGCCGCGGCACGGTGATAGCGCGGCTCGGGAAATCAATGCCCGGTGGCAGGACGGCCAGCACGTGATAACCGACTTCCTGCAAACGCAGTCCGAACGGCGGAAAGGAAAAAAACCATGTGTACCCTTGGCCAACGGCAAAACATCGGTCACCAGGCGAAGCCGAAAGATCAAATAGTTGGCACAAAAGAGGAAAGAAGTGCAATGTCAATCGGATCGCGAGCTATTTGCTCGACGATTAACCCTTTCGAAATTCAACCGCCGGCAGGGCAATCAGTGGAAACAATTTTACGAGAAATTTGGCACCTCTTTTGCAGTAAATGTGGCCCAGTTATAAAAGTTATGAAATGTTTCCAAAATATGTATACAAGGGTTAAAAAAAATTGGCGAATTATCAAACTAAAGTAAGATGATCTTGATTGTTCAGATATGCTTGAAAACGTTAGCAAGTGCTTGTAATTTTATAAAATATTTACAATCAAAAGTCTGAGAAAGATAAAATTTTTATCGCCATAAGCATCGTACCATCAAAATTATCAGTTGGCAATAGATGAAAATTACAATTTAATAGGTAAATATAAAAGGTTATGATTCGATACTGATCAAGTTAAGGAAGATTCGAAATTCAACAGAACCTGAGAATCCATCCATTCAACTCTTGGATCGTGAGCTTTGAATAACCTGCGCATCAAAATATGCAAATCGAGACATACGTGACACTCGCCGCGGGCCATCACTCCAAATCGTGATAATTCAGAGGTCGTGCTAATTCACTATCAACGGAACAAACAACCTCAGCATCAGCTACGTGCGTTTTCGAGACTCTCGACCGCTGCTCGGCTTTTCGAGCTGGCGTTGCGTTAGACACGCGAAAACTCTGACACACACGGGCCATTCCACGTGTCGCCGAAAATAACCAGCGTGCGTTTCCACTCATTGGTTGGGTCCGGCTAGCCGCGGGCGCCTGCTGCAGTTAGCAAACAAATCGGCGGCTGCCTTCATAGACGCGCTCCTTAACTAGCAGCGATAATTACGTTCCTTTTTAATCGGCGCGGACGAAATAACCAAAACCGACCGTTTCTCAATAAAAAATTTATGGTTGAGCAAAGTGACGGTTGAGCAACGCGAACTGTTCGGAACAAAGACAAAAATTTGCAAATAAGGAAATTAAAAAATCAGTCATGAGTTAAAATTAATTAAAATGACTAAATCAGATACTATTGTGTTCTTCACAGTTTATCGGGGAACATTATCACGGTTTGCACTGATTAAATAATTTTTCTGAGGTCCTTGAAATATTAAAACATTGCAGTAAGCCAATTTTATTGTGAGTAATATTTAAGTGAACTTGATTCTATATCAAAAAATTAAGCGAGCAGCGAGTTGGTACTTGAATTTGTTAGTTTCATGAGATTTTAACTTGAGTGTTAAAATGTATTTTTAATTTATTTTATTTTTGTATTTGCTCATGAAATAGGGTCGCAGATTGTATCCGAAACTGGTAGAGCCATTTTTTTTTTTTTTTTTAATAAAACCATTTTTGCAACGAGGAAAAGTCTCATCTCTTCTCATTTTCAAAAAAATTAAAATAGATAATCTTATGACATTTCTACATAATTATTCTCCGAAGATGATGTAAGAAAAATTACCAGCAGTGAGAGCCTCTCGAGTTAATAAACTAACCATCCTTTCCATTCAAAACAATAAATTTTGAAATAAAAATGCTTGCAAGATGCGGAGAATCGCGTGGTGGTATAACGAGAGCAATAATCGCCACCAGCTAATAAGCCACTCAATCCGAGTCGATTTCGTGATGGCGACCGGTTTTGCATTGAAATAGAAAGTAGTTTGGTTCTCCGGGAGAAAGAAGCAGGCCGATGGCTGCTCGGCGGCGAAAATGCCACGTGAACCGACCGATGCGAGCAAAGGGTTATCGCGCGGGACGACCCGAGTCGCCGCCGCCGCCGCGTGTGGAAGGAAGGGTTGCTCGTGGTGATAAGTGCAAAGTGTGCCGACCTTGATTCACTGCGCCAACCTGTTGATCAATCGGCGCAGGCGACAAGGCGGCCTGATTAGTTAGTGTGGCACGAGCTGCGACGCCGAGGCGCAAAATCGAGCCTCCGCTCTTGAAGCAGCCGCGTGCGAATTTCCGAAAAAAAATCCCCCGGGCTCGGCTTATCGCCCCGCTATCAATTATTGGCACTGCTTGGAGACAACAATCGCAACCAGAGTTCGCAAACAAGTCGGCTGCGATTCGGTCGAGAGGCTTTTTTATCAGATGGACCAAAGTCAAATTTTAATTTTCAGCTGAACTGACAAAAATTTTGATTCATTAGTTTACAATCGGCTTTGAATTTAACTATTGAATAAAAAAGTTCAATTTATTAGCAAAGTATAATTATTTTGCGATTTTTTAAATTTTTGCAAATTTTTGTTTGACCTTTCACCCTTGGTAACCTGTTAAGTTTGCTCAAGATTCATGATAAATATGTTGTTGAAAAACTATTTCACGTAAAAACTTTTCGCTGCAGAAGAGTTCAACGAACTGAAAAGAGGCGGCGTTACGTAAATTTGGGAACGAAAAAGTGGTAATGCGCCGGAAAAAGAGGCGACACGCTGACCGACTGGGAAGTCGCCAGCAGCCCAGGTTCATTATGGTCACGGGTGTCAACAAAGACAAAAAACCGAGATGATCAACAAACAAGCGCCAACGACGCAAAAACAAACAAGACTAAATTTAAATATTCGGGTCAAACGAACAGGAAAGTGTTTATTGCTATTCAATTGGTTTGGAATTGATTTTCAAATATTTGAAAATAACCGTCGAGAGTTAATTTCAATACTTGGGCTTATTATAAACATTAATTTAGAAATAGAGCAGTGATTCAATTCAATTATCTCAAAATCTACCAATTAAAAAAGAAAGACTTAATTGGAATCGTGATTAATAGGGGGGCGGGAAGGATTTTAATTTGAGGCCCAAAAGTTTGCCAAGGTTTTTGCAAATGATTCCCAACGTGAAAACCCGCAAATTGACCAACTCGTTTCAACGCACAGGCCATTTTGGAAAAATCAAAAGTGAAAACCGGATGCGCATCGGGAGAAAAACTATAGAGAGAGAATCGACTCGGGAGAAAGGAAGGGAGACAAAGAGAGACGATCAGGTGTCGAGCACGCGGCGGCACAGCTTATTTTCCGCTCCACTAATCTCGCCGAATCTTTTTATCTGCGAGCGAGCCGAGGAATTTATTTTCCAAGCGAAAATTAAAAAAAGTGATAGGAAAAAAAGCACCTTTCTGGGGATGCTCACCCCAGGCGTTCTTGGGCGGCGACGGGAGGCCGACGCTGCTGGCCATCCCCTGGAAGAAGAAATTCGGCGTAAAAGGCAGGCGGTGAAGGTCGCCGCGGCTGCTGCTGCTCGGCTGGCTCGTGTGTATTTTTTAGCTCCTCTCACTGCACACTGGGCGAGTTGGTCTGATGCGCGGCGTTCGCTGCCAAAACACGGCACCGAACTCGGACGAGCCGCGCGACCGAGTCCGACCGAGCGAGCGAGCACCACAGCCGACGCGGCCCCGGCAGCTTCGGAATTAATTAAAATACCCCCAGATGAATCTCGACAAGTTCTGACAAGGAATTTCAGTCTCGGTGCAGGTTTGCATCGGAAAACAAACGAGGGGGCAAGTCGAAAATGGAAAGTCGGTCGAGAACTGGAAAACCATGGTGGCTTCTTTTTGATAGTGGAAAATAATAACGGGACCTCTGATATCAAAAAGTCCGCACGCGGCAATTACGACTTTAAAAAGCAACGCCGAGGGAAATTTATTTAAATAAAATGTATGTAATTCACACCCGGGTGCGCCTCACACGTGTTTTCGCGTGACAAGCGTAAAAAGCGATTCCGCAAATGGGATTCTGTCACTTTGATTTCGCTCGCTTCCTCTCACATGCCTGGGAAATTACAAGTCAGACGTAAAACCTAAAAAATACCACTTTGTAACGAGGAAAAACGCTTTCGTAGAAAATTTCAGAAGTTTAATTACGTGTGCGTGATTTTCACATTTTCCACTTGATAAAAATTTTAACAAGGACGTTGATAAGGCGAAAAGTAATCATTTTGAAATTAAAATCGCATTTTAAATTTTAAATAAGGTCAAGTTGCACGGTTTATCATTTTTGAGAAATTATTAAAAAGGTCGGGGCTTTCTAGAACCAATGAAACAATTCCCTTTTCTAAATGACCCATTATTACTTTCTTTACATTCAAAACGCGACAATATTCTTCAGATTTAAGTGCAAAATTCATTAACCTTTTCGCTTATGAAAAAATCCTTTTTAATCTTAAGTTATCGAGAAAGTCCGAGGAGGTGAAGAAAATCCTTTCACATAATTTACTGACCAATCTGAAAAGGGCCACGCAATTTGCTATGCAGACACGTGCTGAATAGAAACCTTGAAAGGGACTTGTCAGAATTTTAAATCATCTATTTATAGCGTCGAACCCTGTCACTAATTACCGTGCTACTCCCTTCTTGTTTCATGAACCGCTTGAGTCGTAAAACCAAAAAAATTTTGGGTCCTTCGTGTGTCTAAATTGAGACGTCCATGGCCGCGCAAGTTACTTTATTTGAGCATTAATTGAGACATGCTGTGCGCACGAGACAAACACTCTGGCATTACCGAAAGAGAGAGAGAGAGACAAATACACTTCTATGCAAAGCACACACGCGGGCAGTTCCGGCTCCTGCCAGGAGAACGGCCTTGGATTCCTCGGCAGGCAGACCGTGGCGTAAAACAAAATCACCGAAAGTCGGCGTTTAGCAGGCGAGAGAAGACGCTCGGTCGGTCGGCGCTGCTAATTGAAAGGAGGAAAGAAGCTCATTGCAAAATAATGCGTGCGCAAAACTGTACATCTCTCTCTTTCTCGGACCGTCCTCTCACTCGTGGCCTTGAATTTGGTTTCTTCCCAGCCCAGCGCGAAGTTTCGGACTCGAATTTATTTATTGCTATCGTCTGGCCGAGAATTTTGGGCGTTGGCCACCTGCGCGATCTTGTCTTCGGCCGGCAAGAGGATCTTTGGAACCAGTTACATAAAAGAAACCGAGAGTTGCGTGGACCTTCTATCATTATTATATATTAAGTTCGGATCGAGAGCAAAATCTGTCATATCAGAATCAACGGAGAATGTCAGGATATTCAGAATAGCAAAAGGGATTTAAAAAAAAATCATTATAGAGATGAAAAATAACAAAAATATTGAAAAAAATTCAAGAAAGTTCAAATATGAAAATAATTTATGCATGACTTTTTTATAAATTATTTTTCTATGCAAACTTTTTCCCATTGTTGCAAGAATTTGAGCCAGGAGCTCAAATATGCAACACAAAGTTGGTTGCCAAGCATAAAAAGTGCACAACCACACATTTTTTTGAGCCCAATTTTGATAACGCCTCTCTCGACAGCGACAAAGCTGCTCGTTAAAAACACATTTTGCCGGGGTGCGTGAAAAACGAAAACAAATTAAATGCACAAAAAGTAACAACGCTGGTGATTGCGGCAATTTTTTTATGCCGACGTAAGCGAATTTTAGAACGCAGCCACCTGAGCCGACCACAATGGCAAAAATTCGAGCGCTGGACGGAAAGGAGAGAAAAGAGTGCTGAGCATCAACCGACTCATTCATCAGCGCTTTTGTTGTGCGGCCGAAACGCGAGCCAACGAAATGGCGAGAGCAATGGATGCTGGCAATGCTCCTGCAAACACTTAGAGTGGCAGTCGGTTGTTAGTAAAAAAAGTGGCGAACTTTTTTGCACAGAAATAATAGTAATTATTATTTCTACAAATCTAATTAAATGAAAGCAATTATTGTAAACTTGAAAAGGTTTGTGAGGGCCAGACAAATAATTTGGCTGGTTAAATGTATACAGAGGTAAATTGAAGTGTCCATTAACACCTCATTAAAAAGCTATCACTAATCTTTAACGGTGAACTTTATGAGCAATTATAAGTAAAGAGCCAATTTTAAATGCATACGGGCGCCATGATAAATTTCTCTAGCGTTTTAATTGTTGTTTTTAAATTTTAGGCAAAAGCATCCCAGATTTCATTGCCTATTAAAAGAAAAAAAAGAACACCATTAAATAATGATAAATAAATAAAATAATTATTGTTATTCTTAGTTATTAAAACGATTTAATTTTAAATAAAAACCCGGGCTTTCATTTTAAGATCATGATAAAGTTGGAAAAAGACGGACACGTGCGCCTAAGAAAATTTCCCTCGCTTCCAAGAGGGCCACGTGTGCCCTTATAAAAATTACGATTGTCGCCTGTGCGAACGAATTGCGTCGCGCAGTCTAATTTCCTGCTCTAAAAAGTCACAGTCGCCGGCAATAAAAAACACCTGTCGCCAAGTGCATGCGCGCGCGAAAATTTATGCAAATGGCGATTCGCTAGGCGAGAAAGAAAATAAGCGGTTTTGTTGTTGTTGTTGCCCGCGGCCGTCAGTCTTTTGCTAGGACGCAGTTTCCGGCAGGCCCACAGCTGGCCGGGCGCGGTCAGTGACCCTGTTCGGTGACGGGCGCCACCCCGCCACAAACCAGACTCCAGACGGGAGAGAAAGAGAGCAACACGTGGTCGGTTGCGCACCGCCAAAATAATTAGCTCACCTGCCCTGTTATCGCAAAGATAACCTACAAAAATCGCGGATTTCCCGTAATAATCAATTTGATTAATTTCAAATTTAATGAGAACGAACAAGAACAAAAGGGGACTTTTGTAAAATGTTTTCAAGAAGGATGATGATTTGATTTAATTCTTTATTGAAATTAAAATATGATTAAATGTTTAGATTGATATTTTTATAACAATTTCAATGAATTTAATATTGTACATTTAATTCCAAATTTCAAGAGCAAAATACAAATGGATCAACGTGGGTTTCTCCTCTAGGAAGGATAGTCCAGGGTCACAGAGGGGTTCTTTTGTGAAGTTCTACATAAAAGACCGTGCAGATGTTTACAGGGGAGGAATAGAGAAGTGAAGCATGTGAAAGGGAATAAAAGGAAGAGGATTTTATATAGAGCAAAAAAAACTCAGTTAAGGCATAAAGGAAGCGTTTTGGAAATTTGAAAAACCCAAATAGAGCTGATTTGGAATTCGAATTTTTTTATGTTAGCGGTCGGCAACATAAGCGCGAGTTTGGTTCTCCACTCGCATTTCAACACGTGGGTGTTTAAGAAATGGTGACGCTTGAATTCGCTTTCAGCAGATAAGAATGAAACCTGCAGTGTAAAATTACTTGGGTAGTTGGGTCTCATTGTGAAGCAGGTTTTTATCATAAAAATTGTAAGCATTCTCAACTAACATGCAAGTAGTTTAAATATCCAGCGCCAATTCCGTAATTGTAGCAATTAAGTTCCAGTTCTTAAGAAAAAGATAAGAAGAAAAATTGCAAGTAAATTACATATGTTTACACACAAGAATATAGTTTAAAAAAATTAAAGAAAATAGGTTGCTTGCATGAAATTAAAATTTTAAAATTTTTGATTCAAATAAAAATATTTGCTTTACAAAAAATTTAAATAAAAATAAGCAAAATAAACTTACCAAGTGGCACGCTGAAGAGGTTTCGCTTGTCAGCAACTATGGACGCCAAAGTGGCCGGCGAAGTGACTTTGGGGGCGGTGGCGGGGGCGGCTGCTGCTGCCAAGGGGCTGGGGGCCTCTTTGGGAGGCTCCTTCTCCACAGGGGTGGCCGCGCCTTTCTTGGCCATCCACGGATTGACCTTAGGCAGGGGGGCCTCGACGTATTTGACCACCGGGGGTGGCTCGACCTCCTTGTCCTCCTCGGGGGTCGGTTCGCTGTTCTTGTGGTGGTGGTTGTTGTTGTTGTGGTGGTGGGAATGTTTGCTGAAGTGGTGGTGCCGGTGGTTGAAGCGCCGGGGGTGGAACTCCCTGTTGTTGTTGTTGTGGTGCGGCGGATGCTGCACCGCATGGCCGTTCTCCTTGACCGCCTCCTTGGCAACCTCGGGCTCCGACGGGGGCGGCGAGGCCGCCTCCACCGGCGGCGTCTTTATGTTGAGCAGCACGTTGGCGTACGAGTTGTGGGGGACGGCGCCGCCGGGGGCCGTCGAGTGCGGCCCCTCAGCCTGAGCAGCGACTTGCGCCGCCATCTTGCCGTGACCAGGTTTTTTGCTGCGGAGAAGACAAATCCGGTTAGAAAGTGCTCCAAGTTACTGAAACCAAGGTCAAAAGGGCGCCGACGGCCCTTGGCCGGCCGATCGGCGCGTCGTCGACCGCACGCGTGTCGACGACGTGCCGAAATTCGGCTGCGGCGGGCAAATGTTTACCGCGAGGAGACCGCATGGTAACAACGTGACGTGTATGACGCGCCGATTCGCCGCCAATTACGTCCGCGACACGCGCTTTTTTCGTCTCGGGAGCCGACCCGAGTCGGTTTCGACCGGAATTCGGCCACGGTGGGACGCGTTCGGTTCACTAATTTCAGAAAAACTCACCAATATGTGGCCACCTGCTTGGTAGGGTTCGCACGAGACACGCCGCCTGCTCCGCTTCACTAGGCTAAAAAGTAGTCACAATGCATGCCTCGCGGGCCCAAGATGCCGTCTGAGCGTCCGATTCGTGGCCGAGCAGCGGGACAGTGGGCCAAACACAGACTGCACGCAGCTTTACAACATCAAAACGTCAAAAAACGTCCACGTACATTCACTACACGAACCAACAAGCACATGTCTGCCGAGAGTTCGACAAGTGAGAAGCACCTGCAGGTGGCAGCACCGTCTGCTGCCAGGTTTCTCCGACTCGGCCATTTAAACGTCAATTAAAACGGAACTGCAATTCCAAACCCAATTAGTGAACCGGCCAAATCGATCTAGGGCAAAAATATAAACGAAATTTTCGTTCAGTAAACCGAAAGCATAGCTGGGAAGGGAGTTTTCTGCCTAGAAAAGTGTCATACATGAATTTAAATGCCTAACTTGAAATTTGAAAACTGGCGGGAAAACAATGCTCCGTATTGTTTCAGGGATTTGATTTTTTCCGAGTTTCAAGACTTTCTGTTTTAATTTAAATACTTCATATTTTTCTTAATTTTTTATTTTAATTTATTTGACCGTGATAATTTTGACTGAAATTAGCGAAATAATTTTAATTAAACCCGATTAAACCCTCCTGGTGAAAACTAAGAATAGTAAGATTTTTTAATCTTCCTCGTATTATTGTTTTTTTTTTATGAATTTATTTTCTAATCATGGACGGTTCAGGTGAAATAAGTGAAATTGCAATTGCACACATCATATAAAAATTTCTCTAGTTGAATATCGATTCGTCCTTCTTGCATGTTTTGATCCCGATGATAAATAAATATGCACATGGTAAAATAATAAAAAACAATTACTGCACACTCTGGCGCTTGGCGTGTCAGAATGTAACGAGCGGTGACTGACTCGTGTTTCATAACGCGCGGCAGATTACAAACTGAAAGAAAGGTGAAAGGAGGAGGATAAAAAAAATGAACTTTGAAAAAAAGTGAAAGTCACGCCGGAGAGCAACATACCAGCAGAGAGTAGCCACAACCGTTATTAAAATAAAATGCAGAGTGAATGGCGGTCGCACAAAACACTCGACGATTTGTGTGTTTTGCCGACAGGGTGTGGCATTTTATTACTAATGGATAAATTGGCGCGGTGCATTTTGCAGGGCCATGCTGGCATTAACAGATAAATATTTTATGACAGGCCGCACCTCACAAAAAAAGTGCCCTCAATTCAATTTTTTAATTGAAATAATTATTCATTTCCTGCCTTCAATACTTTAAATAGCTGTTTAATTAAATCTCGACTGGATTTATATTTAACCTATTAAAACAATGATTTTTCTATCTATTTGAATTTATAATTTTATGTGTATTAATAAATGGAGCAAAATAAAATGAAATTATTACGTATTATCTATGGAAATAATTTATATTTTCTATAATAATCCGTTCAATTGTTTATAAATCCAAATTTTTAAAACGTTTTTGTGAACGAATAATTCAGACTTGTATCAATTTGCATTTTGCAACATTCATATTTATAGATAGATAGATAGATAGATAGAGTATTTATTGAACACAACTAGGTGTACAACGGGTGTCTAAAGCTAATTTGTCTTCCTAAAATTAATTTTACAATTAAGCTTGTTTCGATAATTATTACAAAGTACAAAATTAGTTAATTTTGATTTTTGCAGCCTCTCTTAGGCTTAGTTTTCGTTCATTACATTCAAGAATATGATATTGTGAACATTTCTTACCGCAGTGCTTGCATTCACAATCTATTGTCGCTTGAGAATGAAAATTTTTATTCTTACAAAATAAATAGTGGTACCCGTGACAGGCAAATCTCGTAAACACTTGGCGATCACTGAACATTGCACATTGCCAATTTTTATTCTTCATAGTTTCTGTCTCGTAGAACTCATCACATATCTCAAGTTTGTTTAAATATTTAGACACACAAAATTTCTGGAATGCTTCTTGCACTTGTAAAAAGAATACAAAGTTATGTAAGCCACGTGTTCGGCCTCGCACAATTTGAACCTCATTGTGCTTCAACGCAGTAGTTACAAAACTATCCAAGAGATGGCGCTGAAGGCCTGACATTGCAACCCAGCAACGCTAGCAAAAAACTAGAAAGAAAACAAAAACAGCATAACAATTTGTCGTATTATGCCGGTGATCAAAATTAAACTTTTTCGTCACGCTTGAAATTATCAAAATTTAAATTAACTGCAAAATTTTCCGTCAATCATCATGAATCAAGTAAGTTTGCGCATAAAAAAATATACGATCATGTTGAAAATTTCAAAATTTCCAGTCGCAACGAGACAAAAATGACCAAGCGTGCAGAACGGCAGAGCAGTTTTCCGAGTTGTACTACGACTGCATGGACAAGAAGAGACACCTCATCAATAAACTGTACCTGGACACAGGTCTGCTGGTGTACAACGGCAACGGAATCAGCGGCAAAGACAATATTCAGAGTTTCTACGCCGAAATGCCTCCGACGAGCCACACCGTGTCCTCGTTGGACGCCCAGCCCATCAGCGAGTTTGCTGTCGGACAGCAAACCACACTGACCATTTTAATAGCTGGCAATGTCAAAATCGGTGACAGGAAACCAGCCTTTTTTGTGCAGGACTTCACAATCACAGCCCAAGAGGACAAGTGGAAAATTGTCAGTGATTGTTTCCGACTGCAAGAGCCGACAACTTAAAACTCTAAAGTGTTATTGGTTTACGAAATAACTATTCATAATTGAAATTTAAAAATACATATTCATAATTGAAGATCTTAAATTTTGAATTTTCTATCAGAAAATTTATCACTAATAATATTTAAGTAATATAAGGCAAAAGTAAGATAAAACTTATAATTTATATATTTTTGAATTGCATTATAAATGGTTTTGATTTCTCACATTTTCTTCAATTCATTTCGCAGAATTTTCCCGGCACTGCTTCTGGGAATCGCATTTACAAATTGCACTCCGCCTTTAAGTTGTTTGTAAGGAGCAACTTTGTCTTTGAGAAAGTCTTCGATTTGCTCTTGATTTACATTTGGATCATTTTTTACCACAAAAGCCTTCGGAACTTCTCCACTTTTGCCGTCAGCCACTCCAATCACTGCCACATCCGTTATTCCGGGAATTTTCCTCAGAACTTCTTCCAGTTCCGTCGGAGACACCTGGAATTTAATTTTTTAAATATGTTAATTAAAATATTATATTTTGTACTTGGAATCCTTTGACTTTGATAAGTTCCTTCATTCTGTCCACAATGAAAATGTACCCATCCTCATCAACGTACGCAACGTCTCCCGTCTTCAGCCACCCGTCCGGCGTCAAAGTTTCCTTCGTCGCTTTTTCATTGTTGAGATAGCCCTGCATGACGTTTGGTCCTTTGTACCACAACTCGCCAGTTTTACCCTGAGGAAGGCTATTTCCATTTTTGTCTGCAATTTTTATTTCAGACAATGGAATGTTCATTCCGCAGGAGCCGAATTTGTCGGGCTTCAGGGTTGTTGGGGACATTGCCGAGCAGCAAGAAACTTCAGTCATCCCATAACCTTATTTTTTATTTATAATTATTAAAAATTGTAATTTCATTTTTAACCCTAAAAATTATTTTACCATCTTTGAAGATGAAATCGGGGCTTTTGACTTTTTTCATGAGATCCTTCACAATTGACACGGCTACTGGGGCGGCTCCGTTCATTGCGACTCGCAATTCGTCCAGGTCTGCGGAGGTCAGGTCGTGCGATTTGCATAAAAATGCAACCAAAGGAGGCGCCAAGCACACTGTATTGGGCTGTGGATATTTTCATTTTATTTAAAAAAATTTTGAATTTCTAATTTTATTTCGTTTTGATTTCCTTACTTTGTACTTTTTCATCACTTGGACAAAACTGGAGGGTTCAAATCGCGGAAGGGAGATCAAGTGGTGACCTCGGAAAAGCGCCAAATTCATTATGCCGTTCAAGCCGTAAATGTGGAACATCGGAAGAATGGCGAGTTGCTTTGCTTGCGGATAACCTACGGCAATTTTATTATTAAATTGCATTAATTAATTAATTAGTGTCAAATAAATTGTAAATAATAATTTTTCCGCTATATGACAAATTCGTCAAAAAATTTAAAAAAATCCATTATACACGCGGCGCTAAAGTAGCAAGTGGGGTAACAAGTCGCACAAAGAAAAAAGAGGAGAGATCGAGAGGAATGCGACGGGAAACGGGAAGACAAGAGGCAACGCAAGCAGTTTCTGTAAAGATCGCGATCGATGTACATCAACAAGTTTGAGTCTGTCAAATTTCTCCAGTGGGGTAGAGTTGTTGTGGCTTGTGTGTTTCGTTTGATGACTGTTTTCGAGAAATTTATTATTTTTGCTGAATCCTAGATAGTGAGTTGCATGAAGTCAAAAAATGCAATGCTCAAAATGCCGATGGAATTGTGTGTTTTACTTTGCCAACAGTTGGTTTATTCCTTTAATAAGTGAATTTTCTCAAAATAAGTTTCTCACTTTTTCTTGTGGAAATTTCTATTTGCATAAATAGAACGAGGAAATCGTCGGAAATAGAAGAAGGCAATTGAATTATTGGATTACCTCGTGCAAGAGAGGACTTTTGGCTGAATCTGGATTTTGGTGAGTACCTTTTTTATTATTATTCGTTTTTTTCATTCGGAATATTTTTGAACATTTATTTTTTTTATTATAGCGACAAATCATGATTTCCAAGGACTAAAAATTAATTTTCTGAGATTTTTGTTTTACATTAAAAAATTATGAGCTGCATACACAGGATAATATTTACATGAGAATTAATTAAGAAAATATAAATCGAGAAATTAATTAATTTCCTACCTTCTCTGCCGGCGTTGACAAAAACCTCCGGATGATCACATTGGCACATATTGGTGACCAAATTCCTGTGGGTCAGCATGACCCCTTTAGGTTTGCCCGTGGTGCCACTTGAATAGGGCAGGGCCGCGAGGGAATCAGGGTCAGGTCGCTCAGGTTTCTTCGTCCCTTTAATAATCTTCTTGGTCAGGTTCTCGTAACCGAGACAACCTTCAGGTACATTTCCTTCTCCAGTTACAATCAAGTGACCTCCACCTGCAGGGGTCATCTGCAGGGCCTGTTTGACTTTGTCCAGGAGGTCGGGGGTGGTCACCACGGCGCGGACTTTGGCGTCGGTGAACTGATGGCTTAGCTCGGCTAAATTTTTGTTTTATTTTCCTGCAAAATATTTTATTGGGAACTTTTCATACTGGCTGTGTAAATTGGATTGGCCGTGCATGAAACGAGTCCGGCCGACGCTGCTCCCAGAAAGGTGATTGCGAATTCTGGCATGTTTGGCAAGACGATTCCAATCGAGTCCCCTGCTTTCAGGTCCAGGTCATTTGAAATGTTGATTCCGAAGGCGGAACTCGCACCCTGCGCTTGTCCGTAGGTGTAACTTTTTCCTTTTATGCCACAGGTCTAAATTAATATGAAGTTTAACAAAATAATTATTTAATTGAGTAAAAAGAAAATTTAAAGATAACTTAAAACATGAAAATTATTTTATATTTTTCTTATCTTTGAAGATTGTTTAAGATTTTTGAACCTACCAAGGCTGGTGAACTTTCCCATTTGTGGGCGTCTCGCCAGACAAACTCACTGACCGGACTGTCCGGTGGCTTTTGGACGGTCAAGTTTGACCTGAAGATGTGGGTGTCCGAGTCGTAGTCCACATTGCCAAGGGTCGTGCTGACATGTCGACTGACGCCTTTTGGTTTTATCCGCAAACCAAAAGACCTTCCGCTGCAGCCTAGCATTTTATTGAATCACTTCTCCGTTTGTTTACTGATGCTAATCTTTGCCTAGGGATATATTTTTAGAACAAACACTTAACAAATGACGATCAGAGGAATTTAACAGTTTGGCGCAAATAAATGCTGTATTGTCCGACTCCCATATTTATCTTTTTTGTATGGAGCACAAATAATAGAAAATTTAATTAAATTTCATTAAAAAAAAAAAAATGTGAATTTTATGGAATGGAAATTAAAATGTAAATTATTAGAAAGTGTTTTTTTTTAATTGGAAATTATATAATTTCAGTTTTAATATATTACAAAAATATTTATTAACAATAAAACTTTCTTAAAAATTTGAAAGTATATAAAACATTTAAATTGATTATTTAATAGAATGTATTTTTATTAAATTATTTTTTCTTGAGCTCATTTCGTAAAATTTTTCCAGCGCTACTCCTTGGAATTGCATTTACAAATTGCACTCCACCTTTGAGTTGTTTGTAGGGAGCAACTTTGTCTTTCAGGAAGTCCCCAATCTTCTCCTGATTTAAATCGAGATCATTTTTTACCACAAAGGCCTTCGGAACTTCTCCACTTTTGCCGTCAGCCACTCCAATCACTGCCACATCTGTTATTCCGGGAATTTTCCTCAGAACTTCTTCCAGTTCCGTCGGAGAGACCTGGAATTTTGATTTTAAATTTATAGAATGCTCATTTAAGTATTAAATTTTGTACTTGGAATCCTTTAACTTTGATGAGTTCCTTAATTCTGTCCACGATGAAAATGTACCCGTCCTCATCAACGTAGGCAACGTCTCCAGTCTTCAGCCACCCGTCCGACGTCAAAGTTTCCTTTGTTGCCTTTTCATTGTTGATATAGCCCTGCATGACGTTCGGTCCTTTGTACCACAACTCGCCAGTTTTGCCCTGAGGAAGACTTTTTCCATTTTCATCTGCAACTTTTATTTCAGTCAAAGGAATTGCTACTCCACAGGAGCCAAATTTATTCCTCCTGAGTGTCGTTGGGAAAGAGGCAGCACAGCAAGTAGCTTCAGTTAATCCGTAGCCTATTTAAAAAAATAATTTTATTACAAAAGTATTAAAATTTTTCCTCTCACCAAATTTAAATATAAAATCAGGGCTGTTGACCTTTTCAATAAAATATTTCGCGGTGGAAACTGGAATGGGTGCAGCTCCGTTAATCGCCAAACGCAATTCGTTGAGGTCTTCTGAGGTCAAATCGGGTGAGTTGCATAAAAATGCAACTAAGGGAGGCACCAAGCTTAGCGTGTTGGGCTGTATTAAAAATGAAAGCATCAAATCTAAGGTATATCTTAAAAATTTAAATATTTAAAATACTTTGTAATTTTTCATATCTTGGATAAAACTTGAGGGATCGAATCCTGGAAGAGAAATCAAGTGGTGGCCCCTGAATAATGACAAATTCATCACCGCGTGCAAACCATACATGTGGAACATCGGCAGTATGGCAAGTTGCTTTGCTTGGGGATAACCTGCACAACATTTAAATTAATAAAAAAAAAAATTTTTTTTAATAAAAATAATTATTGATATAAAAAAAAATACTATTAGGTATTTTTTGTTTAATTTTATGTTTTACATTTAAAATTTATTTTATTTATCATGGAAATTCCTGCAAATTTCTAAATATTAAATTCCAACCTGCTTTGCTAACGTTCAGAAAGACTTCTGGGTGATCCATTTGGCACAGATTGGTGACCAAATTCCTGTGGGTCAGCATGACCCCTTTAGGTTTGCCCGTGGTGCCACTTGAATAGGGCAGGGCCACGAGAGAATCAGGGTCAGGTCGCTCAGGTTTCTTCATCCCTTTAATACTCTTCTTGGTCAGGTTCTCGTAACCGAGACAACCTTCAGGAAAATTTTCTTCTCCAGTGACAATCAAGTGACCTCCGCCTGCAGGGGTCATCTGCAGGGCCTGTTTGACCTTATCCAGGAGGTCGGGGGTGGTCACCACGGCGCGGACTTTGGCGTCGGTGAACTGATGGCTTAGCTCGGCTAATTTTTTTAAATTATTGAAAAATAGAAAATTGAAAACAAACAAAAAATTACTTGCTGTGTGAATTGGATTGGCCGTGCATGAAACGAGTCCGGCCGACGCTGCTCCCAGAAATATGATTGCGAATTCTGGCATGTTGGGCAAGACGATTCCAATCGAGTCCCCTGCTTTCAAGTTCAGGTCGTTTGAAATGTTGATTCCGAAGGCGGAACTCGCACCCTGAGCTTGTCCATAGGTGTAACTTTTTCCTTTGAATCTACAAGTCTAACAATAAAAAATGAAATTTTATATATTTTTTTATGTAATAAATTAAATAGAAATCGGAATAAAAATAACATAATATTAAAATATATTTCAACTTACCAGTGCTGGCAAATTTTCCCATTTGTGGACGTCGCGCCAGACAAGCTCGCTGACGTTTTTTTCCGGAATCTGTACGGCCTGGTTCGACCTGAATGTATGGGTGTCCGAGTCGTAGTCTACATGGCCTAGGGAGGTGCTGACTAGTCGACTGATGTCTTTTGGTTTTAACCGAAATTTAAAATACTGTCTTTGGCCCAACATTGTGCCGCTGGTTTTAATCAAATGAGCGACAGAAATATACGCTCTTGCCCTACTTCCTCAACTCGATGTTTTCTTCATTCAGACGAGGGCATCAGCCTCGCCTAACATTTGGGGTCAAAAGTTAAATTTAACTTTTTTATATGTATTAATTTGATAACATAAAGTTACGCGGTGGCACTTTTATAATTTAATATACATAAAAACAAAAAACATTTTTTTACTATCTTGTTTAAGATAAAACACTCAAATACATAATGTTTTTTAGTTTTCATATATCATTTTATAAAGTATAAATATATTATTAATGTAATACTTCCTTTATATTTATATAGTTTTAAAGTGTGTATTTTTCATAAAAACAAAGATTTTAATCTTAACAAGAGTAAAGAATATCAGTTAAATCTCCTGAGTTTTTTTTTTTAAATAATAGCATATAGCACTATTTTTAATCCTGCCGACCTGCTAATAACAAGGTTATGCTGGAATGCTTTTTTTTTACATACTAATCGTGTTGTTTTACATATTATTTTCTCTCACTTTTCACAATAATTATTATTAATTTTAGGCTTACGATTGTAGTATTTCAAAATGTATATCAACTGTGAATATTTATATGGTTTGGAAAAAGGCTTTGATCATAGTTTGAATCATTTTTAATTAAACTTTGAGCAGAACAACTCTCGATAAAATATAGATTAAAAATTTTGGGTGCTTGAAGCGGGAAATTAGATAATGATCACATTATTAACATATTGCACAACATAGTTTTTGCAGAAGGGTTTCTTTTATCAAATATGATCAGCAATTATTCTGAAGAAAAAAACATTTACTTTTTTTAAATTTTTATCAAAATTATATCACAAACAATTCTGCGGTTTTCTTAAAAAATGAAATGATAGGGAATCGCAACGAGTTGCTTTGCTTAATTTATAATGACTTGAGCTCATTTCGCAAAATTTTTCCGGAGGGATTTCTGGGTATCACACTTACAAACTGGACACCACCTTTCAGTTGTTTGTAAGGCGCAACTTTGTCTTTTAAGAAATCCATCACTTCTTGTTCTGATAAACTGCTGTCGCTCTTTTTCACCAAGAAGGCCTTTGGCACTTCGCCAGATTTTTCATCGGCCACGCCAATCACAGCCGCGTCCAAAACGCCGGAGATTTTAACCAACTGTTCCTCCAATTCCGTAGGTGAAACCTTAATAATTGCGTTAAAAATTTTTAAATTTTTAATTCGTTCATTTTATGATGAGGTTAATTTTTTTTTCATAATTGTGATGTTTTTTTTACCTGAAATCCCTTGACCTTGATTAGTTCTTTCATCCTTCCAACGACAAAAATGTACCCTTCGTCGTCCACGTAGGCAATGTCTCCAGTCTTGAGCCACCCGTCCTCCGTGATGGTCTCTCTGGTGGCTTTTTCGTTGTTCAGGTACCCTTTCATCACGTTCTTTCCTCTGAACAGCAACTCGCCTGTTTTTCCCTGGGCAAGGGCGCGTCCGGTTTCGTCCGCGATTTTTACTTCGGACAGTGGAATATTCATTCCGCACGAGGCTATTTTTCCCGGTCGGAGCGTGGTTGGCGTCATTGAAGCACAACAGGACGTTTCCGTTAGTCCATAACCTAATTTTAAATTTTAATTAAATTAAATACAGTATAAAGTCCAATTTAAATTTAAAATTTATCACCATCGGAGAGCTGAAGAAATTACAAGAAAATTTAAAAACTTCGTTATTAATGGATTATGAATTTATTAAATTACCAGTTTTCAAAATGAATTCAGGATTGTTAATTTTTGTATTCAGTTGGTCGGCGATGGAAGTTGGCACAGCAGCTGATCCGTTCATTGCTATTTGCAGTCCTTTTAAATCTTCAGAGGTCAAGTCAGAAGTTTGACTTACAAAAGCGATCAGAGCCGGAGCCATGCAAACAGTGTTTGGCTTGAATTTTTTTTATACATATATATAAATCGATGGGGGAAAAATCAGTTAAATTAATTATTACATTGTACTTTTTGATGGTTTCCACGAAGGTTTGCGGCTCGAAACGTGGAAGGGTTATTAGGTGGTGTCCCCGGTACAGTGCGAGGTTCATAACTCCGTTTAGGCCGTAAATGTGGAACATGGGCAGAATTGAAAGGGCTTTTGCTTGCAGTTTGCCTGGAAAAACGATTGCCTTAAATTGTTGAAGTAGGTGAACTGCAATACCTTCAAGTCGTGCAGGTTGCATAATTTCGTTTTCGCAGAAATAAACACCATAAATTTGTATAAATTTTCACTTGAAGAAGAACGTAGAAAAAATATGTTTTTTTTTATATTTGTACTTATAAAATTGAGGTGGAAATAATATTTTAAATTGAATTTAGACAATTTTAATATAATATTACCTGGTTTGCTAACATTCACAAAAACTTCAGGGTGATTGATTTGGCAGAGATTGGTGACCAAATTCCTGTGAGTCAACATGACCCCTTTTGGTTTTCCGGTAGTTCCGCTAGAATAGGGAAGGCACGCGATCGAATCTGGGTCAGGTCGCTCAGGTATCCTTGCTCCCTTTGTGCTCTTTTTAATCAGGTTCTCGAAACTGATGCATCCGTCATGTGCATTTCCTTCGCCTGTGACAATCACGTGACCCCCACCGGCTGAGGTCATCTCCAGGGCCTGTTTGACCTTGTCCAGGAGTTCAGGGGTGGTCACCACCGCGCGAACTTTGGCGTCAGTAAACTGGTGACTCAATTCCGCTATTATATATAATTAATTAAATGCCATGAATTTATTTAATGAAAATTTAATACTCGGAGTGTAAATTGGATTGGCTGTGGTGGCGACCAGTCCAGCTGCAGCCAGGCCAAAATAAGTTGCAGGGAACTCGGGCATGTTGGGCAAAACAATCCCAACAGTTTCGCCCGTTTTCAGGTTCAAGTCATTGGCTAGGTTAATTCCGAACGCAGCGCTTGCGCCCTTCACTTGTCCATACGTATAATTTTTCCCAGTGATTCCACAAGTCTTTCAAATACAAACACAAAGAATTCAATTTAATATCAAATGAATATTATATAATATTTCTAATTTAAAAAAAATAAATAAGAATTTACGTGGAAACGATTCTATTTTCGTGTTAAATTTTTAGTCTACCTTCTTTTTGTTTTTCATTTTGCTCTGTTTCAGTTAATTAATATTAAAATTATTTAAAGTTATTACCAATGCTGGTTGATGTTCCCATTTTGCAATGTCCTGCCAGACAAACTCGCTGACGGTTTTGTCCGGAACTTCGACAGTAAGGTTGGACGTGAATATGTGCGTCTCAGAATCGTAACTCAAATTCACAAGAATGGTGCTGGCAGATCGAATTATAATCTGCCTGGCAGGGTTCAAAATTAATACGCGTTTTAGTTTGAGCATCGCGCACTTGTAGCTCTGTCAGGTTTCATGTACTTAATGTTTTGCTTTATATCTCACAAAAACTTGGAATTCGAGCTTCTTGTTATTTTATCTCACCATCAAAAACTCATACCCCGCCATACCCCTTTATCTTAATTAGCAAACATGGACTTGGAGTTCAAAGATTAAATGTTTCTGCAATTCGCCAGCTAGAATATTTTTTGTGCTTTCATAAAATCGCTTTTTTATTTTACTACGTATCTTATTCAGACAGCTAGTGATGGGTGGCTTTTTTATCAATTAAAGTATATGTCCGTCTCATTCAGATAAGATAACAACTCAAAGTTCATTTTTATTACATCTACTCATTCACATCCAACAGATTACAATAACAGTATGCATTAGTAAATAAATAATAAAAAAAAGTCTTGCTTTCAGTCATAAAAGTATCCTTGTTTCCATATTGACAGTAAGTTTTTGAAAAGTCTTAATTGTCAGCCTTATTGATAAAAATCCCTCTTTCGTCGTCACATATATGTATAGATTATTGATTGCTTCATTGGTTTGATATAAAATGCACAAAAAAATATAACATAATGATCCCCGTACACAAAATTAATAATTTATAAATCCTTCAGATTCTTCCTCAACACCTTGCCCGCCGCGTTTTTAGGAATTTCATTGACAAACTGAACTCCTCCTTTGAGGTGCTTAAAATTGGCAACGTGCGGCTCCAAGAATGTGCAGACTTCGTCCTCTGTGATGTTGCTGCCAGGCTTCTTCACCACATATGCCTTGGGCAGTTCGCCGGCAATTTCGTCCGGAACGCCGACCACAGCGACGTCTGCAATTCCATCCATTTTGATCAGGATTTCCTCAAGTTCAGTCGGTGAAACCTGAGAAATTAATTTACTGCACATTAGCAAACTCCAATATTATCTGATTTTATATTTTCAAAAATTATTTACCTAATAATTGTGGAAATTTAATTTCAATTTAAATTCATTTCATATTATTTATTTTAACCATTTTAATATTACCTGCAACCCTTTGACCTTAATGAGCTCCTTCATCCTGTCCACAATGAAAACGAAACCATCGGAGTCGATGTAAGCCAGGTCGCCGGTCATGAGCCAACCGTCCTCTGAAAGGATCCTCCTGGTCGCCTTTTCATTATTAAGGTATCCTTTCATGACGTTGGGACCGCGCATCAGCAGCTCGCCCGTTTCTCCGACAGGCAGGGAGATTCCGTTCTTGTCAATCACCTTCACCTCAACCAGGGGCGCGGGCAGTCCGCAGGAACCAATCTTTTCGGGAATGTAGGCATTCGGCATCATTGTGGCCATGCAAGAAGTCTCGGTTAAGCCGTAGGCTGAAAATTTTAAAATAATTTAAAATTTCTTTATTTTAGTTTGTTTAATTTTAAAATTGCCTTCTTTGAAAATAAACTCTGGGTTGTTGATCTTCCTCAAAAAAGCTTCGACGTGCGGTTTTCCCAGCGGCGCTGCACCGCTGGTGACCAGTCTCAAAAACTGCAAGTCTTCGGCGTTGACCGTTGGCGATTGGGTCATGAATTTTACCAAAGGAGGCACCAGAGCCATCATCGTCGGCTGCAAATAATTCAAAATTATTCAGATTTTTATTTTGTAAATTGAGCCGCACTTTATAATTTCGGACCGCGTTGGAAAACGACTGGGGTTCGAATTTGGGCAATGTGATGACATGGTAGCCTCTACTCAGGCTCATGTTGAGGGTGCCCTGGAGACCGTAGATGTGGAAAAACGGTATGACTGATAGGCCTCGTTCTTGTGGACCTTTTTATAGAAATATTTCCATATAATAATGAATTTATTCAAATTTTTGAAGCCATTTAAATTTAAGAAAAATAAAAAATTTACCATCCTGACCATACGCGATCATCTGCGGATGGTCCATTTGGTTGATGCTGGCAACCATATTCCTGTGGGTCAGCATGACCCCCTTGGGCACGCCGGTGGTGCCGCTTGAATAGGGCAGCGCGACAAGTGCGTCAGGGTCAATCCGTTCAGGTTTCAGGTCCATCCTGGTCAACTGCCGCATCATCAAGGCTTTCAGGCTGAGCAGATCTTTGTAAATGGGGACCCCTTCGACAATTATGGGACCAGCACCCCCAGGCATCAGTTCCACGGTTTCTTGAACTTTGTCAAACAAAGAGGCCACCGTGACTATGCAACGAACGTTGGCGTCTGTGAACTGCCGCGCCAGCTCCTCTGTTTTCATATTTAAAGAAGAAAAATTTAAAAGGTAATTTTAATTGCATAGGTTTTCAATAAACCTTCGAGTCGTCAAATTTTAAGTTTTTATGATCAGCCAAATAATACAGTACAGCTTTCTAATGAACAATTTGTGGTTGATAAAATATTTAAAATTAACTTACTTTTTTATTTTACCAATTAATTTCAGATGAATGAAAACAATTTTAATTAATTAAAAATTAAATTAAAGAAAAAAACATTTAATAAAATTTAATAATTAATAATATAATTATTAAAGATCAATCTTAAACAACTGAAAAATAAATTAACAAAAATATAATATGTTATAAAATTTTATTAAATTTTTTGAAAGTTATTATAATTTAACTTAAAAAAATTTAGTTGAAGTATTTGAAGATTTCCAAAGAAATAAATTAACCTGGCGTGTAAAGTGGATTGGCAGGCGTCACAACCAGCCCGGCCGACGCGGCCCCAAGGAAAACCAACGGGAACTCTGGTACATTCGGCATCAACATGCCTAAGACATCTCCTGGCCTCAGTCCCACGACATTAAGAAGTGCCACGCTCAAGTTAAAACTTGAGCCTCGCGCCTCTTTGTATTTGTAAGTGCGCCCTGTCAGTCCACAAGTCTGAAAAATTTAATATATTTAATATAAGAATTACGTAAAAAAGTAAACAAGTTCGGCTTTATTAAAAAAAAAAATTTTCTTGCCCCTCAGTTTTTTCCTGCTCAAAAAGATTTAAAAAAATATGCAGAGGACGAATTAAATTTTCCCAACCAATGGATATCTGACTCACTAAAGTTGCGCCAGTGGTTTCACCTGATAAAAGCAATTAAAAATTAAGTAGAGGATTTGTCAAAACATAGCGCTGTCACAACCATTGTGGCGGCACTTAAGTTTATTGATTCATGCAGAATTTTCTCGAATTTGAATACAAGAAGCTATAAATTTTACTTATTTGGGCAGGAAGAATTTGATGCAGTTCTCTGATCTCCGATTATTAAATGCATTCCTGTTATTTTTGTATTTTTATATGTAAAAAAAAAATACCAAAGCAGGCTGTTCCGGGTAGCTTCGTATATTCCTCCAAACAAAGTCGCTTAAGTTCAGGTCAGAGACTTCAACGTTGTACGGAGAGCGGACGACATGGTCGAAATTGTCCTCCCTGATTTTCGGAAAGGCTGATGACGCGGCGGCCGATTTAGACGAATAAGGCCGGAAAAATGCCCGCGCCACTGGACACTGCGCGCCTCTCAGCATTTTTTTAATTAATATCAAAATCGGTTTTTCAACTTCCCTTTTTCGGCCGGAAGAAGTGGCTAAATTTTAGAAAAATTTAACCAGCAAAGTCGACGAACGCACATTTCACCGATGTAAACAAACTCGGGGGCCCGACGTTTCCTTTCCTTCTCTCCTCTTCTAGACCGATGCACAATAGAACAGCCCCCTTTTTAAATTTATCATGCAGTCGCTGCTATAACGGGAAGGGATGGGGGAATTTTTTCATGCGTGCCTCTCCCGTTTTCCTGAATGGCGCATTCGGCTGCCTGGATAAAACACTTTTGACCTGCCTCAAAAGCGCTGGTGTTGCTTTTTAAATGCATCACATATTCCTTCGGTCCAGCAGGTAAATAACCTTGACTTTGACAAAAACTGGTTTCCATCTAGAGAGGACTGCATTTTTTAGATAAAAAAAAAGAACGAAGAGAATGAAAGGGCTCAAAATTAAATACTAAAAGCATTTTCAATATAATATACCAGCATTTTCACTTAACAAATTTATTTTTTATTTTTCAGAAATATAAAAAGTTGTGTAATTTTTACTATTAATAATTTAAATGTAAATCTCATATAAAATTTTGATTAAGAACAGTTCCTTGTTTAAATCTAGATGTTTATAAGTTCTGATAATAAACAAATATTCTTATCTATAATCTAATCAAATTTATATATGTGCCAGCATTTTTTTTTTTACAATTTTTTTTTTAATGAAATATAGAAAATTGTGTTTTAACTAATTATTAATTTCAATGTTTTGATTAAAAAACAGTTCATTGCTAAAATCTAGAGATTTTTAAGTTCCGCTCGTAAAATTTTACCAGCAGCATTTTTGGGAATGGCGCTCACAAAACGCACTCCACCCTTTAGCTGCTTGAATTGCGCCACCTGGGGCTTCAAAAACTTAATGACGTCTTCCTCAGTTAAGAAGGAGTCCTTGCCCTTGACCACATAAGCCCTCGGGACCTCTCCGCACGCCTCATCAGGCACCGCAGCCACTGCAACATCGGCCACACCTTCCATGGTGTTCAAAATTGACTCCAGTTCGGTCGGAGAAACCTTGGAAAATAATTCGAATTAATGAAAATTTACCAAACATTTCAATTCAAATTACTTGGAGTCCTTTGACTTTGATCATTTCCTTGACGCGGTCCACTAAGGAAATATAACCGTTTTGTCTAAAATATCCAATGTCGCCAGTTCGGAGCCAATTGTCTTCGGTAAGGCTTTCTTTTGTCGCCTGCTCATTTCTGAAGTATCCCTTCATTATTTGCGGCCCGCGAACCAAAATTTCGCCGATTTCGCCCATCGGCAAGGCATTTCCCTCTTTGTCGACCACTTTCACTTCGGTGTTGGGTATGGGCACACCGACTGTGTCGACGCGGTCCTCCATCGGCGCAGAACTCGGTGGACTTGTTGCCAAGCACGACGATTCGGTCATTCCATAGCCTATTGAAAATCATAAAACCAAAGCTTTCGTCATGAAAATAAATTGCAAAGAAATAAAAAACAAAAATTATTTTAAATAAAGTTAGTAACGACACTATAAGAATTTTATAAGATTACATTAAAAAAAAATTATTCAGAACAGTAGAACTCATTTTGATTCCCTAACAATGTGCCCTGTAATTATTCTTAATTTTTTTTTTCAAATTCTTATTTCATAAGTTTTGTCGAAAATTTAATTAAATCAAACTAATTTGGAGATTTATAATTTGAAAATAGAGAAATTACTAATAGATTTAAACTCTTTTGATATTTTATAGTTTTTAGAGCCACCGACAGCTATGAAATTTTTAGTTTAAATAAGTTATATATTGACATTAATAAGAACATTTTAGATGTAAAGACCTTCTTTGAAATTCAGTTTTTTGCTGTTGGCCTTGCGTATGAACTGTTGGACCGTGGCTGGTGGCGCTGCCGCGGCGCCGCATGTAACAAAGCGCACCATGCTCAGATCCTGCGGTGAAATTGTTGGGGACTGAGCGATGAAGGCGCACAGTGGAGGAACTATGGCGAGAACAGTCGGCTAAAATAAAAATTATTAGATAATTAAATAATGATTAAATGAAAAATATTTATAAATTTATTTTAGAATAAATTATATTACCTTAAATTTGGCGAAGGCTTCTGAAAACGACTGGGCTTCAAATTTTGGCAATGTCAGAATCGAACGACCATGCAGAAGACTCATATTCATCACTCCATTCATTCCGTAAATGTGGAAAAAAGGCAGAATAGCCAAAATTCGGTCCTGATCAAAACCTGCAAAAAAATTAAACGATAAAACAAATTAAAATTTTTTTACTTATTTTTGTACCTTCTGGTAAAGGAGGCGAAACTTCTGGATGCTCGATTTGACACAGATTTGCCACCATGTTTCGGTGGGTCAACATCACACCCTTGGGCAAACCGGTGGTCCCGCTGGAAAACGGCAGGCACGCGATGCAGTCAGGGTCAGGGTGTTCGAGAATTGAGTCGCCGACCACCCTTTTCTGAATCAGATCCTCAAAGCCTATCTGGTTCTTTTTCGGCGCAGAGGGTCCACCGATGACCACGACGGGACCTCCACTTCCGGGCACCTCCTCCAGAGCAGCCTGGACCTTTTCCAGGAGAGGAGGCACCGTCACCACGGCGCGAACCTTCGTCTCGCAAAATTGCCGAGCCAGTTCACCTGATTATTATAATTTTACTATTTTAATTTTGTAAAAAAAAAAAATTAAAAATAATCCTATACTCTGGGTGTAAAGAGGATTCGCAGGTGAAACGATTAGACCAGCAGACGCGGCGCCGAGGAAAATAATTGGAAACTCAGGCATGTTGGGCACAACCATTGCAATCACGTCTCCAGTTTTTAATCCCAAATAATGAGGAAGGACCACACTGATATGGTGACTAAGTCCTCTGGCTTGTCCATAAGTGTACCTTCTTCCAGTCATTCCACAAATCTATGTGTATTAAAATAATTCATTCTTGAAAATTAACATTATCAATTTTATATAAATAATAAACAACAAAAATTAAATGATTAAGTTATTTATTTATTACATATATTTATGATGATTATTTTTTTAAACTTTTCAAGGCAGATTTTAATGAAATAAAATTAAAATCATCAATTTTTATACAATAATTATAAAAAAATTAAATGTGATGTTACAATTTGGACAAATAAACAACAATAATAATAAAATTATTTATTTATTACATAAATTTATAATGAATTACTTGGTTAGTTTTAAAACTTTTCAAGGAAAATTTTACAGGATAAATTTAACTTTAACATTTTTAAACAAAATAAGCAACAAATTTAAATGATTTGGTTATTTATTTATTACATAAATTAATGAAAATTATTATTTGGTTAGTTTTTAAACTTTTCTAGGAGAATCTTGGAATATCCTGGAATATGAATAAATTGGTATTTTACATAAATTTTAACATTACTAAAATCTTAATAAATAATTATTTAGAAAAACAATTTCTCACCAAAGCATTTTTCTCCAACCAATAATGCGCGTCTTTCCACACAAATTCACCCAAATTCATGCTCGGAATCGCCACATCTTCGTACGGCGATCTTAAAATCCGTGTGTTTTGGTTGAAATTAACTCTGCCGTCGTACGACGAGCTCATCAACCTCACCAATTTCGGCCGTAGCCTCAAATTCGCCTTTACTCGAAGCATTTTTTTTTAAAAACTATTGAACTACCCAAGCACATTCATAACAGACCGTCGACAACGTACTGACGCTTTATTTATTGTGTTGCTTCTCGGCCGGGTCTTGGGTCGAAAATATTACTTTTGTGTTGGTTGAGAAAGTTAGCCTAGGGGCGGGTTTCTAGCTAGGGACGTGTGAAATACTTGACAACGTCGGAGCAGCATCAGGGTAAAACTATTAAACTACATTGGACTGCAGCACTCGTCAAATATTTCCAGTGGCGCACAACATAAATAAATATTTGATCCGATTGAGTCAGATTAATGCTTACAAAAGAAGTGTGGACGTGCGAGGAGAAAAAATACAAAACAATTATTCCCCAGGAATTTTTTTGTAATTGCGCTCAAAATAAATAAATTTCCCTCAAGGCCGCGCGCCTGAATTTTGGAAAGTGTCGCTGAATCATTTTAATTTGAGTCAGACAAAGAAAATAAAAGGTTGAGCAAAAATAATTTAATAAAAATCCAGTATAGTTTTGTCAATGCCACCAGATGTATCTGTCCCGTATTGTATTAATTCTTGTTCTGCAGCGACCCAAATTATTCGTGCGCGTCACCCGGCTTAATAGCAAATAAACACAAAGTCCATTGTGACGAAGAGGCGCAGAAATTAATCTATTGTTCCTGGCCAAGGTGCCAATATTCTTATTATCCCGAGTCTATAGCATGTTAGTATTGACATTTGCCTCTTTTTTCTGCGTGGCTGCTAAATGCAAGAAGTTGCTTTTGATGCGGGAGCAGAGATAAAAGGTTTTTACGCGGTGGCGTAACGACCTTCAGAATTCACGATACAAACAACAATCGACAATGTTGAGGGCATTAAGTGGCTGCCGCAGACGTATTATATTCCGCGCTGACTAATGTTGTGATTTTTTTACGTCAGGTCTTATGGAAGATGCAGGGAAAATAATGTATCTTGATGATCTTAACCATATCATTTGTACGCGGAAGTAATTTTGAAAACAAAGAGACAGGTCTTATGTCTAATCGGATTTAATAATTGGCGTTTTTTTTTTATTAACACGGGTTTGAAATTTTTAGTTAATTAAATCAATTTTAATAATTTTGAAATTTTTTAAAAATTATTTCGAAATAATTTTTGCATTTCCTTTTGTTAGAATTTAAATAATATTCTTACTGCTTTTTTATTGATAATAATAATTTTTTTAACTTGTTTTTAATAATTTTTATTCACTTTTAAGAGATTTTAAATAAAATTTATATTACTTTTTTAAATTTTATTTATATAATTTTTTATTAGATTTTAAATAATATTTTTATCATACTTTTTGTATTAACAATTGAATAAAAAATAATATGGTTTCTTTATTATTTTTTTATTGATCATACTGGGATTTTTACTATATTAAATAGAATTGGGTTCCTCGGTTGCTATTTTATTGTTTTTATTCAAAACAATGGACTTGTCTACCTGAACGAACAAGTTGTAATGAATTTTCACACGCTTGTTGCAACTTTTCATTTCCGGCACTACACTGTTGAATGAAAATGAATGAAGTTAAAAGTAAAATTTAAAATCACACACACTTGAGAAATTCCACAAAAACAGGAATTTAATGATATATTATTTATTCACATATAGGCAAGGTTAACCTTTGCTGGCAAAAAAAGTTATGTACACAAAATATATACAAAAGACAGTCGCGCTGCACCGAGGCGTGTAATTACCGCGACTTTTTGTCAACGAGAACGCGCGAGGAAAGGGCGCGTCGTCCGCACGCACGCACGCCTTGGCCGAGAAGGCGGACGATTGCGTTGCGCCAGCGGAGCAGAGCCGCGAGCAGCAAAACGGCGGCCACGACGACGTCCACGTTGTGCGTCTGCACGCTGCTGAGGGTGCGCGACGCCAACTTGAGGTGCTCGGCGCCCTTGGTGCGCGCCACGTGCTCCACAAACCAGATCGCCCTGTCCAGAGGGCTGCTCACCTGGTCGCGCATCAGCCGCTGCAACTCGGCCGCTCGCCGGGAAAAACTGCAATTATACGGAATCATGCAATTAAATTAATTATGTTGTTGTGTGTTCTTCTGACGTCATTGCAAAAGGGATTAAAAAAATGAGGAGTATACATAAAAAGCAGAAAATAACTTTACTGCTGTAAAATGAAGGAGCAATATTTATGCATTTAATAAATAAAAACTTGATAAAAGTTGCAAAATTAAAAATTAAAAAATTTATGGAATTTTTTAAAATATTTTTAGTTTAAAATACATAAATATTAAGAATTACCTAAGCTATGAAATCAAGACGAAAGTCTGATCTTTCAAAAACGGATCAGCGTTCATGAATTAATTGAATTTCGCCGCTATTTAATTAGTATTAGTAAATTGAATTTTGCAAAGATTTTTCTATATTAAAGTATTGATTTTAAGAAGAAGTAATACTAAAAAATCGTTTAAATTTTGATGAAACTATGGGGCTTTTAAAGACCTGAATTAACATTTAATTAGGAAATTATAATTCTGCTCCAGAAATTGTTTTTGCCTGTTTTTAAAATTGAAAAAATTCATCAACTTTTCCCCATAAATTCTTACTTTCTTCACCAACTATGCATTTTGAATGTGTTTTTCTTTCTTTCTTATTTTGGTGCTATTTTTTCTTTTTAATAAATTTAATATATTTACTCTACACATCTTAGTTCATTATGCAAATCATCATAACAAAATAGCCAAATATGACGCAAATATTAAACAAATCATATAATAGGGAAAAGAAACTATACAGACGGAAATCTCTTACCTCGGGTTTTCGAGAACCATTTTGAGCGCCGCCAAAATTTGCTCAGCACTCGACTCCTTGTACACCCTGACAGCCACTCCTCGCTCGACCAGCAGGTTGGACACGTCCGCCTGGTCACCGTAGACGGGCAGGGTGACCGCGGGCACCCCGTGCCAAATCGTCTCCATCGCACCGTGCAAACCGCAGTGCGTGAAAAACACTCGCGTCTTCGGGTGGCCTACGAACAAAATTTCAGTTCGCGTGTCAAACAAAAAATCTCGGTCGCGACACTGAAGAGCAGATAATTTGGCAATTTATATAAACGACGGATGTTCATGCATTTTATTCATATGAAAATTGACATAATTTTGTTTTGCATTTCAGCGAAAGTAATTTAAGTGTGCTTTTTACTTTTTACTTTTAAGTGGCTCGCATAATATTAATTACAAGAGTCAATAACGGCCCGCGCTTTTTTTTTTTGCCGATGTGTCATTATTTGCACGTGTAAATACCTAGCACGTCTTGTTGAGGAAGCCAGCGCTCTATCCTGACGTTGACGGGTATCGCGAGTTTTTTCGGCAAGGCTCCCGAAATTTTCATGATTACTCGTTGGCGCAGCCTTGAGAACGCCGTCAGCATTTTTTGCAGCAGCTCCGGCGGTGCGATGGATGCGTCGAACGTTGCGCCCATCGAGAACAGAATCACGCCGGCCTCTCCAGATTCACTCATGAATTTCTCCAAATCCTTAAATTGAAAAGAAAATAGAAACTCAAACTCCATTCGCTCGATCCATTAATTACAAAATTAAAATAATTTTTAGTAATAATATTAAATATAAATTATGAGCTACTTTCATACAAAATATTTGTAAGATTATGAGAATTTATTTTCGCCTATTAGTTTCATTAAAAAGGGCTGTATTGTTGGGTTGAACGTAATTTAGCCTTGAAATTCATCTAAGATATGCGAAATTTAATTTGCTGATCAAAGTGTTTTGTCTCATGTAAAAAAAACGAATGTCAAGATCAGGTCAGTTAATTTCCTGACAGATGAAAACTTTAAAGTTTTGTAAATATCTCATAGTTTTAACAATCTTGAAACATTTTTAATAAGTTTGTAGTGAATGAAAAGTAATTATGTTTTAATAAAAAAAAAATAATAATTTCATTTGGCGTCAAAGTAAATAAAACTTAAACTTTAAATTTCATTGAAATTTCATATTGAAATTTCATAACTTTTCTAATTATTTGTCATTTTTAATTGAATTGAATTAAAATAAAATATATTATAGCATAAAAAAAGAAACAATTTACTTACCATGGGAAGTGGCTGTATCTCTCTGCACTGCATGCATCCCACGTTGATCACGTTGGGCGGATATTCTCGGGGGTAGTCGACGCTGAAGTCCGTGTTCTCCAAAAGTCCGGACAAATTGGCAATGAGCTGCTGAGAGCTGGGCGCGCCCGGCAGGTGTTTTTGAATGGACCTGTCCGTCAAGAAAAACTGGAACTGCATCACCAAATAGTTCATGGTCGCGTAGAACAGGTTGACGCCTCGCCGGACGAAGTTCATGCGGTCGGTGAAGCTGGTCATGAAGCTGGGCACGGCGCCGGACGGGTTGGAAATGCCCGAGCTGAAAGTGGCCTCGCCGCCGTTCATGGGCAGCGCCCAGTAGGCCACCGACGGTAGGCCCAGGCTGTGGGCCAGCGCCAGGCCGCACTCGTTCGTGAAGAGGTCGACGAGGGCGACGTCAAAGTGGCTCCGACGAAGGCGCCGCCGGAGACCCTTGTCGCTCAGCAGCGTGTCGCAGTACGGCGGCATTGTCCAGAAAGCGTCCAGCGGCACGCCCCACGGACTAAGACCGTTCCTCCACATCACGTCCAACGGCAGCATGAATCTGATTATATGATTTGGGATTTATTTTTGTAAATATTGTTTCCCGAGTTTTAATTATCATGTCATGACATGGCAAAAATCGCAAAGGAAAATAAATTATTTTAATTTGTCGATTTTTCTCCTGGATTTTCGATTGAAAGAAATTAAAATTTATAAAATGTTTTGTATTTTCAAATACATCTAGATTTTTTTCTATAAAAGTAGACAGAAAACAAGTCCACTATAGGATAGGTAAATTTTTATAGAAAATAATTTTGTGTAACTAGCTTTAGAATGAATAAAAAAGCTTATAATTTTGTGGAAAATCCAAATTGATTGTTGTTTCATGATGTTTTGACTAAAAATTAAATTTAAATCTGGGTTTTCTGACAATGTCGAGTAATCTATTGTGTTATGAAAAAAAAACTTGTCAATGAAACAATAAACTACTAACGAGATTCGTTGAGGAAATGCCAATTTTCAATTGAAACAGCATTCAATATATTCAAATCAATAATTAATCAATTGGTTATTCTCGTACAAGTCATAAAGTCGATTAAATTTGCATGCAAATTATTGTACGGCCTTACTCGGAGCCCCACCCACAAACGCAAAGTCAAGTTTAAGTGGCAATTATATAAAAAATGTTTGTTTTTCTTACTTTCAGTTGGTCATTATTGTGTAGATACAAATTTATTAAATTATTTAATAAATATAATTTTTTTATTTAGCTTCCAAAAATTTAAATAAAGTACCTTTTCAATTGCAATATTAGATTGGTTTACAAGGTTTTTTTTATTTTACTTTTATTTGAACTCAAATTCATTTCTGACAATGGATCCTCGTGAATTATGATACTTATTTTACTAACTTTTATGTGTAATTGTAAAAAAAAAGGTTGTACCAATTTCATATTTCATTACAAAAGTGATTGCTGGTTTTTTTTAATTGCCATTCTTGAACTAAAACTTTTTAGTCTTCGCTGAAATTGAGCTTATTTTACTCTTACTTAATAAGGAATAAAAAATAGCTCACGTGTTCAGAAATTTCTTGCTGAAAAATGACTTTAACGAGGACATTTGAACTCAAATTTGCACGAAGTATGTTAAGTACCCTTTTTTGGCAAAAATCTCTTCTATAATTTTGTCACTCGATCCGATCCAAGAAGAATACCAAACAACCCTATACACAAATTTATATTTTGATACTCTCTCACCTTCCTTCTTTTTCCGGCGTGATGAAAGGAACATCTCCTAACGAGTTGTCGACCGCCAGGGTAATGAAAGTGATGTTGTCGTGTTGCGGCGGTGGAAGCTGCACGAAATTTTTGAACTTGAGGTACGTGATCTGGTGGCCCCTGGCGGCCAGGGCGCCGCTCAGGTAGCGCAGTTGCACCTCGTGGCTACCACTGTGCAAAGGGTGCAGGACGAGAAAATTGAACGCGTCGACCTGAGCCCAGAAAAGGGCGCCGGCCAGCAGAGCGATCAGTTTGTACATGTCGGTGCGCGAGAGGCCAGACTGGCTCAGGTGGTTACATTTTACTTGCTGCTCACCCTGAAACGCGGCTCAGGTATTTTTCGACGGGGCGGAGTTTTGAGAGGGAGTTTTATATAATTTTGATTCACCGCAGCCCGACTCAAAGACGAAAGAGGCGCGCGTTTTTCTTCACATTTCCCTCTCCTCTCCTTTGAGATTTATAAAAAAGCTACCGCCTTCGAAACCTTCAGAAAAGAGTGGAAGATAATTTTTCTGTGACGAAGGAGTAGTAAAGCCAATTAAGCCAAGAGCACGCCTGCGTTAGTTGATTTTTAAATATACTTTTGCACAATTAATGTTATTTAACCATCTGATAATATTTTATTTAATTGATTAAATAATTTATTTTATTAAAAATATTTTCATTTATATAAACTACGTATTTTTGATAAATTAAATTAATTTTATTTTAATAAAAATAAATATAATTATAATCTTCAGTGTCCTTAATATTGAGAACTCTTGATTGAAGTTTTCAAATTATTAATTGCTTTAAAATTTTTGAGACTTTAAAAAGTATTAATTTTGGGAAATTTTCGCCCTTCATTAATATTTTTTATTATCATGTGACAGTGACAACAGGAACTTTTTTTACACTGGTTTTGTCTCAGTATCTCGTGTCTCGGAACGTAATTCCACTTAAAAGGCGTTTAGTCAAAAGTTACGAATTTAAATGCTAAATTGTTTATTTTTGAGAAAAAAAAATGCATTTTAATCCAAGAAAGGAACACTTCTCTGATGTTCTTGAAAAAAAAAACTTTTTTCAATTAAAAAAATATGCTGATTTCTTTTCAATAAATTGCAAAAAGTCAAGCATCCTTTAATAGTCGGATTATTATTATTTTGCGGTCTGCTTTTTTTGCGTGGGTGTCGTGGCGCAATCCAAACACAGATTTATGTCCCCACCCCACCTCATAGTGTATCTCTGTGCCGAAGGTAATTTTTCTCTGCTACACACACTGCACATTATTCATTATCAGAAACGTGTTAAGTGGATTTTATAGCCGTCGTGCAAATTGTGCGTTGAAAAACTTGTTTGTCATTTTTATCCTCGGCATGCAGCGAAATTCAATTTTGCACATTGAAGGGCCAAGGTCGCAGTAATAGGCCAATTTTCTTATTCTTTTCTATGTAATTATATAAGTGGAATGAAAAATAAATCACGCAAATTTAAAATTTTTGTGACCTTACACAATATATGGCCCACGCTAATAATTTCTTTTGTTATTTCAAATGAGCCCACATAAGTGATTCCTCTCAAATTTCTTTAAAGTTAAAATTTAGCACACAAAAATATGAGCACTGGAAAATATAAGAGCTTGCAGAATAGTTTCTTTTAAATTATCAACATTTTCTATTTAGCAGAGATTAAAATCATGGATTTTTTTCTGAGAAATAAATATCATTTTTAAATTTAAAAATTATTTTCTCTTTATTTTAAGATGTTCTTAAAAACAATAACTTATAAATTAGATAATTAAACTCAAGATCCGGTTGTGTGCAACTTAAGGTGCTCTCCTCTTAACCGAGTAAGTTCCGCGGACTAACTGGAATAGGTTAATTTTAAATTTGGCTCCATCCAGAGTCTTCTTAACAGATATCTGTAAAATGTTATCATTCGTAAACCGTTTGAAATTATTTTTCTACAAAGCTTTTGCTTACAGATTCGGTTCCTATTGCTGTTATAATGGCAGGGTAGGTGGAAATATCTTTTCCCTCAACATACACGGGCTGTCCTCTGTGGTACCAACGCCGCTCGAACAAGAGCTTGCCGTCCTCTATCCTTGTATCAGGCAAAGGTGCGTCTCCGTAACTGGTCGCATTTCCAGTCATGGCTACAATTTTCAGAGATGAATAAGCATAAGCCCAATTAAATAAACAAACTTGAACTTACAAGGTTTTCTCGGAGGGAGGAGCCCAGTCACGGGCCTGGCGCGAACTATCTGCCGCAGATCAGATTCAATCTCTTTGTCTTCGAGGAGGTAGTTCAACGTTGCTGGTGGTGGTTTTCTTCTCTTTTCAGGTATAGGAACTGGATCGTTTGGTCTTCTCCTCAACTTTCTGGTCATCACCGGTTTAACCTGAAACTCGATAATAAAATTTTGATGATATCAAAGGCAAACAATCTTACCTCCATCGAATCTCCCGTCAGCTCCATACTCTGCCGTTCCGAGTCGACGATTTTCCTCTTGTCCTCCAATTCAGAAAGCAGCAGTTCTCGCAGCTCGATTTTCTTTTCTTCGCACTCCTTTGCTGCCATTTTCTTTTCGTGAATGTAATCCCGTTCCACACACTCGATCTCGTAGTCGCGCCAAATAACGTTTAGTCTCAACCTATAAGTTTTTAATTTGTATTTAAGTTTCGGTAGGATTTAAAAAAAAAAATCTCCGACCTTTCTTTGTGAGCTGCCTCTAGTTTTTTCAACTTGGTGACATATTCCGGGTGACTTCCTTCCTTAAGCTGAAGCACCAGCTTCTTTAGAGAAGCAAGCTTATCTTGATACATTCTGAAATAAATTTATTTATTAATGAAATGAGTGAATACAAACTTTAATTTATAGCTTACTGTTCTTTGATTTCAGTGTACTCTTCGGTCTTCCCCATGTCTGTCTCACTGGCCTCTTCAGTATCTTTAAAAAGAGGCATTTCAATATTAGTCCGTTGACCTGGATTAATATTTTCTGCACCTTCGTCGCTTTCATCTCGGTCGTCCAGGAACCGATCGTCACCATCATCACTGTACTTGTCAAATTCAAAGTCGTACTCGTCCTGCAGGTAGCTCGAGTGTGCTGGAGATCCATTCTGAGGAGAATCCTTCCGTCTTGTGCCACCACCCTTGGAGTAGCTTTTGGTTTTGTGCGCCATCCACATCGTATTCATGGCGGAACTGCAGATCAAACAGTGAAAATGTCAAGATCAATATAAATTTTACCTTTTTTCTCATGAATATAAGTTCTTCCAGTGATTAAAAAGCTTCTAAAATCAAAACAAATATAGTCTCCAAAAAGTTTGGCAAGTGAAACGCATTTACTTGATCAAATTCAGCCGAATTTATCAACTAAATTCATACAAAAAGCATTTTTTCTGTTACAGTATTTGTTAATTAATGCGGAAAACTTACCAGATGTTAAATTGGTCCTGGGAAATAAAAAAATTTAGCCCTCAAACTTCACAACACCTTATTTGCCTTCAGCAACCAGATGCTTTCCAAAACAAGCTACGCCTCCCCTCGATACCCCTCTCTCGTCGTCCCCCTCCCCGCGCCAAGTGGTTGCCATTCGCTGATTGGTTGCTAAGCAAACTTTTGCAGCTAAGCGGCGGCAACTCCACTGTGCGACTCCGCCATAAAGATTGAGTTTTGAATTTTTGAAAAATTCTCACACAGAAAAATGGAGTCTTCGCCGCAGACCAGTGCGAATTTTAAAGAAGAGCTAGAATTTAAAGACTGCTACGTCAAGTACTGCAAGGACCACAAAATCAGCACTCCAACCAAGACCTTGGCACACCAGACCGATCCTTCCAGTTTGTCGGTCAATGCTGATAGAATGAAAGTTTCCGACTGGGAGGCGATTTTTGTGGCTCTGCAGAAAGAGACTTTGATCAAAAAACTTTGCGTCTTGAGCAGCAAAAGGAAGAAGGACTGGCTTAGCTCTGGTATTTTGTTGGAAATTTTAAAATATTCTTTTTTTAATAAATTTTTTTAAATTTTGAAGTTGACGAGAACGTCAAGAGCGAGTTCGCAGCCAGCTCGGTCAAGGGCCCTCCGATCTTCACCAATTACATTTTGGAAAAGCTGCTCACGGCTGTGGTCAAGGCGTTGCTCCGGAAGGAGAGCGTCTGCGAATTTCTCAAGCTCGAGCTGCCCTTGGGCCCGAATTACTGCCTCCTGTTCAGCCAAGTTATTCTATATTGTGAAGAAACTTAGGCACAAATTAAATTTATTTGTGAATAGGGAATTCCTGGGGCTCTGAAGCTGCGTCGGCTGTCCTTGAGTGGCTGTAGCATTGGCGACGAAGGGTGTCGGTACATTTGTGACGCCCTCAAGATGATGCCACACATCAGGGAGCTCGATTTGTCCGAGTGCAACCTCGGCACTCAGTCTGTTGACAAGATCGTCGACCTGTTGAAGTGCCACGGACTGATTCTCTCCACTGTTGCCTGGGAGACTAGTTTCAGGTAATTGTAATTAAAGTATGGCTAAATTAAATTGCATACAAAAAAAATTATAAAAATTAACCTTCCTGTCGAATTAAAATTTTTGACAAAATTCCTACAAGACCATAAATATCAGTTTTAAAAGCCATTAAATTTGCTATTAAAACGTCACAATCGTAAAAATAATTGAAATACTCCATATTTATCATCTCCACGCAGATACAGGGCTCCAAAAATTAACACCTCGATGGGTCTTGCTCGACTTACTTTGAACAAAAATCAGGAGATTGGTGATGAAGGCGCGAAAAAACTTGCAGAAGCCTTGAAAGATGACATGAGCCTTAAAGGTTTTTAATTTTGCCAAAATTGAAAGTTCAGATGAAATTAATAATTTTATATTATAGCCATTGACCTGCAAGGTTGCAAAATCACTGCTGAAGGAGCCACGTCCTTGCTCGGGATGCTTCATCACAACAAAATTCTCAAGTTGATTGATGTGAGAGGAAATGGGCTGTCCATCTACATGACCGAAACCATCACCAGGGTTTTGCATTGCAAGGAGCGCGTGGCCGCAGCCAAAAAAGACGATTTCCCAGTACATGATTTTAAAATTACGCTTATTATTGATTATCTGAAATAAATTTTCCATTTCAGGTGGAGTGGCTTCCTCTGGTTTCGAACTGATCGGAAACCACCGAGAGTCAGTTTGTTTGTTTTTCAACTTCACTTTTATGAAAATAAATAGAAGTGTGTTGTTCAATACTGCAGACTCCTCTTTGTCTGGATGTCGTCCAGCATCTGTCTCAGCTCCTCATCCTCAAAACGACCGACCAGACTGGGAATCAGGGCCTTGGCTTCTTCAGGGGTTTCGGGGCACAGGTTGGCCAGGGAAGCAAGTTCAAACTTGTGCAGTTTTTTCTGGGCCAGCATGCTGCGGACGCTGGCGATCGTTTCCTTGTTTTTGAATTTGCGGAATCTGTTGGTGTAGGTGAGCGTTTTGACAAAGACGTCGGACAACTCTTGCTCCTCTTCGGCAGTTTCGTTCTGCTGGTGCCGGTGCTCGAGCAGCATGTGAACCTCCGATATAAGCAAAGTTTCTGCGTTCTCAAACTCTTTTGGGAATTGCAAGTCCGCTGCGTCTTCCTCTGGCTGCTCTGTGTTGGACATTTTTCTACCTGAAAATTAATTACAGGTTTTATGAATTAAGCCTAAAAGTTCTTCATTCAAAAATCTTTAAATAACTCATTGACGTTGAAATCTATAAACTTCATATTTTAAGCTATTTTAGGTTCAGTCTAACATTTTATATTTTACTTACTGTGTAATTTAGTTGATATAAATTTGTTAAATGACGATTATTTGCGTTAATAGTGCAGTAATTAGGCTAAAATTGAAACGGCGTCATCCACCGTCGCTTGAAGGCATCGATTTGTGTACCGCAGCACGCCCACGCCCCTCTCTGCTGTAGATGCTCGATTGTTTTTGTTTTAAACAGCTGTAAAATTAGTTAGAAAATAATGCACGTGAGACAGCAATGAAATTTCACTTGGTTTATTTTCGAAATCTGAAGCTGGAATAATTTTACGAGTGAGTTAATAGGTTTAAAAAGCATTGAAAGTATAATCCTTTATGGCAAAATTAATTTTTTTTCCTAAAATGTTAAAACAACGTATTAATTCTCTCCGCAAGTTTGTGCCTTGAATTTCTTTCAAAGTTCTGAATTATTTCTGTTTTCACGAATGTATTTTAAAATGAATTTAAAATAACGTGCATTTTTCATTTCAGTGCAAGACGAGCAAAATGACGAGCGAGAAGTTTTGCTGTCAATTTATGAGGGAGACTCGTCTTTCAAGCAACTGTCTCCCAAAGTATTTCAGTACAAAGTAAGTATTTGTATATTAAAATTTAAGTACAACTATATTTTTTAATAAATTAATTATACATCTTTCAGTATGGGGAAGACAGCGATAGTCGATCATTTCTGTTGGAGATAAGTTGGGGTGAAAATTACCCTAGTGAAATTCCCTCAATTAACATGGACACATTTTACAATAAGCACCTGTGCGTTTTAAGATTTTTAAATAATATTTTGAGACTAAAATTAATTTTTGTTAAAGGCTGCCTGATGTGCGGAACCACATAGCTGACGAAGTAAAAAAAGAGGCAGAGAATAATGTCGGAATGGGAATGACTTACACTTTGTTCGAATGGGTCAAAGAAAGAGTTGACGAACTAATTGTCGCTCAGCCTGAAAGTATCGCGGAAGCTGTCAGTTCGAAGTTAACTTTGTCGGAAACTCCAGTAAGATTTTAATTATTACTAAATCATCTTCAATTAAAAATTTTCCATTCAGGATACTGAATCAAGCTCAATAGCGGCTGCCCCAAAAGTAAGAAAAGAGGCTATGAGCAAAGCCCAAAAGAGAAAGCAATGGGATCGACTTGATAAAGGAGAAAAGCCAAGAGGACACGACTGGGTGGATGTTGTCAAACACCTATCGCAGACTGGTTATCACAAGGAATCCTCAGACCAAGCTACAACCACCGTCTCGTCCGGAAACTGAATCTGCCACTCGGGTCTTCATTTTCGACAACTGTCAAAATTAAGTTCACTAAGCAACTTTTGTATGGAAGGATAATTACAAGATATTAATTTTTCAAAATAAATCTGGTTAAAATAAAAGTGAAACTTTAATGCTTCAAAACATCAATTAATTTTCTTTGCAGACCAGTCAGCCACCCACTCATTGACCAGAAGTTGGTGTTTTTCCATAAGCCAGCCTGTTTGTAATTTGAGTGCAATTAGTGGATTTCTTAAGCCTTAAAGTTTCATGTTACCTAATTTTTGTGCCTTTTCTTTGAGTATTTGATACTCATTGTTCAGTTTCTCGTTAGCGACACTCAGACACCTGTTGATCGATTTGTCATTGAGCAAGCTTTGTTCCTTCAATTCGCAGCCAACTAGTAGGGCATTGAAGTAGGCCTTCAACACATCTGGCTGTTTTCCTTTTCTCATCATGACAAGTATTTGCATTTTTGAAGGACTGGCGAAAATAGCATAGTCTAGATTTAGGGAGGTCGAGTGATGAATTTGATTCACCGAGACATCCTTCAAAGTCGAAAAAGACTCTCCCAACTTTATGCTCCAACCATTGATGTTTGAAAAATCTAAATATTTATATTAATTAAAATTCATACTAATTTAGACAATATTATACCATTTCGTCCCAAGACGACAGGCTCTCGTGCGTTCACCTCTTTGGGGCTGAGAACAATTTGTGAACTCTTCATTTGTTGGAAGAGAATGTTAAATCTTGGCGCATTCAGAATGGGAATGTTCAAGCAACAAACTGCTCTGTAGTTTGCAAATAGGTGAACAGAAGTCAGCAGAGAAAAGAGCATCCAAGCGAGCCTTTGAGAAACAATTAATAATAAATTATTTTTTCTTTAGAAATGAAGTATCGTTAAAAAAAATTTCTTTGCGAACTAATGACCAATTGAATTATTTAAAAATCATATTTATATCTTAGAAATTCTTACTCGTTACTAGTTATTAGAGGCAGAATGATAATTCCAATGTTGCTGGCAATTAGATTAACAAAAGTTTCTTGACTCCCGTCTTTTGCAGCTACATCTGCCATGTTTCCGTTTCTGGCCTGATAAGGTTAAAAATATAAATAGTTTAAAATATTTTCTTGACGTACTAGAGTGGTTCACCTGATGCTGAGTGAGAGCTGCTCTCGTTGCTCCACCAGCAACACCAACAATGGCCTTCATACTGGTTGCCAAGCACAGCACAAGTGCAAAATAACTTTCCGGGAATAGAGGACTGCAGAGCTCCAAGCTCATAGCCATATCATTCAAAATATCCGCCGCTAACCTCCACTTCTTGCAATTTGTGTCCAGTTCTGGTCTGCAAAAGGAAAAAAATATTTATATCTATACGGCTACTTTTTAATTGTAATATTTTCAAAGAGGTATAATCATAGAATACCCTTTCCAACTGGCAAAGACTATTCTGCCAACCATGCCAGTGCCGTCCCTCATTATCCAAGTGATCGTGGCCGCCAGTGGAGTTGCTGCAGCGTCACCAACCCCAACCCCCTGCATGATGGCTCTGGTTGTGAGGGTACCGGACAAATAGCTGCAGAACGCCTGTTTTTCAGAAATATCATTGTTTTTTTTTCCAATTTTTTTTATTTAATTAACCTGAAGGGTGTCCCACAATTGGTACTGCATGTAGTCATCGCTCACACTTGAAGGGTAGCCCTGAGGCAGGAGGATAAATCTGAGCAGGTTTTGAATCCATGCAAATATGGAGCCGGCAGCCAACTTCCTGCTTTTAGTCCGGCAGAGTTGATTTCCCTCTATGTGATAAAAACGCTCTTCGCCAAGCTGTCCGAAGCGCTCTTCAATATTTGCTATAGTTTCAGACATTGCTTTGCTTGGAGCCTTCCATGGGCAGCTGTAAAATATATTATGTATATAAGTTGAAATATTTTCCAATTTAGTGTTTTGGATTAAAACAGTGCCAATATACCAAACAAGGAAATAATTTGATTGGTAGTTTTTTTAATGAGTTTCATACAGAATAATCCAAAAAGTTTTAACTTAATTGTTATCAAAGACTCAAAGTTAAATGTTTTATTTTCATATTCTAATTTAACTTTACCCGCATCAGCCTCTCTTTAGACGGCGAGTCCTGGACCTCCTGTTGTTTACGTGTGAGCAGGCAAACCACTTGGGGGGCTGGGCGCGCCTACCATGCGACTCTACATGCGACCAATGCAAATGCACAAAGCGACTGCCCTGCTTATACCCAGCATATCGCAAGCTCAAATTTTTTTAATACAATTAAGCAGGCATATTACTGAATGACTAAAATTTGCGCTTCAAAAATCTAACTTTCGTAATCTTAATTTTGGATCGTATTATTTTTTTATAAATAGAAATTCCAAATTCTTCCGTTTTCAAAAACGGTGAATTTATAACATCACCATTTTACTTTTTATTAATTTTTCTTCGATTTGTTTTCACCGTTTTCTTTGATACCTTCCCAGTTCTCTTTCGTGTCACTCCAATTTTCTTCTTCTTCACAACTAGGGTCTGTGCTTTTTCAACCTAAAAATTAAACAATCAGCCAAATCCTTTTCCCATTTTGTCTGAATTCCCACCTCGATCTGCTTTCGAACTTCCAGCAGCGCCTTCTTGTACTCCTCTTCCAGCTCCTCCATTTCCCCTTGGGGACTCTTTAACTCCTCGATGCCACTTCCTTTTGAAATTCCACGAAGCATGTGTTGGAACGAAGGAAGCTGCTGCGGGGAGAGGATCGTGATGGCCTCTCCTTTGCGTCCGGCTCTGCCTGTTCTACCCACTCTGTGGACGTGCAGTTTTGCCAATTGAGGGACATCATAAGAAACAACACAATCTACAGAAGGCACGTCAATTCCTCTCGCCAGTGCATCAGAGCTCACAATACTATGAAAAAAATAAATTATGATTTTTAATATACAAGTTTCCGAGGTTAGAATTACATACACGTCAATTTCGCCTCTTGAAAACCTTTGCAAAATGCAATTGCGTTCCATCAGCCTGAGCTCGGCAGTGATTTCTGCAACTCTTAATTTAACTTTGGACGTTTCCGACAACTTTTGCAACAACAAGGACAGTCTATGGGCTGCCAGTCTAGACGCAGTGAAGCAGAGAGTCTTGCTGCCATGTCCTTTCTTCTTGTTAAATTTTTCATCTCTCTTCGTCAGCAGGCAGTGCAGCAGCAGAGGTTTAGCACCATCGTCTTCACAAAGGACGTACCGTTCTTTAATCTCGGCTGGCATCGAAAAGTGCCCAACAAAGTCTGTGTCTGCTTCGGGAGTTTCTTCAGTATCTAAAAAAGAGTGAAACAATTGAAAAATTCAATTACTCAAAATGACCAATGAAATATTTTTACCTGTTGGCTTACGAGGCTTTACAACGCAGGTGAACATTTTTGGCTGAAAGAGGGTGAGTTTTGCCAGTTTTTCAGGATCTTGAGACAATGTTGCCGAAAAGAGCAGCTTTTGAGGGGGCGGTTGTGTAGTTTTGAAGGTATGAATTGTCAGCGGAGGAATCTGGCCGAGGACACGTTCTGACAAATTTAGAAATTATTTTTGAAGTTATTTTTAGTTTTTTTTTTCCAATTACTTGATCCATCTGTGCTTTTACTTTGAGAAATGCGTTTCTCCAAGTGGAACAACCAGTCACTTTGAGTGCTGTCCATGACTCGGTCAGCTTCGTCGACAACCAAGAATCTGAGTTTGCTCACATCAAGACCTTCAGTGTCCCGCAAATGGTGAACTAATCTGCCTGGGGTTGTCACGATAATGTGCACTAACGAGTGCATATTACCACACGCATCTATGGAGTATAAAGGATTAAAAATATTTATTTTTCTGTATTATTAAAAATTACCTTTGCGAACTAGTTGCTCCTGCTCTCTATCAATTTCTCCTTGACCCACAGCAAGAGCTACTTTTACGTTGGTGCCTTTGCAGTAAGTTTCGAACACAGAGAAGACTTGCTTGGCTAAATCCTGCACTGGCAAAACAACTAAAGCTCGAACTTCCACTATTGGCTCATCCATCAAAATCTAAAAAATGCGATTTTAAGTGGGTGGCAACATAGTTTATTTTCATAGCAGTTTACCTGAATCAAGGGTAAGGCAAATGCCAAGGTTTTTCCACTGCCAGTGGGTGCAGAGACGCAAAGATCCCTTGGCCAGTATCCGGTTAAACTGTTCCTGTATTCTTTCAAAATCCAAGGAATAACATCCCTCTGAACTGTAATTGATTTTATTGTTGATTTTTTTTAGATCAAGATTAAATTGTAATTACCAGGAAACATTTTCTCGACATTCTCTCTTTTCAAAGCCTTATTTAACACAGGCGAAAGCTCAAGAAGATCATCCACTTTGACATCTAAATTTTTCATGTCTACAGAAATCACAGTTGGATGGGCAAGCCACTTCGGAGCAACCCCTTTCACCTGCAATTTAATTTTTAGTTTAATGATAACAAATTAAGCTAGATTTTAAACCTCTTTGATTCTTTTAAACTGATCCCTTCCAATAACAGTGAAACCCTCTGGTTGAAGACCACCGTCGACATTCGAATAATCATCCTTTTTGGGTTCGTCAGAATCAGGTTGATCTTCAGATGCATTCCTGTCCTGCTCTTCGTCTGCCTTCACAGACCTTTTTTGCTTCTTCTTTTTCTTTTTTGCAACTTGCTCCTCCACTTCTTGAGCAGCTTGTGAAGCGCTTTCCTTCCGTTTCTGCGCCTTCTTCAAAAGGTCGTCCAGTCGCTTCTTTTGAATTGAGGAGTCCTTGATTCCAGACTCATTGGCACCATACCTTGAGGAATTGCAATTTGAATAAAGATTCCAATTTCATATTTCGTTCAGTTCAATACCTATTAACCACAAATAACTTCATTATCTCAAAATAACAAAATTATTTTGTCGGTTCTGTGAATTCTGTCAGCAGTCAGCATGCAAAACACGTGTTTTTAATTTTAGCAAAGTGGGTGTCGCCGAAAGACCGTGATTGGCTGAAAGAATGCCGCTACGGTTACGATTGGTCCAAATTTTAAATTTAAATCAACGCGCCAAAACAGCATGCTTTAAATTAGACTTAATTTCCTAAATTTCAGAAAAAAATAATTATTTCTGTTTAACTGCGGTAATTTTAGAATATCTCATTTTTATAATTTTTTTTAAGTTTGTTTTATCAAAGGGGTTTTAATATTATTAATTTTTTTGCCCATTTTATTACAGCAAAATAGTGGGACGAGCGTCGACGTCGATCGAATCGAATGTAAACAAAGAAAAATGGTGGACCGGCAGAGAGCACGTGTGGAGGATGCGATGAAAAAGTTCATCGACGACCTCGACAAGTCGCAATTGCGGAAAATGCAGGTTTGCAAATTGAACCTGAGTAATTTTTCTATGCATCAAAACGCTAAAAGTTTCTCTTCCGCAGGCGGACATGCACAAATGCGCCGCTCGGTGCTGCGAGGATTCGACGTCTCCACTGGAAAGGGTGCACGATTGCATCGAGGACTGCTCGATTCCCCTGTCGTACGCACAGAAATACGTTCAAACAGAAATTGGAGGGTTCCAGGTAAATACAATTTTATGCAAATAATTCCATAATAAATTTTAAAATTTAACTTTTTCCATAAAATTTTAGGAACGACTTCAAAGATGTGTTCTGCAGTGCAATGATGAAATCAAAGATAAAATGGGTCCGAATCCTACAGAGTCTGAGGTGTGTATTAATTTTACGCGCTTTCATTTATAATATAATTTTTAGCTTTTATGAAAATCAACTCATGTTTAATTTCCGTTAATGTCATTTTTAGGCCTCTCGTTACACTGGTGAATTCGAAGCCTGCGCCACCAAGTGTGTGGACAAAAACCTAGACCTCTTGTCGAAAATGTTCGACTCAGTCAAAAAGAACTTGGTCAAAGGCACTTATCCTAAATGAAGTGTGCATTTTGCTCCCATGGAGTTGAAATATTGAGAAACTGTTAGTGAATCAGAAAGAAATAATTATTTTCCTCAAGCAACGAGCCGTTTGTTCCTTGTGGCTCCGACCTCGTCAATGTATACACAATAATTGTGACAAGCCAAGTGGAGTCACCAGCCATTTTCTGGGATTGATTTTATGCTAAATTTTGTAGAATCATATTGCATAAAGTTGTTAAGTTTTAACTGACCTATATACCATGTAATTTTATTCAATGCAGTAGTTATGTAATAACCTGAAATTTGTTACCTAAATGAAAATTTCATTTCCAATTCAAAAAGTATGTTTATATTCTCAGATTATCATAATCTAATTTTTTTTGAAATTTCAAGGATTATAGTGCAAAATTATTATATATGATTGGTTTTTTAACATTAGTTTTTTTGATGATTTTTTTTATTTTTAAAATAAAATAATAAATAAAACATCAACATTTTGTGGCAAAAAAGTTTCCAAATCAATGGGTAATTACAACAGAAGCTGAGATATGAACTGCGAAAATAATTTTTAGCCTAATTTAACTTATAATAAGAAAAATTTTAAGGTATTTTATCTGGTTATAATTTTCAAAGCATTTTTAAAATATCAAAGAATAATCTGCAAAATATAATGTATTTTTATAAAAAAAAAAAAAAAAATCATTTCAAAAATATATTCAGCATTTTTTTTTAAATTAAATTTTATTCTTACTGGAAAATTGGAACCCTTCATTAATTTTTTATTAACTTTTCATGATAAAATTATTGCAAAAAAAAAAAATGAAAATTTTGCAATTTTTTTGCATGTTATATAAAACTTTGCCATTCCCGCGCTGTGGAAGCGGCGGTGGGAGAGGAGGGCGTGGTACACCGCACGGCGCATATGCAATGCATCTGGCAAATTCTTTTCTGTTCGTACGACTGATTGTTGTGTGACTCGCGATCCGTCAGTCGTCCGAGTCTTAGATCTTCGATGAACGTCCGGCCGGACGGTGCGGAGCAAGCCAAAGTGCTGGATTCAGGCGAGAATCAGCTCGACTGAAAAGAAATCTTCCCGTGTCTGACGCGTCCGAGAATCCAAGGGCGATGTCGACCGTCATTCTGGCCGTGGTGGCCGTCATCCTGTGCGTCCTCTTCAGGATCCTCAACGTCAACAGCGAGCCTTCCAAGCCGGTGGTCTTCTGCAAGGACCTCAACTTCCTCGAGTCCATCCTGAAAATGGCGCCGCTGCTACAGGAGCCGTAAGTTCAAATTATTCTTTTTAACAGAAAAATTCAAAAGTGGTTCAAAATTTATTTTTTTTTCGCATGGCAACACGAGAGATAGAGATAAAGGCTCGTCTCGGACACCTTTTGATGATAACATAAATTAGTGGGATCAATGGAGTGAAGGGCGCGTGGGTTGTCACTGTTGTCAGGAGCCAAAGAAAGAGTTAAGCTTGAAATAACACAAATGTATAAAAGTAGGCGTTGGGTGGATCTTTATTATTTTTATTTATCATAAATTATATTATATTTTATATTTTTTTTATTCACAATGATTTTTATTATCTGAACATAGATTTTCAGATTTTCTCTGCATAATACTGAATAATCGGCACTTATAACAAATTTAAAACTGATTTTATTCATTTATTTCAAAATAATATAAATTTATATTATTTTTTGGAACTAAATGAATGTAAATAAATTTAATTACAAGAAGAAATTACCATTAACAGACGAGTTGTTTTTGTTAATTTTTGCGTATAGAAAGTCACTTTAATTACCGACCCCCTTCAGTATTATTAAGGTTTCAGTTTTAATTGTACAGATATAATTATTTTGTAATGTAAAGTGAAATTCAAAACTAAACAAGAATTTTGAAAAAAAAAAAAATAAATAAATATGAGTAAATATTACTAATTTTTTTGATTATGAGTTGAAAATTTGGCATTAAAATTTGTAAAAGCTTTTTTCATCTTTCTTGCTCAGTTTAAAGAAAATTCATAGTAACAGTTTTAAATTTATTGTACTTTTTTCAACAAATTTTATTAATGATTGCTAAAAAGTAAATAATTCTGCAATAAAATATATTTATATTTTCTGGATTTTTATAAAACTGCAGCCAAATGATGCTTAAATCAGGCTAAAAAAAATGTAGAACTGTTTTCCAAAAGAGCTTAATATGTTTTCAAATTTCAAAGCGCAATAATGTGTCAATTTATCAAAGACAATCGTCATAATGACCTCAATAAAAAGTTCCATAAACAGACTACAAAGGGTCATTATTATTTATATCGTCTTTTTTTATTACCATGGCGACAAATTGATTTTTATTTTAAATTAATTAACGAAAGGGGAACGACCCAGTCGCCAGTCAGAGCAAAGTTTGCACTTGAATGCTTTATCACAATGAAACCGTTTTCTTCCCTCGCTATCAATTAAAGTTCCAATTATTTATTGTTCTCTCTCTTTTCTCGAGATGAAATGGCCCGCGGATTAGAAAAAAAAGAACATTGAACTTGTCAGCTGAACCGCTTGCGAAAGTTGCGGCCTGATATTTTTTCGGCGCGTTCTCCTTTTTGTCGTAACTTCTCTGACAGGTCGTTCACCTCCTTTCTTTTTGGCCTTAACTGGAGATCAGCGGGCGCCTCTCATCATCCTCATTTCTCCCAATTACACGGAGTAATTAAAACCAATTAAATTAATTTTCCGCCCGACTTTGAGTAAAAATCAATTTTCTTCATTACCTTTTCCTGCTAATTGATATTTTGCTCAAGGTTTCACGTGCTCGTCTTGTACTGAGAATAACAATATCGCAATAGATATTTTCAAGTGAGTCATGCACGCGTTGAAAGTGTGGACATTACGTCAGGTTCGACTCACGCTCCATTGATATCACAGAATCACTTTTGAAGAACTTGAGTGGGCGATAATGAAACAATTTTTTGTTTCGAAATAAGTATTTTTGTGCTCATCCCTTGTAGAGATAAGAGAGGAATTGATGGAATTTCTCTCTTTTTTATAAAATAATTTTGTAATTTTTTACTGTTTAATTCTCTCCAGAAAACAAAAATTATGAAAATGAATTAATTTAAATTGAGGGAAAAAAATCATTTGGTTTTATATGTTAAAGAATTTTTGTAAAATTTGATCCCATTCATGTTTGCAGGGCCTTTTTTTAAGAGAAAATATTGAATTTCTCGCAAATTACCCTTGAGAAATGAGCAGCGATAAAAGATGAAGGCAATCAAGTGCCTTAATATTTCAATCTTACAACAATATTCTCCGTCAACTTTGACACATGTTGAAATTTCCCAGTGGCTTTTCGCTGAGCCTGCCCTTTTGCAACTCGAAGATAAACTTTTGTCTGAAATTAACTTTGCGATTGAGGTCAGAGTTGGTGTCAACTCAGCAATCATAATTATATATTATCATTTCGCTCACAAAACAATTTGCCACAAATTGCTGTGCATTTCATCTACTCGAGTTCAAGTTCGATCTCGCAGGTAGAAGGAAAATCAAGCTCACTTTCCTTCACTGGCGTAATTATAATGGTTCATGGTCGTATACTCGGTGCACTTTTTCAATGCAAAGTAATGAGTGCGTTACTGCGGCGGTTTGCCTGCAGTGCGATTTGCAAACAACTTCGCGCGTTTCCCTTGACTTGGATTTCAAGTAGAGCAAAATTCCAAATGCAAAATGTTGTTGGATTTAATTTTCCAATGACAATATATTGCCAATATTTTGCTTCAGTAAACTATTGGATTGCCTCAAAATTATTATTTAAATTAATATTTTTTATAACTGCAAATTATTGAGAAACTCTTTGATTGAATAAAATTTCTCAGTTGGTGGAAATTCCTTTATTTTAATTTTAATATTGAGGCAATTTTAATTTATCTTTGCAGGAAAAAAATTGGATAGACCACAAATATATGATGTATTCTTGTAATTCTTTTTAAATTTCCTTTTATTATTTCTTTTCTTTTAGTTGAAATTAAGTCAAGGTTTTAAAGAATATCATATTAATTTATATGAAAATATTCATACAATATTTGAAAAAAAATATATATATATATATATATATATATATATATATATATATATATTTTGAATCACCAAATTCAAGCAACTTTCATTTTTTTTTTTTTTTTTTTTTTAATTGTCCATAACTTTGATTTCTTGTTGCAGATATCAGCCGACAAGGCTGTGGGGCTTCAGCGGCCACGTCCAGACCGTGGTGCACAGCATCATCGGGCGAGTTCGTTGCCCGTGGCCGATTGGAGAGCGGTGTGCAGTCAGCCTGGCCGACGGTTCCACCTTAACCTACGACGTGTACGAGCCGGTGGAAGGCAAGAGCATCCCGCCTGAAGGTAACACACGCACTATGATTAATTACAATTTGACGCGGTCTGCACCAAGGAGAAAGTCTTTCTCTGGTCAGGGCGGTGAAATTTTTGCTACGACAGCTTTCGGAGGTTTTTTGTGGAATTTTTTCTGTAGAAATTTCGAGCAGAACTTTGGGTGCGATACGAGCGCGATAAGATAGTGAGCGAGTGCAGACGGACTCCTCGAAAAGCGACGTTTTTACATAAACTTGCTATTTTTAAGGCTCTTGTCATGTTGGCTTCAATTATGACAAGCAAACACTGCACGTCGGCAAATTAAAAAAAAAAAAACACTGCAAATAGGACTAATAATGACAACACTGACGTAACCAGACGTTACGTCTGCAAAAGCTTCAAAAGCTTTTTTTCAGCGAGAAGTCCTACATAAAATCTATTACTGCTCCAGCTGTGACGAATTAACTAAACGTGTTTGGTCTGAAAATAGAAATGATGTAAATAATGTTATGAAGTTGATCATTTCTCTTTTTCATTTGAATTTGGATAAATTAATTCCAATTTAAAAAAATTTAAGACTCCTAATTTAATTTAATGAAATTCTAATAATCCTATCAAGAATAAAAACCATCTTTAATATTATTAATTTTCCCCTGCATTTTGACAGTATAAAAAAAATTTAATTTACACTTCTTCCTAAAAATAAAAATCGTTTTGATTATCTTCGTTAACTAATCAAACATAATTTATTTTTAACGAATATTATTTATATGTTTAAAATGTAGATGAAATTTTTCTGCTTCAATTATTCTATTTAGTGCTTTAGTTTATATAAATTCAAATCCTGTTAATTCTTGAGAAATAAAGAATAATAAAAATTTGAAGAAAACAAGCATATTGGATATTAAACTAATTGCTGACAATAAGACGGAAGAGGCAAAATGAATTTTCTCAACAGTAAATAGCCTACTTAGTTTTCGTTCCGCTTATCCCTGAATTTCTAATCCAAAACATTGCGCCCATTCGTCCCTTGCCCTCTTTTCTCTTTCTGCCAACTGGGCCGGAGGGAACCACTTTCGCGATGACTCATAATGGCAATATTTACGCCGAGAATTATTTTGTTTAAATCAAACAGAACCATGTTTTCAAACAAACTCATTATGCGATTTCCCTGCTCTTGAGACGCAAAATGCAAATTGCGTTGTGCCAGTTTGAAATTTTGCTGCTCTTTGAAGATCAGTTCAGAAATTAAATTAATTATTGCAATATGTCTTGTGAAAACTAAAGGGTGGTGCCTCTAACTGGTGAATCAGCAAAACTAATATTTTGCCGACGCCTCAATGTTCAAACTGCGTGCAGACTTTGTTCTTTTACTTGGGACGATTGTTCTGGAAAAGTGCTGTGTGTCCCATTTGTCGTGTGTGCGAGCGACAGAAAAATCAATTCCGAGCGCTGAAAACACGCACACAAACTGGCCTTAATCAAACAAATTAATCGCTTTGACACACAACCAGTGACAACTCCGAAAATGGAAATCTGTCTGTCTGTGCATTAAAAGCCCACACTTGTTATGACTTCGGATAAAATTCCTGGAATATTGCTCAATGGCTTAATTTTTCTGTGTTTGACGTGAGTTGGAGTGACGCTGATAAGAACGTTTTAAAACTGAATCGTCGGATTGATCGATTTCTTTGTTTTCATTAAGTTCTAATTTGTATTTAGAAAATTTCTGAAACATTGTAATGTATAAAATGCACAATTTTTGGTGTCAAAATAAAATAAAGTTAACCTTAATATAAACTTTGTATGAAAATAATCTGGATTCAAGTCTTTGGAAAAACCAGTTTAATCCAGCACCGACCTTATCTTGCTGGCCGAAGTTCGCTTTGCATTTGCAGGGAGAACAAACAGACAAAATTTATAATTTTTTTTGCATTTACCACAAACCACGCACAGAGGATGTATTTTTGTGTTCATATTAAATTGTACTTTGGATTTTTGCGCTATTATGGAACAGACTTAATAAAATATTTATTTCATTTTTATTTAAGTAAATTTTAAGATTTGGGCTTTTCCTCGTTGCAAAAATTATTATTTTTTTTTTTTTTCAAAAACAAAGCGGCTCTACCAGTTTTGGTCACAGTCTGCGACCCTATTTCACGAGCAAGAAAAATGCCATAAATCAGCAAAATTGAAAAAAAAAACACATTTTGACATAAAAATTTAGATCTTAAATTAAACAATTTCAATCTAATTTTTGTTTTAAAATGTGTGTGTTTTTTTTAATTTCGCTGATTTTTTTGCATTTTTCTTGCTCATGAAATTAGGTCGCAGACCGTGACTGAAACTGTTAGAGCCGTTTTGTTTTTGAGTAAAAACAATTTTTGCAACAAGGACAAGCCCGATCACTTTCTTCCCATGATCATATCCTTGAGTGTCAATTTCTTCAAACAAATTCATAAAAGTAATTTAAACTTTAATTAAATGTTTGAAATCAAAATTATATTTCTTGTTTTGTTTGCTGCAAATAAAACAATTTATAGCAGCCTTCACTAGACTTATTGCTAATTACTTCGTCCAGTCATCAGAGGCAGTTGCGAAATTTAAATTTTTCGAAATATGGCACCGCCGCGCACAAGTTGTTGACCCAAATACCGAATTATCCCCTTGAGTGAGTGCGCGGCGGAAAAACCCCCCGTCCAGTTTGCCACAAAGAAGCAGCCCTTGAGCGTGTACCTACTTAAATTGCAAGACTTTCTTTCAACCACCAGTGATCAATACATTAACTTTGCAAGTGAAGCAATTTCGCGCCATTGTGTCTGCGAAAAAAATCCACCCTCGCGAAAAAGCGCCGACGCCGCCGTCAAAGAAAGGACTCGAGCGGAAAATTGATTCTGGCAAATTATTCACCGCGCCGCTGGCGTGCGACGTGTGGTATTTTCCTTTTATCGTGGCTGTTTGCCAAAGCCGCGACCTTGGCCTTTACCATTTAATATGAATGACATAAACAGTCCCATCAATTGGATGAGAGTTCATGAGTAATTCAGACTAATTCGCCAGCCACCAGTGCATAACATGTGCAAACATGCGCGGTTTTATCTGGAAATTGATTGACTCATAATTAACTTAAACGTTCGTATTCAAACCTAACAATTTATATAAATTTATATCAAAGTAAATTAAAAAATGGGACTTTTGCTGAATAATTATTGCATAATTATTTATAATGAAAATTAATCAAATTTATTTTTGTAAATTAAATGGTGATTTGAATTTAAAATCGGCTTTTCCTCAATTAATTTAGTGAGTTTTATTTTTTAAGAAAAAACAATATCCGATTTTAAATTCAAATCGTGAAATTCTACTACAAAATATAAATTAAAGTAGAATAATCAATCAATTTTTGTTTTCAGAGGACTTCACGCTGGCCATTTGTCCTGGAATCGGCAACACAAGCGAGTCCGTGTACATCCGGACGTTCGTCCACCACGCGACCCACCAGGGTGGCTATCGATGCGCGGTGCTGAACCACGTCGGGGCGTTGACCAGCGTGCCTGTCACAGCCCCAAGACTGTTTACCTACGGTGGGTAGTGCGTTTGATTTGCGTCCATCTGCGTCGTTCACTTGTAAATAGTAAATGACTATTGGCATTTGCACAACAGCGCAGGGAAAATGCAAGGAAATTAGTGGCGACGTGCAAATTCTACAAATAACAACAAATATTTTGACGCAATTTGCTGAAACGCGCATATCGCATATTAGAAATTGCTTAAAATATGTATTTAAAAAAAACTAAATATCTTGAGATGTGGGGCGAATTTTTCATGAAATGAACAAAAAAAGATTTAAATCTTTTTACTTTTTTTAAACAAGCAGGGACTATAAATAAATTCTCAGTAGTTAAATGTAGATTATTTTTAGTGAAGGAAGTTTAAGCATTAAAAGTTTTTCAATTTTCACTAAAAAACTTGATAAATTTTTTCCAGGCCACACGGAAGACTTTGACGTGATGCTCAAACAAATTTTGGAGCGCTGGCCGAACACGCGAATCATCGCGGTCGGTTTCAGCCTCGGTGGTAACCTGGTTACCAAGTACGTGGGGGAGCAACGAGTTCGACCTTCACAGCTGCTGGGTGCTATCTCGGTGTGCCAGGGCTATTGCGCTTTGGAGTGAGTTCATTTAAATGACTGTACAATTTAAATTTATTCATTTTTTTTTAAATCATCTGCAGAGGCACCAAGTGGCTTCTGATGTGGCACAACTTCCGCCGCTTTTACCTTTACGCCATGACTGAAAATATGAAAAGCATTGTCCTGAGGCACCGCAAAACTCTGCTGTCCGAGGAGATGAGGAAGAAACACAAGCTGAACGAGAGGGACATTTTCTCAGCCGCTACCTTGCCTGAACTTGACGAAGCCTACACAAGGTAAATTAATTTAAAAATATCCTCATTCAATACAAAAAAAGGAAAGAAATAAACAAAAAGTAAATAAATTTATAGAAAATCGATTTTTTTTAATTAGTTTTTCATTTTATTAAATTTTTAGGAGAGTTCACAACTTCAGCTCAGTTCGAGAACTCTACCAGTGGAGCAGCAGTGTCAACTACCTGAAGGACATTCGCACCCCGATCGTATTCATCAATGCCAAAGACGATCCATTAGTGCCTGAGCCGATGCTTTCTCCCATCAGAAACTTTGCTGGTAAGAACTCTTTGTTCAATTTTCCCTCTTTGAAGCTAATTGTTCTCGTGTCCTTCAGCCCAAAAAAAGCAAGTTCTTCACCTTGAATTGGCGCATGGCGGGCATTTAGGTTTCTACGAAGGAGGTCTCTTGTACCCGAATCCTGTCACGTGGCTGGACCGAGCTCTAGTGGCCTTAACAGCGGGACTGATCCAGACTTCCCTGAAAACGACTTGACTGGGCATTCCAGATAATCTTCATGTTATCTAGACCAACTGCTTCTGTGTGAAATGTAATCACTGTAGTGTAAGTTGAAATAATTATTCTTGGGAATCATTGCATTTTAGCCAACGTGCATGTGAGAAGCGAAACAATTATTGCTGGCGTGTGATTTGTATACATATAAATGAAAAGCAGGGAATAAATCTAAAGAACAGTCTTGACAGTAATTAAAAAATGCTCTAGTGTGGAAGTATTTCAACTTGGAAATTAACAAAGTTGCCGATTTAGTTCTTGGACGAACTTTACTTTTGGGCTGCTGCTCTGGAGCGTGTGTAAAAATTTTAACATGACACTGCAGTGTCTTCATTAACTGGCGTTTGCCTTGATTAAATCATAATTTGAATCCTTACCAATGTTAATGTATCCTAATCTGATATGTCAGTTTTAAACAGTCGGTCACTTTGCTGGACAAAGTGAATAATATCCTCAATGGTTATTAAATAGTACAGTAAATAATATTTATATGTTCTGATCCCATCATTGTACCAATATCATTCCAGCTGAATATTTAGACGCTCAAATCTTTCAAAACAGACAATAACAACTGATTTCTCTAATATTCCTCTTCAACCTTTCAACTTGCTGTAGCGAAAATAGTTTTTTTTTTATATAATAGGTAAAAGTCATTTATTTTTAATGTAAATATGTGTTTTTTTTTTGCATTTCACCAACTATAGCAATTCTTTTTTGAATGTGATTTTAATTTAAATGCATATCCAGCTTTGTAATAAATCTATGGAATTTATTTACAACCAGCGCACTATGGGGTGCCAAAACGAATTAGATGTAAAAATTTTTCTTTTCACTCTGGTCATAGTGTATAAAAACTCATATTGTTTGCATTTTCAGTCTTGCGCATTTCACTCCTAAACCCTTGAATCACGAACCTAGGAATATGTAATGCTAAAATTTTTGTACTTGTTTAAAAAATAAATGGCAACAAAATAGAAACTCCAAACGTTTTATTTCATTTCAAAATTAACCATTTACGATGGAAGTTCTCCTCTTGCATCTCTAACCAATCAAGATATATCGCCTCAGCCAAATATGCTTTCCCACCTTGAGGTTAATTTTTTTTTTTAAACTGATATGACAAGGAACTAATCTGCTTACCATCCTTTGCGAGGTTTTTGCTCTGCAGTGACAACTCCACTCATGCTCTTGGCTGTCTCGATAATGGTTTTCTTCAACTCCTCGTAGTTTTCGGCAGCACTGGCCAGCCTTTCCTTGAGGTCTTTGATTTCGTCCTTCAAAAGTCCACCCTGCTCCTGCATATCCATAACAGTAGCTTGCGTGGCCTCAAAACTTTTGGCCCCGTCGTCACTCAACTTGACGGCATTTTCAAAGTCGGCGGCCAGGTCTTTGGTCATCTTGTTGCTTTTGCGCCACTCGACCTTTCTCGCTTCCAGCCTCTCTTCGCAGCTGCGATTTTCCTTGGCCAGTTCTTCCAGATGCTGCAAACGCTGGACTTTGAGTTCCTTTTTCTTTTTCTCCTCCTCAGATTTTCTCTTAAATTCCTCTGCCAGCTTTTTCAGGGTCTGCTTCAAGTTCAGCTTTTCCATTTCCTCGCCAACCCTGTCTCCATTTTTCACCTCTGCCTTTTGCATTGCTGCTCCTCTCCTCTTTTCATAATCCAGTTTCTTGACCAAATCAACCTTAAATTAAAACAAAGAAATAAGATTTGCTGAATACAAATTATTAAATTTAAAGATTCTTACATGATAAATTGTCTGCTTGGCAAGATCTTCTTCCATGCGGGAGAGCTCTTTCTTGACATATTTGAGGCTTTCCAGGACTTTTTCCAACGCCAAGGAATTGCTCTCACGTCTCTGGAGTATTTTCAGTCGACCATCATAAGAGAGAAGCTTGCTTTGGTATGTTTCATCGTTTTGCAGCAGCTCCGTCAGGTAGCCAGTTTGGGTGTCAATTCGTTGCTTGAGTTCGACTTCTTTGAGAGAAACTGATTTCAGATCGGCGTCCTTCTGCTGCATGATTAGCTTCTGCCTTTCCAAATCCTCAGAGATTCCAACAAATTCCGAATAGACTTTCTGGAAAGTTGCAAAAAATTACTTTACGTTATTTTCCAAAGTCATAATATTTAAAAATGTTACTTAAAAATATTTAATTAATATTGCTATACCTTATATTCGTTTTTGAGGCTGACGATTTTCTCCTCATTCCTTTTAATTACACCACTGGAAACGGACCCCATTTCTTTGAAGGCCGGATCGTTCAGAAGCATCTTTGCACTCTCAATTTCCTCCTTCATGGTGTCGTTTGCGTTCACCACATCTTCAGGATTGGTTTGCTCCACAATTTCATCCTGCGCAAGGGCGACCTGCTCTCTGCGTGCGGCCCACAGGGTCTCGACGGCCTTGGTGTCCTCGTCCTTGACCTTTTTCAACTCTCTGTCCAGTTCTTCCATCTGCGTCTTCTTTTCCTCACTCCTTTCCATCAGAACAGTCTGAATGACCATGATCTCGTTGTTCGGGGCCAACCGGTTTCTCTCTTTGCACCTCAGCAGCTCCTGAATCTGGTGGCTCAGGCGTTGCACGTGACGTCCCAATTTCCTGCTGTAGTCCGCCTCCGTCCGGAACAAATATTCGCCGCGCCTTTTGCCAAAAGATGTCCCGTTGTGTAGTTTCATGTCCCTGATAAGCATCTCTTTCTCCAGCAGGGTCTGCTCGGTCGCGTGCAGCCGCTCCGTCCGGTATCTCAGGTTGTCCAGGAGCTCCGTCAGGTATTTCATGCCGTGGACCCGAGGCTGAATTAATCCGAACTCATCCAGTTCCAGCTGGACGACCTTGTCTCGCAGACCATGGACATTGCGAAGGGATGCGTTGTTTACTTTGTTCTGGAACTCGGCCTTAGTGACTAGCGTGTCACCATCGATGGACATGTTGGTGCTTCAGAAAATATGTGAAAAGCTGGAAAACTTCCAAGTCTATAGGAATCAAGAACTTTAAAATTGTATCCAGGCAAGAATGTAAAATTTGCAACAACCAACAAAGCTTTTGTCTTTTTTAAATTTAGATTGTTGGATAAGATTAGCAGGTGTAAAATTTTTACCAAAATGTAGGAAAAAGTTATCTAACAATGCAAAAATTTAAATAGCGTTTTGCAACAATGACAAAATGTTTGCCAACAATAAAAAATTATTTTAGAGGGGCATTAATTTGATGTAATTTCCTTTCATCCAAATCTCTCTTGTTATGGTACTATCTTTGTTTTTTATTTTACAATTTACATTTAATATAATTAATTTTACATTATTCATAATAAAATAAATATTACAAACAGGAATGGACAAATAACAATAACAAGTAGAGAGCACAATCTCATTTAATTTATGTGATGTCTCTCTCACTGTTTGATATGAATGTCAAAGTTCATTTTTGTTACATCGTAATAACAACAAACATAAGGATACATTATGTGGTGGGCTCTCAAAGTCAACAAAAAAAGTCTGCGACAATCGGTAAAAATAATAATAATTAACGTGATTTGACTGAGATCGAATCGATTCCACATCAAATAAATAAACAAAAGGTAAAAAGGGCATCCTCCAGGGGCAGAGAAAGGAAATAAAAGTAATCAACGTCAAAATCTGGATGGGCCTGTTGTTCTCACAAATGGGTCTGGAAAAATAAATATGATACCAATTAATTGAAAATTTGAGTGAAAAAAGTTAGCAGGTTAGTTTTTGTGCAGGAAAATGTGAAGAAGATGCAAACTTAAGAAGAAGTAAGAGTGCTTCAGTTCGTATGTATATCTTCTTGAATTTTATTGTATTTTTGGTTAACAGTTCGTGAACACACTGACAAGGTAAATCAATTAATTTAACAGAGCAATTTTCTCGTATAATCACTTGAGACACTTTTTACAGTTATTCAGAGAATTAGGCGCACATTAATTTTCAGTAACTTTGTCCCTAAAGCGCTAAGCTTTCTCACAGGTTAGAAAAAACCTCAAAATATTATTTACAATTATTATTTTAACTTGAAGGATGAAACAAAAATGGGATATATATTTTTTTTAAATCAACTTTAAAACCAATTTTAAAATTAATCTCTGGACCCTAATGAGAAAGGTAACATGGGAACTGTAACATGGAGAGATGCTTAATTTTAGATATGGTACAACATCACGTTGGAGGATATAACATTGACTTTTAGCACTGCATTTTTTCTCTATGTTTTATACAGAGACGAGCTCTCATCACACTTTTCCAGAAAAGCGGCGATGGCACTTTAATTATGTAACAAACACCACGGCAGACAACGGAAAAGGTGGGTGAGAGAAAGAGCAATGCGAGAGAGTTAGTTTAATTTTCGTCGATACATATTAGTCAACCTTCCATTTTCCATTCGGGGATCGTTTTTTTTAAATTTATTATCTTGCGTACAGGAATCATTCTAAACGTCCACTAAGCGTTCCCAAGTTATTGTAGGTCCCGTCATAACGATTAACTACAGATGGTTAACAACTTTTTAGAATGCCCCGAAAATTTAAGGAATTTAATTAAGAATTAATTTTCTACGATAATCTAAAAATTAAAATTCTACTTTTTGTTGAATATTTATCAAAATAGCTGTGGCCCCATAAAACAATGTGCGAAATTTTTATCAAAGACGATGAAATAAAAAAACTTTTACAATGCTCGTGGACCCTAGCATTTAACCAACGGACAAGTACACTTAAATAGGCACAATTTTGTCTCTATATATATTAAAAAATTCGGACAAAACAATACAGACTGCGCTTGAAGCAACATTTACTCGGAGATCAATGGCGGAACAAGTGTGAATATATTTTTTGCTTTTTTTTTAAATTTCGATTAATACAATATGCAGCAGTAATAATTTTCAATATTAATTTGTGGGAGTTAATTATTATGCTGGGAAATATTTTTAATTAATTTATATACGCGTGGGAGAATCAAAAAAGATTTCCGCATTGTCAAAGTGAGCATTTCAAAATATTGTCACACACCGTAAATAATCATCAAGCATATCAAACTCTTGGAATCGGAAACAAGAAAGAGTCCGCATCACGCGAATCAAGAAAGAGATTTGAATCAACCTCCAATATTTAACATCCATTATATAAGCGGCGAATCCCATACAATGAGATCAACAGTCATTTAGTAATGTGAATATTTTTTTTTTTTTTACTTTCATTCTTTCATCCATTATAATGTGTGTCTATATTTAATCGTAATGGTACTACGCGTAGAGAGGCTGGAATTATAATATTGCAATGCAAGTTTATTGATGAGGGCAGCTACCGACTCTGGGTTCGTTCGTATAATGCGTGGGCAGCACTTGTTGTCTTTTATGTTGTTTTGTTAAGGTTTGTTGCTGGTTGTTAGTCGGTTAGGTGGAAAAAGAATGAATGCGCTCGTTATTAGTTCAAAGCAGGGAGTGGAAGCCCGTAGAAGTGGATTCGATCTTCACACGCGACCCCTGTAGTATCCCTGAGCAGACAGAGGGCAGAAGCTTGTTAGAAGAAAGCAAAACCAACACCAGAGAAAACGAAACAAATCAAATCAAATAGATCTTTTGAATTATATATTTCTTTGGCCACGAATTTGTAGTTTTTGTGAAATGGAAGTGGAAAAAACTGAAAACAATTTAATTATTTTTCCTTTCTTTAGGTTAATTTGATTTGTTTCATTTTAAAAAAAAATATAGAAAATTGTGTTAATTGCAAACAAATTAGGCACTTACAATTTCAGCAACGTCATCATCCAATTCTTCAAAATCAGCAACACTTTGTGCACCTCCTTCGCTTCCACCTCTACTCAAATTTAAACTCCTTGCTGGCGTCGTCGGACAACCTGCCAAAGGCAAAGAAAAATCAGACCACAATTCCGAAATTCAACATCTATAAAAAGACTGCATTGCCAGTGTGCCCTATGAGGAAAAACGGGGGAAAAAGTTCAGGCTTCTATTTAGTAATTCTATAATCGAACAATTTTGCTAGCAAGATGCGCAATATTTAAAATGTGCTAATGGCATTAACGAAAGGATAGAGTAGATTTGGATTTTTATAAAAAAAAGGCATTCAGTAAAAAGGTGAAAATGGCATTCCAATTAAAAGATGCATTAATTTCGAAAAGAACCAAAACGAAAGAGAAGAAAATAGAGTCGGGAGGCTGACACTTGAGCATTCTTGCTAGCTGTTCCCACAAAGCTACATTGAGGGGGTTGTCGAGTTATCTGATACAACTGGGCTGCAGACACTGATGGGAAAGACCCCAGTACCAGCGGCGCTGCTTCGACCGCTGCGCGAACCTCTCGACGATGTGGAATGAAAACTGCCTCGGAAGTGGTCTGACAACGAGAACAGGGACCACCGGTCAGAAAACATGTACAATGCACTCAAAGCAGAGAGTTCGCAATTTACCAAATAATTCAATTCATAATTCATTAGAGGGATAAATAGCATTTAATAAATTTGCAATTTTAGATGGTACAAAATTTTGCACAATTTTTAAAGCAGATTTCAATTACAGAAATTGGAGAAAGATAAACATTTGTTTATGTTTAGCATTAATTTAGATTAGTTCAATTTGAGAAAAATGTTGCTGACAATGACAGACAAAGTGGTAAATCACAGAACCCTACAGACTTATTATCACTTTCTGAGGCAAATCGGAAACTTGGCAAAATTACCTAAATCTCCACTGCTTGATGACTCGGTGAATGAGGGGGTGCCTTCAGTCCAGGTGGGGGTGCTGCCTTCGACGGAGGCGGGTGGCGTCCACGTGATGTTGGAACGGTGACCAGATCCGGCTGACTCGACGCTCAGAGAGGACGACTTGTTGGTCATTTCGCTCACACTGGAATAGGTTCGTTGCGTAAGGATTCCCATTCTTTGTATCCTAAAGCGCGGGGAGAAAGAAAATAAGAAGAATGCAAAACTAAAAATAATTAATAAGTAAAAAAAAAAAAACTTAAATTAAAGCAAGATAAAATTCTGGCACTACCATGCAATTAAATTAAATGAGATAAATACAAACTTATTTCAAATATTTAAAAAAATAAAAAGCTTAAATATTCACAAAAGCACAAGATCAAAATAATAATTAAATTTTTTTAAAAAAATGGAGACTTTTATGCAAAGAGTAAAAAATTAAGATATTTGCAGTTCAGAAATTAGTAAATGTGTAAAAATATCTTGTGGTTTTGTGTTAAAAAATGTGGGTGTCTACGACTTTCAGAGGTTTAAAAACAGTTTTTATATTTTACGTGTTATCTTTACCTAATGTTGTCCTCTCTGTGGTACGCCGACGATCTGGAGACGAGGACGTGACTGGCCGATATCGACACATGTCTAGGTGAATGACTACTATTTTCGTCTGTCCCACTCCCATAGCCTTCTGATGAAAGATGCAAACTCCCAGTATTTCCTACAAGCAGCAAAGGATTGCAAAGGCTAACTAGAATAGCTCTAGCTAAGTGTCAGTGTGGGTTATTGAGAGAGCTCTGGGGGCATGGATTAAAATTGGCAAATTTTTTTTCTTCCAGTGTGTCAAAAACCAGGCAGTTCTAAGCAGTTAGTTAGCCGAGGTTAAAATCAATCAATCCATTCCATTCGAGAGTTAGTTAAGATAGGCGGGGGTGCAGTTTTTAAAAAGTGTTTGTTTTTTTTTCTTCGAATTTGGTTAAGATCTTGTATCACAAAATACCGCTTCGAAATCACAGCAGAGATGATGAAAAAATAATAATAATAAAATGTATCAGTCAAAAAATGAATGAGTAAAATGGGTTTGCTAGCCAAAAATTGGTCCTAAACTCTAATTAAAAAGAATAAAAAGTCAAACGTAGTAGACGGTGGGGGTCAAGTCATTGTCAGGGGGCGCGCGATTGTTGCGGGGGAAAAGGTTATGCAAAGCAGCGGCGTTAAGCATGCCGTCAAAAGCAGCAGCGGCGGCAGAGGAGAGTTTGTCCGTTTTGGGGTAAATTGTGGACAGATAGTTGTGGTGGTTGTGGCATTTTGATTGGTGGTGGTTTTGCGGCTGCAGGTCGCGCTGCTGACTGCTTTGGTTAGCCGGTTTGGGCCTCTTGTTAGTGGGGGGCACGGCGAGCAGGCCGGGGGTCGAGTGGCGTCGCGTCTGGACCCAGTGGTGGTGCTGGGCGGGCGGCGACCACGCGCCTAGAGAGGGAGAGCAGGGGGATTCACCTCCGCCACGGTAGTGGTGCTGCACCATGTGGTGGCCGCCGCCGCGCTGCTTGGGCGAGCGCGGCGGCACCGGCGGCGGCACGCGGCCCTTCTGCGACGGCGGCCCGCGGTCCTTCAGCACGGCAGGGTAGTTGTGCGCCGACGACGTCGTCGAGCTGGCGGTCGGAGCCGGAGATTCCGAGTAGAGGGAGGTTGGAACGGGACTGGGTGTCACTGGACTCGCTAGAGGTTCAGCCGGGTCAAAGAGAGACAGAAGAGAGAAAGAGAGAGAGAGACAACAGAGAACAGAGAGTTTAGTCAGAGGCAACCGACCCGTAAGCGAATCATCAGGGGGGTTAATTTGCAAGCGCACTTCCAGATTTGCTTTTGACATTTTGACGTTGAAACAATTATTTGCAAAAGGGTTTGAAAAAAAGAAGAAAATTCAGTTAATAATTTATTTACTTTTTTCGCAAATAAAATTTAAAAAAAGACTATTGGAAATGGAAGTGAAGAGATCGGGCTTTTTCCTCACTGCAAAAATAGTTTTTATTCAAAAACAAAACGGCTCTACCAGTTTCGGTCACGGTCTGCGACCCTATTTCATGAGCAAGAAAAATACAAAAAAATCAGCGAAATTGAATCAAAATGTGGTTGTTTTTCAATTTAGCTAATTTTTTTTTATTTTCCTTGCTCATGAAAAAGGGTTGCAGATCGTGACCAAAACTGGTAGAGCCATTTGTTTTTGAATAAAAACAATTTTTTACAACGTGGACGAGTCCGGCTTATTCATTTCCATGATCATCTCCTCGAGTATCAATCTCTTCAGACTATTGGAAAGTTTAGAATTGTAAATGATAAAAAAATTAATGTTCAAAGTTCAAAAGGAAAAAAATAATATCAAAGTGATTCAGATGAAGTTTTAACCATTACAATACTTTTTTTTTTTAAAAATACTAACATTAATGAAAAATAAAATACAGGAAATACTTTTACTGAACAATGATTAAAAAATAATTTCCATTTTAAGTTTGACAGTTGCCTTATTACATTATAGCAGAAGCTAAGTGCCCATCAGTTTTAAACATGCAAATTTGAAGAATAGGTTTGATTAAAAAAATTAAGGTGCACCCGAATTTCCCACCTCCATTTTTTTTTTGTGTTAAGTAAATCTGGAAGTAAGCAGCATCTCAAAGAAGAGCACAGCCTAAATAATTGATGGGAAACATTGACACTTCTTCTTTTTTCTTTAATTTTATAACTTCTACGTGTAACTTGGTCTTGCATACAAGAAGCGAAAATAATTTCCAACATTTACTTGGTACCGAAAAATATTGATGTCAAAACAAAATAATTTACAACACTTATAAAGGCTTGTGCATTCAATGGTGTTTTTGGGAAGTGAAGCGATTTGTTTGATCCGTAAGCAAATAGAAACTCACCAGGTTTGCTCGTTGTCTGACTTGAAGCCCCATGATGCCCTGTAAGCAGCGTGTTGTAGCATGGAAAGGTCACCAAAATTAACCACACCAAGTAGTATCCAATTTAGCACAAAACCGACTTCAAAGAGTGAAATCAATCAAAACGACATAATAATGACTAAAAGCCATGCAGAAAGAAAATTGTTGAAATTCAAAATGAAAAAGGATGACAGACTAAAAACAATGAAATAAATCATAGCATTTCTTTTTATACATGATATTTTCTGAGATTTCTCTGTATTCGTAACTACAAATATTTAACAACATAATAATAAACTATGGTCTAATAATGTCAATTTCATGTCGGAAGGTAATTTTATATAAATATAAAATTTCAACTAATACAAAAATAAATACTCTAATGATTAGCACAGTTCTATCAAGGAAAGGCACGTGGTGTAGTAAACAGTTAGTCGAGGAAACAGCGCAGTAATTATGTACTAATTATGATACACATCGTAATTACGAGAATAATAAATTATTATTGTTTCAACCAAATTAAGGCCTTTCCATCACCGATAACAATTCAGAGAATGTGGTTTGCGAGAGTAAAAGAGGGGAATGCGAGAATTGGAATTTTCGTGTCATGAGGTCATGACATTTCGCTTTTTGTTGGACGCCCTGTGGAAATCCAGACAAGAAAAAAAAATCATGTCACAATCATCAATCACCAATGGAAAAAATCAACAGTGTGTGTTAGTAAATTTGGCAATTTTGGCGGGGGAAATGTTAATTTTGAACCCAGGTGAGTGAATTTCAAAAGTATGAAATCCTCCCAAAAAGAAACCACACCTCGGAATGTAGGAAATTTGGAATATTTGTGCGTAGTGACATCAGAAAATATGCAATTATGAGTGTGCTTGTTTGAATCAGACAGCTGGCACAAGCAAGAGGTTTATTTAAATTGAAAAAAAATTAATTTATAATAATTTTTATAGAACTGATCAGCAAAATTCAATGTTTAGTGCTGAAAATGTGATGAGCTTTGTTTGTGCCAACTTAAAAAATAATCGCATACTACAGCACTAATAATAGCAAAACAGCGTTTAACAACAGATTAAGAACTATAAAAGCTGCGATAACAAAACCATCATCAATTAGCATTGGCAGATTCAGTGCCGATATTATCTTCAAAAACTACGCAACAAATGGAACACACTAAATCCAAAAGTAGTTTTAGCAGAAGTGCGGAGATTTTGAATCTATGAAGAAAAATTAAAGAATATAATTGAGTGCGTGTGTGAGACGCGCCGAATGAATTAATTGATATATTCCTCGATAAGTACAAAGTCAGTCAGACATGCAAAACTCCTCTCCAAATGAGAGACAAACAGAGCATTCCAACTAGGGGTTAGTTTATAGAAGTCGAATGAACCAAATCCATGCCGAGAGTGAGTCAGCCGCATGCAATCAATTCAGAGCGGAGTCTCCAAGAAAGCGGGCCGCTGATGATCGGCCATCATCAGGCTGGTCGGCTCGATTTTTACCGGGGTGAGGCGTTTCAGCTCCTTGAAGCCGACCCGTCTCGGCCCCTTACCTTGTTCGGCAGGCGCGGAGCTCGAAGTTGGCGCCGCCGGCGCAGCTTCGGCGCTCGTCGACTCGCTCGGACTTTTGACTTCTTCAGACGGAGGCGTGATTTCGGCCGCGGTCGTGCCCGACGTCCCGGCGTCCTCGCCGGCCTGCGCCGCTTTGTTTGCGTTCAACACTCGCTGAACCAAACTTAAGGGCTGTTGCGCTTGGTTCAGACTCTTGCGCTTGGATGGGGAATGCTTCAAAGCTATGGGAGGAGAGGAAACTCATGTAATGGGGTTGACCAACAAACAGTGAAGCACATCAAAAAACACGAAAAAACATCAAGGGCAGAGTAAAAAACTTGGATATTTGTTTGTCCTTATCATGGGGGTAGAAAATTCAGTAGTTTAATTTGTGTGGAAATTGTGGATATTGAAAGAGAAAATTTGCATGCTCAATCAAACCAAAGAAAAGTCTTGAAAGAAGCGTGCCGTTAGTTGTGTAAATTTTTTTTGTATTAGTTCCAAAATCACGCAAATAAAGAAAATTTGTCTAATTCTAGTATCACTGAACCTCCTAATACAGAATGGAAAGTTGCAAATCTCGCACTGCTTGGTTTTGTATACCAGAGTACAAGTTTTTGGACATCAGGTACAGGTATCTGAATTTAGACAATTCCACTTTCCTTTTCTTTAAATGCTACTAATTTTTTTTTCTTTTGAAAAATTTGTTCTATATTTTGATGAATACTGTACCTAACATATCCTTTAAAGCTGTGAACGTGAATTGAGAGAAGTGAAAATTTTAAAAGTTTTCAACAAATATATTACATGGATGAATTGTAGGAGGTCGTGAGTAAAAAATGTTTTGTCGAAATTTAAAAAAATTAAAAGGTAGAATGAAAACTTCCGATTTAGTAAGAAATCTGTTCAAAATATAATGCACCAGTAATGTACACCAACACCAACATCCAAAACTAGGAACCCAGAGAGAAAGTAAAGTAGAACATCAAACATTGAAAAAGTAATGAAGAAAAAAACGGAAAATTTTGTATAATATGTAAAATTTTAAAATTTATACCAATTTACAAAAAAAGAAGGTAAAATTTTGATATAATTCAGATTTGATGAAAAAAATAACACGGGTCTTGTTTTGCGGAAATTAGTAAAGAGGGTGAAATGAAACTCAAAACTGCTTGTTGTTATGAGCATTGGCACAAACAACAACAATCGAGAGACTTGGTTGCAAAATCAAAACGGTTGGATAAAAATTGTAATGTGAAGATACTTATATTTGAATATCCCTACCTATATAGCTTGTCACGAGGGTACGGAACTTGCGATGGTTACCCTTAATTGCAGGCAAGTCCACTATAGAAAGGCCAGAGAGGTAGCAGAAATAGACAAGACAAAAAGTCAATACCTGGTAAATGAGCCCCTTACAAAGAGAAAGAGAGAGAGGGGAAAAGTATAGAGAGAAAATCTATGTGTGATTATCCCATTACATGCCTACAAGGTCTTATCAAAATTGATGAGATGGTGGGTTTGATATATAATAAATTATCGGGGATATGAAATGAGAACTGAATGAATGAACAAATGTCTATCCACGACTAGCAACATTGAAGTAGCACAATTAACTCGGTTCCCCATTGACAAACTGTAATGATCGAATCAGGGCAAACCCACAACGGGGATGAGGAGTTGACACCACATAGGGGTTGTTCTGAGCAAGCAGCATGGAGTTGGGACTTGGGAACAATAATTAACTTTATCACGGTCCAATCAATTTTCCGTTTGCCTGACTGACTGACTAAAGTGAATCAATTTCTTTTTCAAATTAAAAAAAATTTCTTTATCTCGTAACTGATGTTTGATGCCATCATCGGTACGGTCAAATAGAAGTATGCTTAATTGATTAATGTCATGAGCTCTACAGATTTCCAGGCCTAGTTCACTAGCCACCATAGCTTATTATCAAAGCTATATTATTACTGCATTTTAGAAGCTATGTGTTTATACAAGAAGAGTGGAGATAAACAAGAGTATCTTTATCCAGTCAAATAAGAATTCTATTAACAAATACTCACGAGACTGAATCTTGGTGAAGACCGTCCTTGCCATGAAATCTTGGAATCGCTGTGCATAGAAGCCTGGTCTATGGACAGATACCGTATCCTGAAAAGCAAAGAATTGTATTCCGACAACTACCAGATTGAATGAAGGAAAAAACTACTTACACCATCATGGATTATTGATTTGAAAGTGTGCTCTAGTTTCTTTTGTAGCCGGTAGCTTTGAAGAATGTCAATAACGCCTAAATACAAAAGGAGACGCTCTCCCTTTGCGTTTCTAGCTGGGATACCACCAGGCCTAGAACAGTTTATGTTTATATTAATTAAACGGAAGCGTAAAATATTTCAGTAATTGGGCAAAAATACTGACGGGACATCTTCCTCTTCGTCGATTGGCTCACTCTCGGCCTGAATGCTCTCCATAGCTGTGGAATGGGCAACCAGTCTCTGTCGATTTATGGATCTACTTCTATTCAAAGAAGTGCCACTAGGAGCAGCCACTGACACGGCAGGTTCTTCGTCGGAATCTACTTTTTCCGCTTTGGACTTTTCAGCTGCGAGCTTCTCTTCATTTTTCTGCTCCTGATTTTTTGAAAGCGATTAGGCATTTATTTCATTGAAGATTTGTAAGATTTAGTGATACTTACAATTTTTTCTCTCGAGGCTTGATCGAGATTGTGGATGCCAACTAGCAAGCTGTAGTCCATGATCTTGAAACTTTCAAGCACTCGGCAGTCCCTCTGTATTGTCTTTATCAGTGCGCTGTACGTGTCAGCCTCCAGGTATATTCCATCCGGATGGTGCTCCATGAAATCCAGATCTTTGTATGTGGGTGACTTTTTTAACCTTTCCGATTTTGATGCCTGAGGAAAAACATCAAGTAAATTAATTTTCTCTTTTTAAAGATTTAAGAACCAACCTTTCTTTTATAAGTTGAACCTTTCAAGTCATATTTCTGATGCATTTTAACCCACGATGGAAGCAAATTATTCATCACTACAAGTCGGACGTTTTTTGAATTACATTGGTAACAGTAGAGCCCAAAGAATTTTGGCAACAGCGTCCGGGGATTCTGATTCAGATTCTGCAAAAAAAATCAAGCGATTATTGTGAAATGAAAATAAAATCTAAAAAATCACAAACCATGTAATATCCAGGAAGAAGTTTTTGCAGAAATTCACCCTCTTTGTGTTGAACAGTTTTGATGATGAACTCATCATCTGTGGTGAGGTAGAAAATACTGCCACTAGCACCTGGATTAGACAACGCTCTCAACGGAGAGTTACAAAGGGATATCTAAACAAGAAATCCAAATTCAAAACTTGAAAATACAAATCGAACAGGCAAGGTTACCAAAAAGTCGTCTGGCTGGATGCCAAACAAGTCCCTAAAGTACCTAAACGCTATTGGGGCATAGGTTTTGAACTTGAATTCCGAGTAATGGTGTGCTGGCGTGTGATTCGATCCTTCGCTCGGGAAATTAGTAGTTTCCACTGTCATAAAGTCTTGCATGAGCAAATCACGCTCTGGCTTCGACGCTAGGCCGCCGATTGCATGCTGGATTCCTAGTTGGATGGAACCCATGATTTGCGTGGTTTGGATCTGGGAGAGGAATAGAATTAAGGTTACCGCAGATAAACTCCAGCAATATTTATTACTTTTTTGTAAGTTATTTCTCCACCAACTCCCACTCTTCGATGGCCGATCTTTCGTTCTCGTTCTGATTTATTTCTTTGGATTCCCAGCGCTCCACCGCCAAATTTTGTTCCTGTGCCGTCCAACGACATGAGTCTGTCTTGTCCTTCCTTTTCCTTTTCTGCAAAGTAAAACCAGAATTCAGAATAATCAACTCTTTGGTAAGAATGATACAAGCCCCAGTGGACTTAATTAATTAATCCGTCCATAAACGAATACATAATAATTCCAATAATTCAAGGGCGCATTATTTTTGCTTCCTCGTTCTTCGGCATGCGTACGTATCGATTAACACAGCATAACAGAGAAATTCATTATTTGATCCGATTTATACACACAATATTTAGATTTGCCTTGGTTGGCTGGAGAAGGCAGGAAATTTATTTTTCGATAATAATTTCAAAAGCAAATATTGGGGAATCTGACGGAAACTTGTGTGCTGTCAAAAACTCCACCACGCCCACCTGAGCCGTGGACTTTGACCGAGGAATGGGCGAGGAAAGGTTGGGAAATCGGGATTACCGTCTTCGTCGCTCTCGTCGCCCGTCGACTCTCTCGGCTTTTTCCTCGTGTTCGTCGACGTCCCTTCGCCAGAGTCCCCATTATCAACGACTGCCTCAACATTTGTCCCGGAAGCCATCTTGTACCACTGACAAGTCTCTCCGCCTGATTCGATACGAAATCTTCACAGTTTGCTCGCGCAAACTATAACATCGTCGATGCGGTGGAGCAGCAGTTCGCAAGGATCTCCTGCGGATTAATTCGGGCGTTATTCACAGCAGATACGACGAGGAAAATTCAGATTACCACAGCTCGGCTACATACGGGTTCTCTAGCTGCTTTGACAGAAAATTTCCGCCATCATTATTTTCTGACCTTTCTGTTGCCAATATAAACAAATGATGTGACCTATACCATTTTTAATTATAAAGATAATTATAGCGCATGTATAATAAAAACAAAATATTAAGTTCATTAAGAGTTTAAGGTTTTGTTATTTGGGAAGTATGAACAAAAAAATGCATTATTCATTAGTTTGAAATATTTTTGTCATGTTGGCTATGAAATAAGCAAAGCTACAAACCGCGCGAAGTTTCTCAAAGCAGCGCGAACGTAATTTTTCGATTAATTTTTAAATTTTCACGCACCTCACATTAAAATGTTTCATTTCATCATTTCCAAATAAAAGAAAAAAATTAATTTTTTCTTTGTTCTTTGTTTTGAATTATAAAAATTTTTATTTGTATTTATCAATCCTTGAATTTTCGCAAGCACGACCGTCTGTATTGGTTGGTTAAACTGCTCTGCTGCTGGTCAAGAAGGCTGCTGGTAAAAAGTAAACAAAACTTCATACAAACGATGTAATATATTATGTAATTAAAATTTTATTCTTTGTTTTGTTACTTGATGCAGGACTGCATGAGAAAACTGCTTGTTAAATTATTTTCAAGATATAAAGCAATATGAAGATTGAACTTCTCGTCATAACATTTACATAACTTGGTAAAAATTTAGAAATATCTTTTTTAAATGGCTTTCACAGTGTCTGTATTTATGTACAAAATTAATTTGTTTATTTAATTCAGATCAATTTCCGCCATGGCCAGTGTCACAAATCGAAATAGTAAGAAGTACAGGCACTTGGGTGTGGACGATGACGAGGCTCCCGATCCTGAAGAGTCGGAAGCTACCCTGCTCGTCAAAGAGCTTGCTCAAAAACAGTCGTCAAAACAAACTTCGTTGGCAGAGTAACAGAAAAAAAGTAAAATTTTCTTGCAAATCCTAATTGAATTAAATGTATTAGGCAGCTGTCATTGAAGCAAAATTTTGTCCAGAGCCGTTCGGATGTTCTGTCTGTTTCTCATCTGCCAGCAGGATCCACTTCGCTTGTGGTATTCTCAGCTACGTCGAAACGTTTGGATGATGAGAAAACTCTATTGTCAAATGGTTTCCTGCCAGATGAAATCGAGTTTCTGTGGGACTTGAAGAAAGGAAAGCAGTTTGTCAAAAGCAAACACTGCAAAGTAGACCCTGCAGCCCTTGAACGAAAGATCAATTATATTCTTGGAAAACTCGGTGGTCCAGCTGAATTCTCTTGGTTGTTACATTCACTATCATTGCTAATGATCTATTTTATTATTACTAATATTAAATATTATTCAGTCCTGGGCCAGTCGAAACTGATTTGACATCAACAAGTGACTTGCCATTAAATGATCCCCGGTATGACGAAGAGAATCAGATGTCAAGAGATATAGAATACATAAAAAACGTGGACTCTCTTAAGCCATTCTTAAAAGAAAGTGAACCAGAGCAAATTACATTTCTTAAAGACGGTAATTTGTTTGTGAATATATTACAATTTATAAATTTTAAATCTCTATTATTTGTTTAGGAGAGTCTCAGTGGGATAAAAAGCAACAAAAGCGTTACAAAAATCCTAAACTAAATAAGGAAATTGTTATTAAAACTTGTGCACCTCAATCATACTACACCATAAAAGATGGCAAAACTGTTTTTTTGGGGCGCAATGCCATAATTGAGGACTCAAAAGTGGGAGCGCAAGGAAAAATTTTGCCTGGAACTTCTTATGTGGCACCAAACCAGACAAGCTTGGTTTCTCTAGAAGTTATTAAGAATGATAGAGTCGGAGATGTTGCAGAAATCAGGAAAATACCTAAATTTCAAAATTACGAAAAAGGAACTCCTTGCAATGTAAAATAAATTTCTAAGCTACTCTATTTTAATAATGCAAGTTTTTCCTTTTCAGATTTTGTTTGTAAAAAATTTGGCAGCAGCAGTTTCTGAAAATGACCTCACAGCACTGTTTGGTCATTTTGAAATAAAAGAGGGACCTGCCATAGTGTACAGACTGATGGGTGGAAAAATGAAGGGACAAGCTTTCATCACATTTCCAGGTAAAAAGATATTTTGCAATTTGCAAAAAAAATGCTAATGTGAATTATTTTTAAAATCAAGATGCCGAAACAGCAGAAAAAGCGCTCAATACCATTAATGGATACCAGCTGAAAGGTAGACCAATTATTATCCAGTTTGGCAGGAAAGGGGGACATACTTCAAATCACTAAATTCTTTTCTTGTCATAGATTAAAAGGCTGAAAATTGCAATTATAATTTTTGAATAATATTTAAATAAAAAAAATATACAAGTTGATCAAAAAAGAATTATTTTCCATAAAATCATTTTGCTCATCGGAGAACCTAAAACAATTTATTCTTTATTGCATCTTTTTAATATTGCAGTCAAGACTTCGAGTTTGATAAATGACTGCAATTGAAACAAATAGGAATGGCAAACCACTTCCAGAGTGGTCGTTCCATTAGCAGAAATGGCTCTGTCCAGCTACGTCTATTTGGTTTGCAGGGCATTTTTGCAGTCTGGGCGAGACGGTGCGCGCACACCGTCATTTATTGTGATTTATTCCTGGTGGAGCGCTCGGCAGGGTCGTATTAGGGTTTTGATGAAAGAGAGAGAGAGAGAGCCAGCACTGGGGCGCAGCACGTGGGGAGCATAAAGGGTTGATGTGACAGAGAGCAATAGCCGGAGGCAGGGCCGTGGAGAGTTAGTTTTACTCCTTTATTTGCATTGGTCAGCAGCGACTCGGCTTGGCTCTTCCCATCTCTGTGGAGCTGATGTGAGCGCTCTGCTTACTAATATGGGGGAGATTCAATAAACTTATCTCTTATGTCTCTCGGTATAAAAAATAAATAATATCACAGGATAAAGGGTTAAAATTTATCCCGCTGTCCCGATATAAGAATTTTTTTCATCTCGCCTTCAAATTTTTGTCCCAAATTCATTTGCGATAATCTCTTCTTAACTATGACGTCAACAAAAATTTGTGCTTTATTTTTTTAATATAATTTTAGATAATTCTAATTCACTAATTTTAGTATTCTTCGAAGTTAATAAATTTTTATGCTGAATTTTGATATAAAGAGTTTCCTAAAGAGAAAATAGTAAATACTTGAAGATTTTTTTCCAATTTTCCCGTCCAACGGTAAAAACGTACCGTCACCGCGCAGGTTTGCTGGTTTGCTCTGGCAGTCAGAAAGCAAATTTTGATGCATATTTCATGTCCTGTGTGTGCCTAATGGTTGATGTGACGCTTTCTCGCTCAGTCAGGCCCGTCGGCGTGTGATGAATGGACCGACTACTTTTTCTCTCTTTCTTCGATATTATTTATCCAGAAGTTATTATTTTAGGCGCAGAGATGAAAGCTATAAGAGGAGTGCTCGTCGCGATACAAAATGTATGCATAGATATATCGAGCCCTTATATTGATACATCAGCGCCTGCGACAAAGGGGAAAGGGGCTTTGTTATATGGATGGTCCGACTGTCAGCACACATACAAAACCATTTCTCTCTCTATCTCGCTCACTTATGCAAATATATATTTTAGGTTGCAATAACACTACACGCAGACACACTCCCCTCTGCCCATTATCTCCGCGCGGCTCACCAGAACCGTGCTTTGATTTTACTGAAGAACGCACTCATCTCCAACCGATTCTCCCTTTTCAAAAGTTTTCTCTCCGTAAACTGAATATCGTTGAGATTCAAAGTTGTCCCTGAAATCGGGGGGAAAGCAATCGATCAAATTTCACAGATAATTTGGTACAACTCTTGAATCAATCACTAGCCTTTTCTGCAAGGTGCGAAAGGGCTTTTCCAATTTATTCCAGCCCTGCTTTTGAATTACGACTTTCACCCCGCAACTCGGTGGGGCGTCCTTTTCATTTTCGAGCTTTACTCCGAGAGGTGGATCATCCGACCAAATGTATTACTCTCAGCAAAGTGTGAGCTCTCGCGCCGCTTCTCATAATAAAGTATTCCACTATCCACCGCGTGTGATATTTCAACTTTATGAACGTGCAAACGTCACTCGCTCGCTTTTGCTGAATCGCTGCATTTCGCTCCCCGGCACTCGCTGTGCCAAGCAGTCTTGGCACAAACTTATTCTTTTCACTCCTTGGCAAAGAGAGAGAGAGAGAGAGAAAGCACGTCAGGAGTTGCACGACTCAAATTATATTCGCCAGCACTTCACTCCGAAATGTAAACTTCCAAGGCTTGCGTTTTGTGCCGCCACGTGCGGCAACCCTTCTTTTCTTTGTAAAAATATATTCAGATGAACGCCGTACGCCACCATTAAATTTGGTTGAATGTGAGCCACCGTATAATTGCGTGAGGATGATTTTATTCATTGCTTTGAAAAGTTTGCCATAAACATAAAACACGTGTTATTGCAAGAGGTTCATTTTATCTCTTTCAAAATTCCAACAAAGTTTAGCTCCTGAATTGATGGTTAAGAGAATTATTTTGAATCAATAAAAGAAAAATTTTTAAACTAGAATTAATAATTACCCGCAGATATTGATAATTTTAAATTCTTAAAATGGTCTTATTTATCACAATAAAATGCATTCATGTCCTCATTTGCAAATAAATTTCAATAATTAAAATGTAATTAATTTTCTTCATTAATATTTCAAAATGTTATAATGGTGAAAATAAAATTTTTTTTCTCGCATAATATTTAGAATCAGAATGACAAACTAATTCGCAAAGATAATTTGTCAGGGTGAAATTTAGAGCATCTTTTAAAAAAGTAGATGCAGATTATCCACAAAATTAACACAAACCAGATTTTCTTTTATACAATGGCTCAGAACAAAATAAAATTAATAAATTTACGCAACCAGTTGGCCTCGCCTGTTCAGCGGGTTGCCTATAAAATTTAGCAGGCGCTCAAACGAAATGAACGGAATCGCGTCATGCGTTTTCAGGCAGTCCGCAAAGCCCGAAAATGGGTGTTTCATCATATGAAAGACGTAATTTGCTAATTTGGGTAATTCAGGACACTGTCACGCTTCTTGTTAAAAACATTGAACCTCATTTGGCTCCACATCTGCGCTTGTTACACGCAGGTTTGAAGCCCCGCAGCGAGCTGCAAAATGATACTCGACATTTAATACGCCATCAGAAATGTAATAATCACGCAGTTTGGCAGCCCACCCTCGCACGTGTAACTGATGACAGGGTCTGGTTGTAATAAGAGCAATTTTGCAAAAGGCTCCTAAGGGCAGGGACGGACTGGACTTAAAACTGCAGTAAGAATAAAGTGATTAACCATTTTTAATTTTTTTCTATCGCAAAATAAAGTCGGAGTTTCGAAATTTATCAATAATTCATAATCTAGTTTGATAAATCTAATATGTTACGAATTAAATTGATATTTGAAAGAAAACTTACTGTAAAGAGAATTCTTATTGAATTTAAATTAATAATTTCAGAGCTGCGCAAAAATCTTATTATTATTTTCTAAATCTACATGCCCTACTCCATTTAAAGCATAAAACACGTTTTGAGCAATTTCCAATGGTGGGAAATCGATGGAATTTCCGGGTCGACGCTTTGGCTTCATAGATTTTCGCAGCAGAGGCAGTCCGTGCGTGGATTAACAATGATCGAGCTAAACTTTGCCTCATCATCTGACGAGCTGAAAGCTGAAATTTGTTCATCCAGTCGTGGCATCGAGCGAACGAGACGCACACGCGAGAGGAGAAAGATACAGTCTTGTTGCGTGCGCTAAAGAGATCAAAACCATGATCTTCACAGCTCGAATTACTTTTCAAGCGGCGTGACTCGAATGAATTCTCTCCGGGGCGCATTCGCGCCACCGTTTCCTTTTGCAGCTCCAGTTCTCTGTGTTATGGTCGTCAAAAATTGGAGCGTCAAATAAAAAAGACCTCGGCGGGCGCTCGGGGAGTGGAGGCGGCAAACTTTATGGCAGACAAAAAACATGAGCATCCCCCGCCCACGTATACGACAAATGGCTCGCATTTTTCTGCAAAATTTACACACGGGCCTTGAGGAGAAGAAGTGGTGTGGCCGGTGAAATGCAGCACAGTGCACGACGACTCCTTATTTCCCGCCGCTATCTCGAATCTGAACCAACCGCACCCGCGCTTGATTGCCTCGCCGACCTCAACTGCCGCCCTGCAAATTTATATTCGCACTGCGGTAGGCCCAAAACTGCGCTGGCGAAACTTTTTCCTTCGACCCGTAATAAAATTCACAGGAGAATTCAGAATTCCGTGTACATCATAATAAGATAAAACAAGTTTTAGTTTTAATAGTCCTTCATCAAGCACAAAAAATTGTAGATTTTAAAGGATGGAAATTATTGTCCTATCTAAAATTAATTCCATACAGTTTGTTCTTTCTTAGGTGAAGAATTTATTTATGCTTCAATTAGGTTCACGAGTTCAGGGTTCACGAGTTCAGGGCAAACGAGATCAGGGATCACGAGTTCAGGGTTTACGAGTTCAGGGGCTCACAAGTTCAGGGCTCACGAGTTCAAGTTACACGAGTTCAGGGCTCACGAGTTCAGGGCAAACGAGTTCAGGGCAAACGAGTTCAGGGTTCACGAGTTCAGGAGACACGAGTTCAGGGCTCACGAGTTCAGGGATCACGAGTTATGGGATCACGAGTTCAGGGCACACAATTTCAGGGTACACGAGTTCAGGGTTCACGAGTTTGGGGCTAATGAGTTTGGGGCAAACGAGTTCAGGGAAAACGAGTTCAGAGATCACGAGTTTAGGGATCACGAGTTATGGGATCACGAGTTCAGGGTACACGAGTTAAGGGCACACGAGTTCAGTGTTCACGAGTTCAGGGTTCACGAGTTCAGGGCAAACGAGTTCAGAGCGCACGAGTTCAGGGCTAATGAGTTCAGGGCATACGAGTTCAGGGCAAATGAGTTCAGGGCAAACGAGTTCAGGGATCACGAGTTCAGGGCTCACGAGTTTAGGATACACGATCTCAGGGTTCGCGATTTCGCGATCACGAGTTCAGGCCTGCATTCAATCTCAGCCTGCATGCAATCACAGCGTGCATGCAATTTGAGGGGGGTAATTCATCGTCAAAATTTGACTTTAATTAAATAATTGCCAAAACTTGACATTTCCTTAAGCCTACGACTTTTGTGTCAACAGCAAAGTTGTTCAGCGTGAAAAACTGAGTACAGAACAGTTTAATACCGTTTTTCTAAAGTAAGCCGTTCCATATTTAGAGTAAATCTAAAAAATTTAGTGTCAATTTTTCACCCCTAATATTTTAGGGTAACGCCCCATTTTTGAGGTCTGAGAGGACCCCTTTGGGCACCCCTTTTGACATATTTAAAAATCAGATAGGGTTTTTTTCGTCCAATGCCTCCCCCAATCTCACTCGGAAACGCTCATAATGTTTTTTATAAAATAATACACAGGTCGCCTAGATTGAATATGTATTTTTGTTTAAAGTAAAATAAATACCAGGATTTTGTGGCATCCAATGGAACATGACATAGTTTACAACTAAAATAATTAGTATTGGTGTTTTGTGTTTAAAGATAAACTGTTTATGTTTATTATTATTGTTTAATATTATTATTATTATACTATTTTTGATCCTTATAGTTTCATTCTAATTGAATTTTTCAGAATCAAATCAAATTTATATATCCATTTATATATACAGTTCTGTAGTTGAAAATTTAATTTCATAATTTGTCATTAAAAAAAGAAATATCGACAAAATCTCACAAAACCTTTCAAATTCAAAATATTAATTTGATACACTGCTATGTGTTTTTTTTTTTTTTTTTTTTTTTTTTTTTTTTTTTTTTTTTTAGAAAAACATGGAACGGAAAAAATCATGGAACATTTTTTCCACTCTCATAAAAATTAAAATAGCAACCCGAGTGGGCAGAATTCAGAGGGAGATTATCTGTGTCCGAGTCTAGTTAATCAAAAATTAATTAATTAGCCCGAGCGGCCGACTGCCGGTTGCTAAAAAATTATCGTGACGTCAGCGAGGGCGTGGTTTTGAGTGCTCAGTGTGGTAACCCGTGGCAACGGCATTTGGAGCCGCGACTGGAGCCACCGGCGGCACCTCAGCCACTCGGTGCTCCAGCGGAGGCTGCGACCAGTACTGCGAAGCATGCCGACTCGGCCGCACCGAAGCTTGTCCGCACCGTCGACCTTGCGCTAGCCGACCCTCGTCCTCCGCCGACACACACACGTGTGCCGACCGCTGACAGCCGGCCCTTCGGCCTGCCCGAGTCGGCGCCGCCCCAACGCGAACAGCCGAAAGGCCGCACTTCATCCTAGACTGCAGCACTCCAGCCGCAAAAACGTGGGAGGAGGTGAAAAAAGGTAAGGACAATGCAATCGAACCCTAGTGATCATTCCTTCTTTTTTAGTTGTGTTGATAATTTTCAGTTTGAAATTTTGTTAGTTCATAGCATAGGTCTGGATAAAAAAATTTAATAATGACAAATATTAATAATGTATTTTTTTTTGCAAATTTTTTTAAAACGTATTCGGTTCAATATTGCTTAAAAATTTTTTTTATAATATTTGTAGTGGAAAATTCAATTTGTAAAGATTGTGTTTGCAAATTACTAATTAATATTTGCAATTCCAACAACATTTTTAATTTATTTTTCTCAATTTTTGTATTTAAGATGCGACTCAATGAATTAATATGTGTTCATATTTATTTATTTTAAACCGGCGTGAGTGGCACATTGGTTTGAATGTAAGGCTACCAATATGAAAGACACAAAGATAGAGTTCAATGCTTTTGACATGTTAGCGCGTCAAAAAGTGCTCTACATAAATCTAAATCGTCACTCACGTTCGGGAGTTCACGGCGCCGAACGTGGCTGCTCGAGGTTTTTGCCGTTTCCACGAGTTGTTGGAATTCCTGCATCAAAAGGGGGCTTTTCATAAATTCCAGCGGCACCTGGTTAATTTGATAGGCTTTCCAGCCAATTGGCAGGATCATAGACTATCTAGATAAATAAAAAATTTTTTATTCTCTGTCATGATTGAATCGGCACAATTATGTTACACACTCAACTCATGTTTCACTTCGTTTTGGAAGGGCTTCAAAGGAATGTCTGGAATGCTATTGAAACAAGGAGAACTGATTGCGAGTTTGGAAGTTCCTTTCATCCTCCCATTTTTAGATTTTGTGCAGTCACCAGTTTAGCTTTTTCTTCTTTATTAGAGGGTATAAAGCTGAATTCAGGAAAAAATATATAATATTCTGGAGCAATGAAAATAACTGCATCTAATTATGTTTTTAAAAATGATGACCATTTAGCTTTTGAATATTTTGAACAAATTTAAAAACAAATTATACTTCCAGAAGCTTTTATTCATTTCTATTCTACTCTATAGTCGTGGCAAAATAAATTTAAATTTTAAAAAAATGGGAAGTTATGAGGAGGGTTTAATTATTGGGAAAAAATTGGAAAAAAATTAAAATTACAAATTGCTTTGTAAAATTTTCAAAGTAAAGTTGAAGTTGTGCTCGAATGATTTTTAAATAATATAATAATTTATAAAAATTAAAATGCGATTATATAGGTTTAAAGAAATTTATTTAAAAAAAAACCAAAGTACAACAACAACAACAATAAAACAAGGAATTATTAAAAAAACTGAAGTCATTCATTGAAGAAATAGAACAATATGAATTATATAATTAGGAATATTACCTTTTTAAGTAAATCAATTAAAACTATAACTATATGTAAATATTTAAGAAAAATTTACAAGTTTTAATTTAATTAAATAGCGCAATGCAAATTCAAATATCTTTTTACAATTCAAAATTACAGTCTGGTCGATTAATTTTAACAACTGACTTGGAGGCAAACTGAAAAATCTATGCAATTTCGTTTGTTTCAATTAACTTTAAACAAGATTTGCATGAATTATGTTAGAATCGAACGTAAATATATGATTATATCTTTTTTCTTTGCTCCAACGTTTAACTTGAAAAAAAACTGTATATTTCTGGAAAAAATAAATTTTAAATAAAGTGATAATTTTTTCAAGCACAAACAACAAACAAACAAACTAGAATATAGAAAGTTTCAGAGCCGGACCAGCGCTAAAAATGTTACCGGGCGATTTCAAAATAGGCGGCCATTCAACGTGTCAACCGCGGCGAAAATTCAGAATTTAACAATTAAGAGAATGCAACAGGACAGGTGGAAAGCAAACAGGCAAAATTCAAATGAGTCAACACCGCGGAGATCAAAAGCACTCGAGTCGACCGAGCTCTTGAAAAGTCAAAAAGGCAAAAGCGCGACCTCCGAAGTTGCACGCGCGGAAGAATAAATAAATAAGCGGCTTGAATTTCTCTTTGTTGTTGCTGGCGAGCGAGCAAACGAGTGGGCAAACAACAACGGCCGACGCAATAATAATAACAATTATAACTCCAACTTCGCCGACCGTGTAAATTATGGCGCAAATTAAATGTAAAAATTATTACCCGCGAGTCGGCGCCATGTGCAAACAAATTACCGGCTGCATTCCCGGCTGGCAGTTAAATTTTATGCCAACCCTTTTGCCAGTGAGAGAAACGACCCTGCACTGCTGCCGAGTTTCGCAACAGGCAGGGGCTGCGGCGGAAATTGCCTACCTGAGCGCATAAACAAGCGATTACACACGATTTTAATTGTGCATTATATTGCTCGCGCAACACATGCGCCGGACTCCGATTATCAAATAAACTGCTGGGCCGCATTATTTAATGCCGATAGACGCTCGACCGCCGATAATTAACGCGGGATTATCCTCGGGCAATTTCCACAAACGTTATGACCGACCAACTTTTCTGTTTAGAATTAAATAAAGGCAAAGCTTGTTTGTGCGATTTGTTTTGAAAATGAGTACTAAAAACTGAAGTCAAATGAAAACGTTCAAATTCATATCGCAATGAATGGCAAGATAAATAAATATTAAGTCTTAAAAATTTGAGAAGCTTTGATAAATTTTATAGTTATGTTAATTTTGGAAAAAGACTATTCCTGGGCTTGCAGAAAATATTAGTAAAATAGTCTAAAAGTAAAAATAAAGTTTTCATGGTACTTAAATAAACACATTTTATTTGTTGCGAGAGATTTAAGGAGTGTATCTGAATTTGAGTGACGTATTTTGATGAAAAGTTTTCAATTTGGTTGTGAAAAAAGCTTCATTATTCTTTGTTTGGTAAGTAGAGCTTTATTCTGTTTTCTGTTAGATCTTTTAAGTAAAATTATAATCTGATTGAATTCATCAAAATATTTTCATTTGATTATCAATAAAAATACAGCAAGGTCTTTGTGTAAATTTCAATATCCATGAGCTCCTGGGAGATCAATTTTTTTTTTCAATAATTATTAATTATGCAATTTATTTTTGGTGATATTTTAGCATCATGAAACCAAAAAAGACTTTTCACCTTTATTTAGTGTCCAAAAAGTTAATTTATTTGGAAATTGATAATCTATTCTGTCCAATTATTGGAATCAATATTATTACATCTCATCAACACGCTCATTTATCTCTGAAATTTTATCCCAAGTCTGTGGTAATTTCAACCATCATCAAGTACAATTGAGCAAACGAAATAAGAAATTCGCAATCGCGGGCGTAATTCAGAAAATCTGCTGTAAGAGTTTGGGATGAGGTTTGTGAGCTCAACAGTCCAATAAGTTTATAGCACGAAATTAGAACCGGCGAGGGAGAAAGAGCGGTGGCGGCGATAAGCCGAGACCTTTTCCTCTCCAAAGCGAACTTTCAAATTTAGCTCGTGATTAAGCACACTTCTTTGACGAATAATTACAGAGCAACGGCGAAAATCCTGGAGAGCTCTCCATGCTCCAGTCTCAAGTTTTGTTCGCAAGAGAGCAAATTGTTGCATAATGAGTGAGTGGGACGACGTCGTCATTAAGCCGCACGTTTGATTGGAGTGTTTCTTGACAAAAGAGGCCGCAGCTTTTCTCCAAACTTGGTCTTGCAACAGTGTTTCAGAACTTCACAAATTATTTATTTATCAGCAAAAAGTTAAAGAGGATTTTCAAGTTTTTTTTTCTTTATCCAATTTTTCAAGAAATAATGTTAACAATTTTTGCGGTGTCAGTAATTTTAGAATTAAATTCAAGGTCGGTCAATTAATTTAAATCAAGAGTGTGAATAAAATTTATTTTAAATTAAAATTACCCTTACCCGTGCTCAATTTTGAATGTGTTTAAAAATGGAAAATGATAACAAAATATTCATTCCCTTTGACAAATGTTTTTTCTATTTTGTTCAATTTTTTAAATCAAAATTTCAATTGTTTGATTTTTCACACCTTCAAAATTAAATGTTGCTAAAATTCGAATTTTTTGTTAATATTCAGGGAGTTTTGATTAAATCCATCAGCTTTTTACTGATCCAATTTTTCCTAACAAAGGCTTCCTTGAAAATATAAAAAATAGAAGATTCCGAACCTTCCCTTGTTAGGTTAAGTCCTTTGAGTCAGAGTTTGAGGATAACAGCACGTTTTCCTGCTTTTCTTCGCGGCTCACAGTTGAAAACCTTTGATACATTATTCAGTCTCGCAATATCGAGAGAGCAAAGGGAAAACGGAAAGATGAAGTAACAAAAGAGTCGCATTCATTCGCAACATATGCGTGTCTGTCTCTCCGTGCTTCTCTCTTGAACTTTGACATTCACAGACAGGGTATGGTGCGCAAATTTCGAACACGGTTCTGCAATTGCGCGCGGCATTGTTCGCAGAGGCTTTGATGGAAAATGAAGTGAATTATGAACGGCGGGTGGTTATTTTGAGCGTGCTGTGTTAAAAGGATGACAGGGAAAATCTATTGTACGCGGCGACGACGACGGAGGCAACGCTTCCTTCATCATCGCCCTGCAAACCGCACAACACATTTTCACAAAGCCGCCCCTTTTATATATTCTTTTTCGCACTTGGCTCGCAATCATTTTCTTTTCCTTGACAACGCACTTTCTTCTTCCCTTCCGGCCTCATCACCTCCGACGACGACAAATCTGGCCGTTCTCTCTCTTTGTTCTTGCCCTCCGTGTGTGCTGCTCTCTCTTTCATTCCCGCGCTCTTTGATTCTGCACGCAAGTTTTTTTTAGCCAGCGGATCTATTCATGATGAAGTAGACTAGTCAGCGGAGGAAATTTTTATTTCCTTGGATGGCAGCGGCGGAAATGTGCGCACTGTGAGAGGAAATTTTTTTTGCGCTTTTTGTGCCAAATTGAAGGCGACGCAGAAAAAGACGACAAGTTGCGATAAACACATTTATCATTCGGCGCTGTATTAAAGTGGATGTGCAGTTATTTAATTTGCCTTGATGCGAGTT